TTGCCAACATTCTGACTCCCGAGTCAACCTAGTTTAATGGCCTGTTGTAGATTTTTTTTCTGTTTGGTGGACTCACTGGATTTTTCAGCTCAGTTGTGTGCTCTCTATTTAGATGATGTATGTTTCTCTAGCATATCATTTTAAAATTAGATATTTGTTACAGTTCTAAATTTAACCTGTGCACAGTCTCGAACTCTGAAGTGAATCTGGTCCAGATGGACAAGGCCTGTATGTTTCTCTAGCATATCATTTTAAAATTAGATATTTGTTGCATTTCTAAACATTACCTGTGCACAGTCTCGAACTTTGAAGTGAATCTGGTCCAGATGGACAAGGCCTGACTTGATGTATGTTTCTTTAGCATAGCATTTTAAAATTAGATATTTGTTACAGTTCTAAACTTTACCTGTGCACAATCTCAAACTTTGAAGTGAATCTGGTCCAGATGGACAAGGCCTGACTTGATGTATGTTTCTCTAGCATAGCATTTTAAAATTAGATATTTGTTACAGTTCTAAACTTTACCTGTGCACAGTCTCAAACTTTGAAGTGAATCTGGTCCAGATGGACAAGGCCTGATGTGATGTATGTTTCTCTAGCATAGCATTTTAAAATTAGATATTTGTTACAGTTCTAAACTTTACCTGTGCACAGTCTCGAACTCTGAAGTGAATCTGGTCCAGAGGGACAAGGCCTGATGTTGGCCTGATATTGTAGCACAGTGGGCATAAAGCATAAATCTCCATCATTTGCATTTCACCAGGCATTTTCAACCCTGATCGAGATTAAAAAGTTAAAAATGAACACTTTTTATTTTTGCTGATCACAAATGCAAGACGTAAAAAGAAAACACCATGTTCAAAAGGGTCCGTTTTACAAGAAAATAATTCCAAACAATGGTGGTAATGAGTTTTCATTGGTAAACACAAACAAAAACATCAACAGACAATATCTTAATTTACAGTGATAACTCTTGCTTGTTATGTTATCACTTATCAGAACTAACATCCTGAATACTGTGCATTCCCTTGCTTGTTCAGTCTTCCAATGCAACGGCCACATCAGGGTACCTCTGCTGTTTGTTCCCAGGGGGGGGGGGAGGGGCTGTGTGGTCTGGAGGTATGGTGTCCGCCTTGAGTGCTAGAGGTCCCGGGATCACGCCCTGGTGAAGGCTGGGATTTTTTCACGTGGACTTCTAGTAATTTCCCCTGGTCTCTGCGTAGAGAGACTGGACGCACATACAAATCTCTTGGCAGTTGGGAATCGAAAAGAGTAGCCTAACAGCCCTGCCTGGGCAAAATTTGGAGTTACAAATCTACCCAAAATATTGCACCGGTGTTACAGAGCTCGTGCACTGCACTGAGCTACTTCAGACTCAGTCTTGAGTTAGCAGTAGAAGGGAGCACTTATGTGTTTCTGCCCATGTGCCATGATGTTGATCCCTTGTTCAAACCTAAACTTTAGTTATAGTGTCTACTGTCTTCACCATTTGTTACTCCCAGGTTATGCAATCATGTTAGCGACAGAGATTCATCATTATCTGCCAGCTTTTTCCATACAGCATTGATGATATCAGCCCTGTCCTTGCTGTGTATTTGTACATTACTTGCCAGCTGGTGGGTTCATCCATTACCTTTTACCGCGGCATGCCCCAGTGTGTAGATACGAATGAGGCAGTTTACAATAACTCTTTCTATCTCAAGCAATGAACCATGTTTAATCAGCTATCGTTCAAGGTTAGAAAGCAACACATGATATGACCTAGCCTTTGGTCTAAGCATGACAGAGTTACTTGGTTAATTATGCTTATATGCAACCTGCAAAGTTTTGTTTTTAATGCACCTGTTATAGTTCATGTTGTGTGGCATTAACAGTCATGTCTGTCTCATGCACTTTCAATCCTTTCTAGTACAACTGATCTTACACGCCGTGAAGTCAAACTGTCCTCCATCCTCTCTCTGTCTCCCTTCGCCTTTCTTGCCCTCAAACTTTCCTGTTGTCACAATGTAGTGCATTTTACCCCATACTCAAACTGATTAAAGAATGCAGACTGTCTGTGTGTAAAACAACAAATCTTTTTTCATGAGATCTTCACTACTTTGACTTATTCAATACTCTCTGATCTGCCCAGAGAGGCAAGGAACCAACAGTCTGCTTAAAAATATGCCAGAAATGTAAAATGGATGTGGTCGCAAAACTCAAATCTGGAACAAGATCAAGGTTCAGAAGTGAACGGACTACCAGAACTTTTCAGTCCGTGAAGGCGAAGAAGAAGAAGAAGCTGACTGTTTATGATTCACTTTGTGCATTAGGATGGGCTCTACACAGTTCTAAACTGATTCATGGACACTGTTCAATACGGTGGTTATTACCATTGGGCATCTGCTGCACATTTTCCAGGACTGAAAGAACTGTTTGGCTAATTACCTTATACTTCAAAGTTTATATAGCATTTTCAATGGTTAAACTGTTGGCAAATTTTTGGCTTATATTTTGCTTTGTCTGTGGGCAGTGTTTTAAAAACAAGATTCACTTTACTGTGTCTTCTGACAGACAGAATTACATGTTCTAATGCTCTGACACTGTCTGAGAAGAGGAAAATATCATCTGCAAATCTGAGTTTTAGAATTAAAATTCTAACAATTATGAATGGATGAAAATGATACAAGGTTTCATCATTGTTTATGTTTCTCATCAAATTCTCTGCAACAGTCTTAAACAGGATTGAATGAAGAATAATACCCTGTTAAAACTCAAACCAGTTTGATGCTTCACCAGTTTCTCTGCCAGCTGCTTGTTGTTCATGCTCTAATAATTCAGTTAAGTGGATTGAAAACCTTTAAAATCCTGAACACTTCATGATGCTCAATTTATAGTGTTCAGCTAAAGACCTTACTACAAAGGCATTTTAGTTTTATTTGCCATAAAGAGTATTATAAAATTAAATAAACAATAATTTTCCAGAACAAAAAAAAAGTTTGCATTAGAAATTACAGAAAAAAAATTACTTGGGTTGAAGTGTTCCAAGACTTCCTCCAGCTCATCCCTGACAATGCCCATCACTGAAAGTTTCTTGGTGTTGTCATTAAACTGCTCCGTATCACTGCCCTTATTCAGGCTGCCTGTCGTCTGCACCGTGACTAATATTCCAGGATCAGGCTTCTCTGTATCACTTTGAAAAAAAGATTACAATCTCCAGAACAAAGACAATTTATTCTTAAAAAGCAAATCTCTGGAAATAAGTCGATTCTTAAGAAAAACTAAACATGTACAGCTGTTTTTATGGCTGGTGAAACGAAAATAAGTTTCAAATATTTGACTGCTAATTTTTTTTTTCAACAAGAATCTATTTGACTGTTCATTACATATGTAAAGAAACAAAATTATAATGGATTATGACTTCATAATGAATTTATTAGAACTGTATTTACTGAGAGAGCTGAAGATAAGCAGCAAGCAGAGCATTCTTCATGTTCAAGAACTGAGAACAATGTAAGTCTACTTTCCTAGTCCACCAATGGTGCACAACAATAGCAGAATTGAAATATTTGCTTAGAGAGCACTCTTTACTGGTAGACTATACGATGATTACACACCAGGACAAAATTTTTTGTTATTTGAAGCCCCACTCTGGCTTTTGCCAGGGGCCGCAATATAGGCAGGCCATAAATATGGCCAATTGTCTGAACGCGGTTTCTGGGACCTCTCCACGGCTATCCTCATCCACATGGTGGCACTTTGTGTCATCGGATGTTTATCGCTTGTGTGATGTCCTAGTGGGGTAAAAAGTGAGTCATTTTACTGGTAGACAATGACATGTTTGTGTGTGTGTGTGTGCACGCGTAAGCATGTGTGTGTGCTTGCTCAACTGAACTGGACGCACACTTCAGTCAGTAAATAACTGTTGTTTCAAAACAGCATAAGCATTATTTAACATTCTTCAGTTGCTGACATTTGAAAATAAATATGAAAACCATCATCACATCAGTGAGAGAATGCTACAATCATGAATACATTACTGCTCTATTAAAGTAAAGATAATCCTGTAGCAGAAATTTATGTTGGAGTAAGAAGGATTAGGTCAGGGGTTAGGAACCTTTTAGCAGTGATGAAAAGTCACCTAATTTCAAAACCCAAGTCCCACATATTTTTGAGCTGAGTTGAGTTAAGAATCCACATCATAGATTATAGCACTCAGGATATTCCCAGAAGCCCTTCTATTCTAATATTCAGATGCCAGTTCAGAGTTCCAATTCATGTGGTATCAGTAGCAGTCGGGTTGTATTTTCATACTGCCTTTTTTCCTGAGTGTTGAATGTCAGACATATCCCTTTGGTCAATTTATGTCTCCTCACTGTTCACTCACTCTCAAAGGTCCTTGATAACACTTCACCATATTTCCATTCAACAATTATTGAAAAAAATTAATTTAATCTCCAAAAGATATATACACTTTAATTTAATTTTTGTATTAGATAATTTACTATACTTTAAATAACTCAGCATGTCATTGTAAATCATTTCATTTGCCAAGTCTGACTCTTACGCCATAGGTAGCACATGCTTTGATTATCTTCTCATTCTATACCACAGAATAATAAAATGGCTTACCGACTTCCTGTCTTGCTGCCTTTTCTTCTCAGAAGATTGTGCATATAATTCAGTGCCCACTAGTACGAGGTTAATTAAACAAAGGGCCATAGTGGCAAAGAAGTAGTCCCAGCCACTTGATAAATAAACACAATTATATTGTATATATTTGCACAGCCTCACAATTAGATTTAACTCTTCAAGTCCCAGGGGGTTTAGCTTTAGAGGCCTAAGGGTAGTGAAAAGAGATGAAAATTTGGTGCATCTTGCATTTACTGGGCTTTTAGGTAGGAACCTATGAAAGTATGAAGTGTTTCTTTGAACTGAAAGAGTTTAAACATGTCAAACTAATAATCAACCAGTTTCAAATGTACATTCAGAAACAACAGTTCAAATCATGAACTATTAACCAGCCTGGATATGCATGCCACTTGTTCCACAACCACATGTCCTTGGTCATAATGCATCATGATTCCTGTCCTCCAGTATTGGACATTCTTGTTATAAATATTCAGACCTCTCAAGCTGTGAACAGCAAACATTATACTTTGTCAAAAACTTGCAAATCAAAAAATCCAGAGACAACTAATAAAATACACAATATAGTTTTCCTTGGTGAAACAGTTAAACCATTTGCCCAGCACTCTGAAGATCATGAGTTCAGTGTCTGCACCATATTTTTTTCTTTTTTTTTTTCTTCAAAATTAAGATCTTTTAGAATATCAGTAGTTTTCTTCAATTTGATTCATGCCACTCTAAGACTATTTAGGACTAAAAGTCATGATTTTTTTTTCTAGTGAATGTGAAATTGCCCAAGACATCCATATGTTAGCATGGGAAACATAAATGCACATAAAATATTTACTTTGTTTGCTAGTGTTATGTCACAGGTTTCAGTGCTGTTTAGCCTCTGCAGTTCTATAGTGAATTTAAACTATCACGATTTTCGTTGTTTTTTTAGATAGGTGATTATACTTTCAGCTTCACTGTTGAACAGGTATGGAGAAAGAATGCAACCCTGTCTAATCTCCTGGGCAGCTCAAACCAGCTACTTGTTGTTCATGACATAATGTTTCCATTTTGTATACTAAAAACAAAATAAACATCACTAGATCTGTGTTTACTTCTTCATGGCTAAATATGCAACAACAACAATGCCACAAAAAAATCATACATACATATGTAAACGATATTCCATAACCAATAATGCCACTGTGGTTAAGTGAGATCTTCAACATTTTAAGCCACAAATAGGTTGGGGCACCTAATTTTTTTCCTCATTACCTTTCCTTCTCAATTTCCATTTGAAAAAAAAACTGTTTATGAGTAATGAGTCAAGATTTGACATCATAGCACTCAGGGCATTCCAATATGTGCCCTTGCCCATTTTCAACAGCTAGCACAGAGTTCAAATTCTGATAGCACCAGTAACAGTCCGACCCCTCCCTTGCATGCTGAGCATCGGCCAGATTCCTTGGTCACTTCTCACTGCACCATTCTCTTCAGACCATGATGATTCATTTGTTCCTCTGCACTGTTTACTCACTTCCAAAGGGCCCTCACTACATCTAGCTTGTCGTGCATGAATTTACCACCAAGCAGTGTATACTTTTGTAAATGATACTTTTTCGACCATACTGTTACTGGTTGGGTGGAGGGTGGGGTGGGGTGGGGATCCTGCTACTACTGGGGATTGAACACAGACTATTGTATTGACAGAAAAGTAAATTAATCATCACAGTTCCTAGAAACAGATAAATGTTATTTGAGATAACATTATTATACACATGTGAGGCTCTGTGTCTCTGAGGCTTGTGGAAGCATTAGACAATGCTTTCCATGAGGGTTCTAGGGCCCTATTGTGGGGTAACTGAGAATAGACCCTCTGCCTCCCTAACAAGCATGTCGTAAGAGTCAACTCACTGGGGACTTGATTCGAATTTGCACTGCCTCTGCCTGAGAGGCAAGGAACCAACAGTCTGCATGTAAACGTGCCAGATCTGGAATTTGCATGCAATTGAGCTTCTGGGAAAAGACTAAAGTCCAGAGGTGGAAAAACAATCAGAACATTCTGGTGGAGTTTACAACCAGAGAACATGAAGAAGAAGAAGAAGATTAGACAATGGTATATTCAATGTTTACCAGGCTACAATACCTATGGTGGGAATTGAGAAAAAAAAGATTGTTCTCGTGGCTTTCAGAAAGTGGTATGACAGTCACACTATGGAGGAGACTGGGGCCTCACTACATAATATTCCCATAGTTAGCAGTGGATACAATGCAGCCAACCTTAGTTGTTACACATATAAAAAAAATTATCCTGGATTATGACTTTATAATGAATTTATTAGTACTCTATCTACTGAGAGAGCTGAAGATAAGCAGCAGGCAGAGCATCCGTAATGTTCAAGAACTGAGAACAATGTAAGTCTACTTTCCTAGTCCACCTATGACAGTAATTTTCTTTATGTAGTTTTTAATGTAAACTTTATTCTCTTAAATATTGTTTATTTAACTTTATAATTCTGTTCACGGAAAATAAAAATAAAATGCCTTCGTAGTAAGGCCTTTAGCTGTTTTCAACACCATAAATCAAGCATCACAAGAGGTTCCGGATTGTGTAGGTTTTTGATCCATTTAATTGAATTATTAGAACACGAACAATAAGCAGCTGCCCAATATGCCCAATACACTCCTGTAGGCGTGGAAAAAGGTCCTTTATTTATACTTTACTTACCTAGATGTGCACCCCATCCTGAATGACTTGGTTCTGTCTAATGTTGCACTGGCATTTGACCTCTGTTCTCCAAGCTTCCATTTAGGCTTGGAAAAGCGATCAAATGCCAGGATCAACTGAGATATTATATGACTCCAAATTGCTGGTGAAATTGCTGAGAGATGGTACAGCCGTGCCGCTCTGCAAGCACCCTTGTGTGCATCAATCTTAAACTGTGGTGGATGCTTTGGTAACAGAGAAGGCACAAGAAGGCTGTTGGAAAATAAAAATCCTATGTGAAAGATTAAACTGTGAGACTCTTCCATGTCAAGCATGGAGACAAAATGTACTGATTTTCTATGGAACACCAAGTTGTCCCAGCCTAAAATAGGTACAAGGAAATGTCACTGGAAGTAAGACGACCTGCCTGATGCTGACCACATCACCCATCAAGTGCCCACTGGCCTATAAACATATGGACCTAACACCATATGGACCTAACACCATATGGACCTAACACCATATGGACCTAACACCATATGGACCTAACACCATATGGACCTAACACCATATGGACCTAACACCATATGGACCTAACACCATATGGACCTACCACCTAATGCATCAATAGTGTAAAAGCAATCCTTTACTCTATTTACTTCTATGAAAACAAAAGCAGTATTTATTTGAAACCAAATCTTAAATGAATTTATTCTTCCCCCCTGTCATGAGACAAGAGGCTAAAGAGTCTAACACTGTTTCTCTTGGTTCCTCCTGCCTCTCTTTTCCTCTAGCTTTCTTGGTGTCATAAAGAAATTCCTTTTACAGGACATGCCCAAAGAATGTGAATTGTCTACGTATTGACGTGGGTAGCCAGTTCACTCTGTGATTTGAAACTTCTTATTACATTGTTTAATCTGTCACTGGTGTTTTCATCATTATTCAATAAAATAATGTCTCTGCAACTTCTATATAATTTCTGACTAATTTGCTGACGGTCCATGATTCACCTATATACACCAGGATTGTCTTTATTTAACTATAATTAACTCATCTCAACTGGAATAGATGTAATGCAGTGAATGTTCTTCTTTCCACAAAATACTGCTTTTGCTTTTGTCATTCTACATGTTGAATGGTGAAACAAGGAAGGACCCTTAACATCTGACTTGTCATGCATAAATTTCCCACCAAGTGGTGCAGAACCAGTCAGTGAAAGGCTATCTGTCTGTTCATTTCCCAACACACTGGCATAACCTGGAGAAAATATCCTAAGGACATTAACTATGTGGATAGAGCAGCTGGCCAGTTGAAATTATTGCGCTCTTCTGCAGAAAACCCAGGTTTGAATCCTCAGCAAGGTCAGGGATTTTTGTTTCAGTCAGGGGGAAAAATAAACTCCTAATCTGCAGTCTGTGCAGCCATGCTGCCTTAAACATTCAGGCTCAAACACCCCTCCGCCTGCACAGCAAAAGTGTTAAATACGGTCAGTAAGTGGCAATGGCAGCTAACTACCTGGGACCTCAGAAGCAATGCTTGCCACTCTGAATATAGCATACCTGTCTCCAACTTTCACAACATGCTCTGTGAGTCTCAAACTAGATTTGTTGTATAGTGTGCAAGGTTTTGTTGCACTAAGCAACGTGCACTCGCTTTTGCTATGAACTCCCAAGCACTTCGTCAGCCTCTCAACACAGAGCCATCTGCATAAATAATCACATCGCTTGGGTGGGCATTGTCATGAACCATTTGTTCAACTGCACTCATGGCCCAATGTGAACCCTATACAAGTATTCTACATTTTAACATCTCTAATAACTCTTCCATCTACCGTTATCAAATTAACCAAATTATGATTTTTATTTTTTAATAATTATTATAAAACAAATTAAGGATGTCAAGCTGATTTTCTGCTATGAACATCATACAGGAAAGGTCATTACTTTTGGTGACAAAGACCTGACTACCAACCTGAGCCATGGGTTTTGTCAGTTATTTTTAAATTTAATCACACCTCAAATACAGCTGACTTTTATAAATCTGTTCTGAGCTACTTAGGTGTTCATGTTTCATTAATTACATTGCAAAATAATTCTTCTAATATTTATCTTTGTGTTGGGGTCATGTGTGTGCTGGAGGCAATGAGTGTGCAAATTATCTGGCTGGCAGTGCAGTTACTATGACATGTCTAATAATGGATAGAAGTATGATGTCACCAAAGCAATATAGCAACGGCAATTATGTTGATAAACATGACTCTATTTCTGTTCAGATTAATAGTTAATGGGGTGAAGCCTGAAACTGTAAGGTATGAACATTCCACCAGAGGCAAAACATTTGCTTAAATGACTAGCACAATCGGTTGTTTCACGCTTGTGGAGCTATTAAAGAGATCAAAGCTCTCATGGAAATGTCCAAAGTACTATCTTCACTAATCATTTATCTTGATTTAAAAAAAATAACTATCAAAATTAAATTGAATAAAAAATTTTTAAAATGGAAAAAGGAGAGGGGTGGGGGGCTGCTAAGTGGTCTTAACTCTACCAGACCGATGTCCCACTACTGCGGTAATTTTCTAACTTGCTACTCTACTGTTGTACTGATTTTTCGGAAAATTTGCGTACTACGTGATAAAACGCATCACAAACTAAAAATAACCAACCAATCGTGATCAAACCATGTGGTTATTCACTGTGAATGGCTGTCCACATGTGTTTAGATTTACTCTGTGTGGTTTAACATGAAGAAATTCTGAAAATTCACAATGAAATGGTGATTCAGACTCTGTGGGGTCATAATTTCATGAAGAATACATTCCCACTTGAATTGACACAGTCAGTTAGAGTTCGATTGATGAGGACAATCTTGAATATTATAAATCTAGAAATAGATTGATAGTAGGAGAAGGGGCCGTGTCCCTCAAACAGCAACATCTAGTGTTCACTTTGTGAAACAAGGCTGATCCTGCAGAGTGGACTGGCACACAAAGGTGGAATATTGGCGTTAGATAAAAGGTAAGCCTATTTTCTACAATGTCTCCAAGTTTCATCTTATTCTAGCCATTTGTTTGCATGTAACGAATATTTTTGTATATCATGTCGGCTTTTTCGCGGTAATGCCCAGGAGCTCGGGTATAGGTTCAGGGCCTCAGGTCTGGTAGGGTTAAGGCATGGCGTCCACCTGGAGTGCTGGAGGTCCTGGGTTCAGGCCCCAGTGTAGGTTGGGATTTTTTTCACGTGAACTTCTAGTAATTTTCCCTGGTCTCTGGGTAGTAAGATCAGACACCCACATGTATTGTTGCGCACGTAAAAAATCCCTTGGCAGTTGGAAATCGAAAAGAGAAGTAAAACGGTGCTTCCCAGGCAAAATTGGGAGTTTAAAATCTACCCAAAGTATTTCAGGATCCTCGCCGGTGCTAGAGAGTTTGTGCACTGCGCTGAGATTCTTCGGACTCAGGCTTGAGTTAGAAGCAGAACATAGCAGTTATGGGTTACTACCTTTGTGCCATGATGTTGATCCGTTGTATAAACCATAAACAACCATTAATCAAAAATGTGTAAAGTATACATTTCGTGCTAAAAATATTAATATATCTGCGAAAATAAATGTTAAAATTTACAGTTCATCCTTCTTGTTGGCACTGTCAGTCAACCTCAAGCCGATGTTGAAAGTTTCCAGAAGTTTCAGAAATGCAGGGAAATAATCATAATCTCCTGTGGGTAACTCTTCCTGGACTGTAGCTCTTACAACACTTATTGGCAGCTGTGCAGTCTTGGGGCTGTTTAGTGAAGTCAGAGACTGCAAAGAACAAAACAGCAATAATATGACAAGCCAATAAAATAAGTACATCTAACTGCACTTTCTCTTTTGAGATAGTGTTTTTCACCTAGTCATGTATATATCTAACTGAAGGATCAGCGTCTCTAACTTTATCATTTATTTATGTAAAGTTTGCTTCCACAGGGTGGATTCCAGCCTTAGTAACAAATTCTATCTACGCATGGGTACGTTTTCCTTTTCTAACAATTGAGCAGTGTCCAGAGATTTTTACTGGCTCAGATGAATATGCCTTTACATTACATATTATTATTTGTTTGTATTAGTTTGTCACTCAGTATCATTAATAAGTAGGCCTGTTCTCTAGCCAATTCTCCAGCCCTATGTGCTTTTATAGCCAACGCATTTTTAATGTCCTGTGTCCACATTCGCAAAGGTCTGCCTCTGCTTCATTATTTGGAAAATGTATCCTTCATCACCATTCTCTCCAGGCCACCATTATGTTTAACATGGCCAAAATATCTCAGCTTTCAGGTCTGAATGCTTTTTATGAGCCAATTCTCCTCAATGTTCACATCATGTAGTATGCTGGCGTATTTCTTTTTCTTAGTATATTGTTTAGTTTGTCACTACAAACATAAAATTAACACTTTCCAGGACATTCAATCTGTTCATAAAAATGTTATCAAGACAACTGATAAAATAGTATTTACAAACCTTAAAGAATTTAAAAAGCACTCTAAAAAGCCATGTAGGATTCAGAATAACACAATTTGACAGCTCATCTAGGTGAATATCATAATGAAGCATTGCTCCGACTTGCAGAAGGAATTCATGCACTACAATCAATAAAGAAAAAACAAATAACATAAGATTTATGTATTTACATGCAGATTAGATAATACATATGTTATGGTTATAATTTTACTGAATATCGGCAGCAAAACTCTTCTATTACTTGGGAACGAAAATTGCTGTAAATATTGTTAATCATATTATGATTGCATTTTATTACAACTGAAAAAAAACAACATTTAAATTAAAACAAAAAAAAAACTTTTAAAAAATTCGGTAAGCTATGATCAAGAATACAAGTATCATGGTAAACAGTACTAGCAAGCACCTTTTTAACATCATTTTTTTTTTTTTGGTGCTACTGTAATAGTCATTTTTGTGGTGAGTACTGGCACTTTTTTAGACACTTTATGATAAGCAACAGCATCTTTTCTTCTAGGATAGCGATTCTCAACCTGTGGGTTGCGACCCTTTTGTGGGTCGAACAACCCTTTCACAGGGGCTGCCTAAAACCATTGGAAAACACATATTCACTGAAGTTATAAAGTAGCAACAACAAAAAACTGTTGTATGGTTGAGGGTAACCACAACATGATATACTTTTGAATTTTATTTATTATTTGTGTTTTTTTTTACATAAGCTGCTGTCCAAGTATATATTATTATATACATGGTTCATAGCCAAATTTACCAATCAATTTCAAGGCTTTTCAAGGTCCTTTTCAAGGTCTCTTTAGTTTTGTTTAAGGTTGTCTCGGTGTAATACTGAAACAAGATTTTTGCCTTGTTCAAGGGTGTACCGAGCACATAATGTACTTCATTCGTGCCACATGTGTTGGTATACCAGCACATACATCATCATCATCATGTAGCATTTCCTTTATCCTGAAATAAAAATCGGCCTCTCACCAGCTCTCCCGTCTCATGTACTTTTTTTATACACAAGGAGTCACTTATATCCTGTGCCCATCTTCGTGTTGGTCGGCCCCTGCGCTTGATATAGTGTTTTAAAATTTTTTTTAGCACTTGGTAAAGGGCACTGTCTGTTCTGGACATGGTACCTGAAAGGGTAAGGGGGAGAGAGAGAGAGAGAGAGTCATGCAGAGAGGGAGGAAGACACATGCTGAGGAAGGCTGGGAGAGACAGTGTAAAAATGGACAGATGAAGGTAGAGGAAAGAAGGAAAAGAAGTCTGGGGAAGGAGGAAAAAACGAGAGGGAGGGATGGAGACATGATGAGGGAAAGTGGGAAAGGGACAGCGAAAGACAGAGAGGGAGACAAATACAGAAAGAGGGAATGCAGATACGGAGATGGGCAGATGAAGAGAGAAGGAAGAAGGGAACGAAACAGAGATATGGAATGAGGAAAATATGACAAAGATAGTTGAAGGAAGGGAGACAGAGGGAGAGAGAACGGACAGGGAGAGAAGCAGATGCAAGCAGAGATAATTGTAGACATAAAGGAGAGAGAGACAGAGGGACAGCATAGAGAGGCAAGCAGACAGAGGGAGAGAACCAAAGAAAGAGAAAAAAGGCAGAGCAGGGAAATGGGAGGGATGTATACAAAGAGGAAGCGATGAAGGGAGGCAAACAGACATAAAGCAAGAGAGAGAGAGAGAGAGACACAGAGAGAGAGAGAGAGAGAGAGAGAGAGGTGGGTAAGGAAGGCAGTGACAAACACAGATTAAGAGAGGGGGCAGGAATTGAGACAAGATACAGCAACAAAAAAAACAGCCTCCTGCTGAAACCCCACCCACTCCCCCCCCCCCCCCCCCCCACACACACACACAATTTCATGTGTAGTGGACACAATCACTAGGAAAAGATAGTTATGGGGCAAAAAACGTACTTAGATGAACCAGGGGGGAAAATGGGGGGGGGGGAGAGAATGAGAGAGGGGAGAGGGTAAGGAAATCTAGAGAAAATGAAAAGACAGGATGGAGAGGAGACAAGAAGAGATGAGACAGGAGAAAGAGCAAGAGAGAACAGAGCAAGGAAAGAAAGAGAGGAAGAATGGAGAGAGAAAGGAGAATAGTGGAAGATCAAAGGAAAGAGAAGGGGTGAGAGAAGAGAGGTAAGACACGGTTGTGTGTGTGTGGGGGGATGGGGGGGGGGGGTGGCGATAAGAATACTGAGCGCCAAAAATAGAATTAGGAAATCTCTGAGGCCACTTTTCCGGTTCCTACCCTCTCCCAATGAGAATGTGGCCGTGGTCCATAAACAACAGTGCTAACCCCTACTGCCCCGTGCTTGTCCTATCTGCTGTGACAACAATAGTTCAATTTCTTACACTTAAGGCTGGTGACCTGAGAGCCAAGGTCATTTTATGAAGAAAAAAGTCCAGGGGATCCCAACCCACCACTGGTGGAAAATAGAGCAGGTTACCCACACACACACAAATAGGTCAGGGCATCAGTGGACTTGTTTTATTTCTGGTTTTGCAATTACAGAAAGGAGGTGGGAAAGGAGGTGGTGGAAGGTGGTGTAGAAGGCTGAGATGGTATGGGTGAGACAGAGGAGGTGAGAAAGGTGAGAGAATAATGTTTAAGAAAATAAAGTGGGCACTGAGAAAGGGAGAGAAAGAAGGGAGTAAGAAATAAGATGAGATATAGAGGGAATAAGGTAGCAGGAATGGGTGCACCCCATCCCCTAGTTGTCATCGATGTGGGAGGAGAAAGGGAGGGGGGGGGGGGGGGGGGGGGGTGACGACAAATATGTTTTTAAAAGTACACATATATTTAATGTGTGTGTGAGGGAGGGGGAGTGGTGGACATGAAATTTTCTGCACTAGGCAACACATAACCTTCTACGCCAACTAAAGGTACGGAGAAAGAGAGAGAGAGAGAGAGAGTTGGGGGGGGGGGGGAGCGGAAAATACAAAGAGAAAGAGAGAGGAAGGCAGTGACAGACAGGCAGAGAGTGAGGAACAGGTAGGACAAAATTTGAGGGGGCAGAAAGAGAGATGGACAGAGATTAAGGCCGCTAAGAAAACAAACACATCAAAAGACAATATTCACTATGTTCACGCTGAACGAACCCTTCCCCCCCCCCCCCCCCCTCACTATAATACAACTTCCTGTGTACTTGAGTTGCTAGAAAAAAGATATGAAGCGGCACATTTACTAAACATTTAAACAAGAAAAAAAATAGGAAAAAAAGGGGGAGGGGGAACAGGAAATGAGAGAGTAAAAGGAAAGATAGAGAGAAAGAGAAGAAGATGAAGATCAGAAGGGAGGGTTAGAGACAATGCAGGAGACGGGAAGGAAGGAGCAATAGGTAGAAGAGTGAAAGAGGGAGGGAAGAGAGAGAGAGAGAGAAAGAGAGAGAGGGGTGAAACAACAGAAGAGGGAATCTCGGGGAATTACAATACTGATCGCCAAACACACTGTAAAAATAAAACAGGCCAAAAATAGAACTGGGAAATCCAGCTGACGTCACTTTGCTTAGCCCTAATGCAGTCTTTAATTAATAGAAAAGGCCGTTCTTAGCTCCCACCACGACCGACTATTTATAAATACAACCCAACCGAGCCCCACCATCTCCCAATGTAATCCTTTCTAGAAACCACGGCCATAAAACGATTTATACTATTATTAATTCTGCCGGACTCACTAGAAACAAAGGCACACGCGAGACGCCCCATGCAATGCTGCGCGCATGTATTCATGGGCTGCAACACAGCCCGCCCTTCCCCTGGCTTTTAACAAGCCATTTCGGCTGAAAATAGCCGATATTCAGGTGCCCTAATACCTGAAACGACCTTAAACTAAAGTAGCCAAAACTAGCCAAATAGCCAGAAAAAAGCCAAATGGCCCCCCCAAAAATAGCCTAACTGCTGAAAATCACAGGACTTTTGACGTTCTCTTTGCAGCGGTCAAAATTCACGGTTTCTCAAGGTCAGAATGTCTTATTCACGATCAAAATCACTGTTCCTTGTTGGATAAAAAAAATTCCTGGTAAATTCAAAGTTTCCCGGTCCACCATGAACCCTGTATATATATATATTTTCAAAGCTTTCACACTTATCTGAAAATACCAGACATCTGATCCACTACTCAAGGATCAGGAAAAAGTACACTGCCATTTTCATTGGTTTGTACAAATTTACACAGCACATGCCATTCATTAACCAGGTTAATTGAACCAGGTATGCTCAGGCTGCATGAGGACTTAAACCTCTACATCTCTAGTTTCACTTCCAAAAAAATAAAGAAAACCATTAGTTTCTTCACCTATAAAAAGTTATTACTTCATATTTAAAAGAAAAAAATATTTTGTAATTTGCAATGGCAAAACATCTGAATAAATTCAAAGAAAAAAGACATACACTTCAGATTGTCATCTACTCCGTCATCCAAGTCGCATTTAGTCAGTCCTAAGGCCTGAAGAAAGTCATCTAATAAACATATATCCTGCTGGAGCTTCTTCACGGAGCTGACCACATCAATGAACACTTTTGGAACCTGTCGATGCCGCAGTTTGACATCTCTATCATAAACAGCATCACTCATGCTTTCCCAAGCAGCATAAATCTCTTGCTGGAGCGAGTCGAAGTTATCTCTACCTCCCAATGTAATTGACACAAATGTTGCTCTAGGAAATATACACTTAGATTTTTCACATATTTCCTTCTCAGTTTTCTCTCTTTTTGACTTTTCCATTGAGTTTATGTAAGTGCAGACAACAATGACCTTTAGTCGCAGAACACATGTCTGAAAAATACGAGAAGAATTATAATCATATGTTTGTATTAGCTGTCAGAACATATTGTGTAGAAAAGTAAAACATTATATTCACTTTACACACTGTTCCAGTGGCCTAAGTATTTAACCCCTTCGGTCACTCATATCATGAATATTAATCACACCCTCTGACCTCTGGCATACATGCCTTCTAATAACCCAGTTAGCAAACAACATACACATAATGGTTTTAATTTAACTAACTCTCCTTTTATTTTACACAGCAAAGGTGGTTCTGAGGCCAGAGAAAAAAGAAGAATTGGTAACACTGTAACCTACCATGCATGGCATAAAAGACAACTAAGGAGGGTCGCCACAGAAAACTGTAAATGAAAAATCCAACTAATCATGAACAAGTAGATAAAGTATGGGGTGAGTTGATTGAGAGCCTGTACTCAGTTGGGAGATAAAAGACAGGAGAAGAAGACAGATAAAGGTAGTCTCATAGCAGAAACAGCTGAATATCTTTCTTTTTCTTTCCTTCGCTTGAAAAAAATTATCCATATCTGCAATGTTCTCTAGTATGAACTTCACTGTCTTTTCTAATTCACTCAGCGACCCGTAAAGTTTGGCTTGCACCGATGTTTCTCTTGGCCAAAAGTTTTAACTTGATATGTTGGAGTTGAATATAATTTATTCTTATGTTTATAGACAAAATATATTAAGTGTTTTTAATTTTTTATATTATCATTTTTGAAAGAGGTCTAATCAAATAATATTTGTATCATCAGTCCACTTACAATAGGTAAATGTGGTCTTATAGCAGAAAAAGCTGAATATGATTTATTTTTATGTTGATAGACAACAAATATAAAGTCTTTTGTGTTTAAATTTCAGTTTAATAAACTTTCATGCTCAACATCCCCAGTAGAAGTTGATCATCACATCTTCTTTCATTACCCTCCAACCAGTTTCTGCATGTTTGTCCTGGTTTAAACCATTTTTCTTCCTCCACTAACCACAGCAGACACAGCCAGTCTGTCAGCTCTTCCATTTCCTTTCACCCTGGCATATCTGGATGTGTACAGCCAAGATAGTTTCTTGACGTGGGACTTCTCTTACAATCAGCATCATTATAGTGTTATTATTCTTAGCTTCTCTTATGGGTTACATTATCCCATGTGCTTAAATATATATAAACTAGCAACAGTTGACAACATACAACATACCTGGACAGAAGACACCTTCTCAGACACTGAATGAAGGTCAGCACCATAGTAGGTAGCATCATGGATAATAATATACAATGAGTTATAGGACAGGAAACATGGCAGTATAGCTGGGGTAAATTTGGTGTCTGGAATTTCCCAGATTTCATACGTCAAAGATTTTCTCTGAAAAGTAACAAGTATCCATTATGGTACTATCTGTGATTCAAACTTTAGAAGGCACTGGATTAAATACAAAATATCCCAGTAATTTCAAAGCAGATGTTACCAATACGCCATATTTGTCTAGTGTATAAGTATAAATACAGCAGTTTGGCTAAATTAGAATACCATAGACCAAGAAAAAAAAAAACACTGCCATCATACATGATTTGAGCACTGAGGAGAATTTGCTCATTAACAGCATCCTGTCCTGAGAAAGTTGAGGTATTTTGGCCATGTCAAACATCGTGGTGGCCCAGAGAAAAGTCGTGATGAGGGGTAATTCTGGAAAATGAGGCAGATATCTATGAATGTGGATAATAAAAGACAGTGAGGATGCATTGCCTCTGAAAACAAAAAAAGGTGGAAAACTGTCTAGAGAAAGAGAGACAACTCTGATGCATTGCTGCACAGGTCATTTGAGCTCTGAAGTGGGCCTGTGTCTATAGAAGTGAGGCTGGTGTACAGACTTTACCGCTGAAAAGGTATTAAAGTATTATCTCTATTGACTGACTGACTATCTACCCCACCAGGACATCACACAAGCGATGACACAATGTGCCACCATGTGGGTGAGGATCACCGTGAAGAGGTCCTAAAAACCGCGTTCAGCCTTTAGGCCATATTTATGACCGGGCTATACTGCAGCCCCTGGCATGAGCCAGAGTATGGCTTCAAATAACGAAAAATTGCATCCTAAAAAAGGACAGCAATATTTGTGTTCATTTTTTTAAAAGGACGGGAAATTATTATCTCTATTGACTGACTGACTTTCTACCCCCACCAGGACATCACACAAGGGATAAACACCCGATGACACAATGTGCCACCATGTGGGTGAGGATCACCATGGAAAGGTCCCAGAAACCGCGTTCAGCCTTTAGGCCATATTTATGGCCAGGCTATATTGCAGCCCCCAGCAAAGCCAGAGTAGGGCTTCAATTAACGAAAAATTTCGTCATAAAAAGGAAGGGAAATATTATTATCTCTATTCACGATTGGATTGGATTGGCTTTTTACCCCACCAGGACATCACACAAGCGATAAACACCCGATGACACAAAGTGCCACCATGCGGATGAGGATCACCGTGGAGAGGTCCCAGAAACCGCGTTCAGACATTTGGCCATAATGATGACCTGCCTATATTGCGGCCCCTGGCAAAAGCCAGAGTGGGGCTTCAAATAACAAAAAATTACGTCTTAAGAAGGACGTAAAGGATATCTCTATTCACGAGGCCTAACATTTAAAAAAAAAAAGACAAATTTCAAGAAAGGCTCAAGTTTTAAAACTGGAATTAGCTCTAAAAATTGCTTTCATAATTTATCATTGCAGCTGTCCTGTTTGTCTATCTTTCTGCGAAGGCAGATTTTTAAAACTTTACTGTATATGTATGATGGTAAAATACTCTGCAGGACTTTTCTACAGCTGGTTAATTTCAATAATGCTCTAGTTATCCTGACATCAGAGTGATGTCCCCTGCTAAAACTATAACAGCAATTAGATATGCTCAATTACCAACCTGTTTTGGAGACATCTGAGTAACTGTCAAATTCTGTAAATACAAATGGAAAAAGTATTATACTCTTACATATGATATGCATGAAAATTCACCCAGAACAATAACATTCTATTAAACATAATAAAAATGATAACAGAGAATAGCTGAAAGGAAACTTTTACAATAATCAAATTTTTTTTAAATGTCAAAATTTGAAACATTTGAATCATATTCTCTATTAAAGAACAATAAATGGCAGATTCATAATGACAAAAAATGAATTGTTGTTGTTCTTCTTATTTCTTCTTTGTATTTCTGGTGTAAAGTTCTGGTAGTATATCCATATCTGGAATTAAGTCTTATTTCAAGTCTTGAGTTTTGCCTATACATCCATTTTACAGACTTGGCTTGTTTATATGCAGACTGTTGGCTCCTCAACTCTCAGGCTGATGCAATCTGGATTTGCAAGAAACATTGCTATTAGTCACCTGGACAACATGCTTGTTAGGGAAGCAGCAGGTCAATTCTCGATTCCCCCAATATGGGAGCCCAGGAATCTGCATAAAGCCAATTTATTAGCTACTCTTTTTTTTTTTTAATGTGTGTTGATATTTTGATGACTCAAAAGTGGTGATTTCAAAACTATTAACCTGTTTAATTAAATACTAGTAATGTTTTATTATTTACAAATATTGTGTTATCTTTCCTTGGGAGTAAGCAAGGCAGGCCAAGAGGGATCATGTTGCATGAGCAACAAATGATATTTACAATACTGCCCAGGCTTTGGGCTCTGGAGAGAAAAGGCTTTTCATAAGGTAAGTAGGTCTTTGCTAGTTACACTCGCCATCATCATGGGCGGTGATTCTTATGCCTCCTTATAGTACAATTTAACACTATCATCTGGATAGATGGACAAGTGTCAACATTTACATTACAAACATGTCAACTGATGTGTTAGTAGTATACCTCTTGATCACAAGTACCAGCATTCTTTCCACTGACCATCTTTTGAACTATACAAGGTCCATTTATACTCTGTGTCAACAGAAAATTGTTAACAATCAAATTTAAATCAAATGTTTAAAAATTAATATTTATTATTATAAAAGAGGCTAGAGAACAATTTCAGGGTGCAGTGATGACATTCTGCACTGAACAGAACTAAACAGAAAAGTTTTAAATATGATTGCATTATACAGTTGTATAATATAAATTGCTTTTTTTCAGACTGAAAAACAATCCCGCAGAAGCTGCAGTGACTAAGTGGTGATTGTGCTTGCCTGCTGAAACAGTGGCCCAGGTTAAATCCCCAGAAGTGGCAGGTTAATTTATTTTTTTTAGCATGATTTTAAGGTTGACTTAGCTTTATTAACTCTTTGGATGCCAAACTCCTGATGTCTAACTTAGCCATTTTGGAGATTACATACTATTATTGCTCTGTTCTATCGCAAAGATGTATTAAAGCTACCTGCCTATATAGATTTGTTTAACTTCTTCTTGGTTTTTTAACCCCATCAGACTCAGACATTGAGCACTTTCATGTTAGTTAGTTGACAGACTATCATCATCGCACATCAGATCATTCAGTCCCTAAGTGCTCAGATCCCCTCTTCAGTATCTCCCTCAGCGTTTAGTGGCTTATGACACTAGTTCTGTATTGGTTTACTATTCTTCTTTGGGCCCTAGTGTAGGGCTCTTGTCTGGCTTCACCCCTTTTGATGTTATGTTTGTGTAGTCTCTTTAGTGTTGCAGATTCACAATCATTACTTGATTCGTTCAAACGAGTTGCCTCTCTGAGGGCATTCATTATATCAGCCCTGTGCATTGTTCGTCAGTTTTCAACATGAGCATCACATGCAAGTCTGTCAGCTCGTTCATTGCCTTTTACCTCAGAATACCCCAGGACAAATAAGTTCTATGTCCTCAAGTGGACAAACCTCTTGTATAATATCCCCAGCCTGACACATCCATGATTTTCCTCTCTTTAATCTGCTGCTTTTTCTTTTCCTGATTTCACTGTGCAGCGGCTATTGTATGTCGGCGCTGACTCAGAGGTAGGCATGTGTGTGCTCGACAGATCCTTATTCAATTGATGAAAAAACAAGGAGGTACCGCATTGTTCTACATGCTGTTTTTATCTGTTTTTAAGATCTTGACTGTTGGTGAGTGGTTCCTACTCTTGCTGTTAATAACAGTGGTTGCGTTGAATTTTACTTCTCTCAGTCTCACTGCTTTCACAGTTCTGTAAAACTTTCCTGGTGACTCAGTGCATAAGTTTCTCTACTTGTTCTCATAGTCTGCCCAAGATTCTGATTTTGCCTCTTTCACTGTCCTTTTTGCTGACTCTTCTCGCTCTTCTACAGGTGTTGTAGTCTTCAGGTTTTGTCCTCTGCCACTGAGGGAAACATTTCTTCTTTTCCTGGATAGAAATGTTAACATCTTTTTCCACCATGCTGCATGTTTTCTATGAGTGCCCAACTTTTTGAGACTGCAGTTCTTTTTTACTGTGTTCAGGATGCAGGTTTTAAAAGTCCACCACTCATCTTCTATGTTGTTTGCTTCTAGAAGGATGCTGAAAGAGATTCTGACTGCTCTGCCTTTTTCCTCCGGAACAACTTTATCTTTTAGTTTCACATTATTTAAACTTCTGCTTGTTGAACTGATTTCTTGGGGTGTCTTCCGGATGGTTTATGTAGCAAAGTACCACTGGTCTATGGTCCTATAATAACTCAATGTTTCTTATGTGGAAGCAATCAATTACACCACTGCCAGCTTGTATGGCAGGGAAGTAAAAAATCTGACCTGGATGGTACCTGTCTCCTACCAGGCGAGCCACTGCCCTGTTAGCCTGAAACCTCACGGCTTCAGTTTTCTGGCATCCACCATGAGGAGGTGGGGTTGGCCTGGTGCTCTACAGATCATTGGCAGGCTACTTATTTTCAACTTTTGCCTCTCCGAAAAGAAACTAGCCTACGTTAACACTGCTGCCTGCAGTGCCAAGCGCCTGAGCACACCTTTGTATGCCCTTCCAGGGGCTGAAAAAAGTTAAAATTGGTACCAGAAAATGAGCTGGAATTTGACTGGGAAGGAATGACATAGAGGACAGGAAAACATGCAGTGGCCTAGAATGTGTTTAGGCCTATCACACCACATCCTTAATGACAGTTTCTGCTGTGGGTCTTCCTCTAACTTTCACAATTCTGTGAAAAGATACTATCTTATCTTTTACCAAGTGAGCCATGGTGGCATATTAGCTATATGCTCACCTGCTGGCCCCTAGGTCTTAGGTTTGAATCTGCATCAAGCCAAATTTTTTTTAAACATGGTGAAGCATGTCTCTGCTGCCTTCGAGGCTGAGATCGGAGACATTATTACCAACTTCTCATGGGAACAATCAGTAGAAGCACATTAGAATGGCTGCTTCTTCTTAGGACTGAGCATGTATGGGAATCCCCAATGTAACATACCATGACATAAAAAAATAAAGTGAAGGACCCTTTTCTATGCCTTTAGCTGCATAGAGTACTAGAACTATATTTTATAAATCAGTTAGCACTTAGTGATGTAGTTAACATCACCGCTTAGTGATGTAGTTAACATCACCGCTTAGTGATGTAGTTAACATCACAGCAGCCACCTTTACTTCCTAGGACTTAAGTACCCACTTCAGGCTGGGTCAAACTGGAAGTCACGGTCAGTTATGAGAAAATGCAAGATGCGGATTTGATAACATAACATACATTTATTAGTTTCTCTAAAGTTTTTAAATGTCTTGGATGGGGCAAGCTGAAGACACAATTGGACATGTGTGCAGGCTTGATAAATTTGAGCGAGGAGAGAAGCAGGTCAAGGTGTCCAAACAAGTTTCAGACTTGCGTAGGGTTCTAATCACTTTAAGTCCTGAGTGCAGAGACTGGCCAGCTGGTGCTGCAGAATTAGAAGTTCAACAAAATGATTCATGACAATTTCCACCCAAGTGATGTGATTATCTATACATATGGCACTGTGTTAAAGGGCAGATGAAGTGCATAGGGGTTCGTAGCAAAAGCAAATATGATATCACAATGTCTAGTTTGAGAAGGGAGGTGCAGACAGTCTCTGCTGCCTTCCACTGGCTTGAGAATCAGCTGTACACACATGCCGTGATTGTAACTGACTCACAGAGCATGCTGAGAAAGGTGAAGACAGGCATGCTTCGTGCAGAGTGGCAAGCATCACTTCAGACCTCACGGGTAGTTAGCATCCTTTGGATATTTTCCCCAGGTATGCTGGTGTGTTGGGAAATGAGCAGGCAGATAGACTGGCCAGCTCAGCACCACTTGGTGGTGAATTGATGTACGACAAGCTAGATATTGTGAGGGCCTTTTGAGAACACGTGAACAGTGTGGAGGCACAGATAGAACATTACTGACTGAAGAGAATCGCGCTGTGAGGAGTTACCAGGGGATCTGGCCAAAGCTCAACACCCAGGGTAAGGATGAAACGGATATACAATCAGACGGTTACTGGTACCATCCGAATTTGAACTCTTCACTTGCTGCTGAAGATGGGGACGGAGCACTTATAGAAGTGTCCCGAGTGCTGTGATGTTGATTCTTAATTCAACATTTTATAGTTTTAATTTATTTCTTAATTAATTATGTGCCATTTTTCTTGTAGGTTAAATCATTATGTACCAGTTGTTATTTTAACTAATTTTATTCTGTAGTTGTATTTAACTCACTCAGAGTGAAAGTTATACATTGTAAAGTATGCATATTTCAAGACTGACCTTGCAACCAAGTACCACAATTTTTAGAATTTCAGGCTGGACACAATTCCTGCGCTTTCTTTCCAGATGCATGATAATATCACTAGCATACATACGAGTTCTGTCATCCTCTGCAAAAAGATACAAATTGTTGATGATTAAAAAAAAGACATCATAATAATAAAGTTGTTCCCAGTTTACATCTGTCTGCACCAACTAACCAAGGAGCTCAGGATATTAAAACTGGTACAAACAATTTCTTTTAATCCTTGTGCCCTGGGTAGACTAAAAAAAGGTGGGGGGGGGGGGGGGGGGGGGGGGGGGGGGGGGTCATGATCCCGCTGAAAATCCAGAAGAAAACAAATCATTAAAAAACATTTAGCTTTCACAAGCCACTAATAAATTCATTAAAAATGCATTTATCTACATTTTTTAAGTTAACTGTTTTTTAAACATATCTATATATATAAAAATCAATGTTTGTGTGTTTGTTTATGAGCTATAGACTCGGAACCTACAGAACCGATTTAGCTGAAATTTTCAGGATATGTTTGTTTTGATACTGGATGTTCACCCATCATGGTTTGAAATTCAACCTGTCATTGTTAGAGATTATGTGCGACAATTTTTTGGAAAATCTTCGAAACTAATATTTACATTTTTAGTGACAGTTAATTATAGCCACGTTAGTAAATGCGCATGCGCCGTAGTCAGAATGCAGGACTTCCACCATTCGCCGGCGAGATACGTACAACCAACGCCTTCTCTAATAAATAGAGTAGGCCGTGGTACAGCAAACAAGACTATATCTATATCTGTGCAGGCAATGATTGCCACAATAACCATATTAAACACGATTTCTATTTTCTTTTTTTTTTTTTTTCAAATAACCTTCGATGAGTTGGAAAGTAGCCGATGGATTGGAAGGGAAAAAAGGGGGGGGGGCATCAAGGCCTATCTCGACGTCGGCGCAGACTTTGACTGCGACATTAACCTGTGACCTCTTCTAATGAGGCTAAAACCCTTTTTTTCTCCTGTGGATACCAAAAGCAGCTGCTGTGAATTTACAGAAACGAGCCAAATACAACCGTTTCCTTGGATATCCAGGACTTCGTCTGAGATCAGCATAGCTTGGATATTAGTCCAGTTTCTTTGGTGGAAGTGAAGTGTTGAGAGTAAATCTCCTATTCTTCACAAAAGCATCTATCCACTTGGGGACTCACGACCACAACAAGGTTTGTGTGTTATCTTCTTTATCATTCATAATGTACTTTGACAACATAGGCAAAGAAGCTGGGAGCAAAAAAGATTATATGTTGGAATTATTATTTGCAGGTGACTAAGTATAAACAGCAGAAACAGAAGTCTCCAGAATCCTCCCAAACAAGTCAATACCGACTGCCAGAAATATAATATAAAGATAGGTATGTATGTATGTATGTAAGTTGTACCCCACCAGGACATTTTATTCTTCCTTTCTATCCCCCAATGGAGCATAGGCCCTCAACCAATTCACTCCAAGTCGTTTTATCCTTCACTATTACATGGAGCTCTCCCCATGTCCTCCCTATCTTTCTAACAACCTTATTTTTTTTCTTCGGACAAATTTCATGGTTTCTAGGATGAGATTTCTTTTATTATTTTGATATTTCTTTCTCAGGAATGATACTCCAGAAGGTTGTATGCTTGCTTTTGCTTCTCTCATGCTGTGGGTCCGACTGAGCACATTAACAAATCTCCCACTTCAATATGAGATAGTCTAGTCCATGCATGTGGCCTTGGTCCTCATGTCGGCCCACAGCCTTCTGTCTCACGTACTGTCAATCTATAAGGCTGCTCATTCTCCATCAGATGTATGTGTTGAGGATGGAAATCCATGATAAGCTTCTCATCTATTCTTATCAAGAGATGCAAGCCACTTCACATGGTGCATCAGAACAGTATTTTAAAATGAAGCAAATCTGGAACGATAAGTGCAAAAATAAAATAACTGCTTGAGTCAGACAGTCTAATCCAACTATGGTCTTGTATAAGACGTATACAATGTAGTTACAAATTAGATAACTTTGAGTTTTCTCACAACTCATGAGACAAACCGAGATACCACTTACCTACAGAAGTAATCAAATTCTGCAGTTGCTTATCCTTGACAGTGACACCAGTCAGGTCAAGTTTCAGTAACTTCTTCAGCTTTCCTAACTCAGCAGGCAGTTCCATGATTCTCGGATTTCTAGAATTAAAACAAACATGTCCATACACAAAAGGAATACTATAACTGTCTTATGATGCTAAAAACCAATATGAAAGTTATATATATATACAGAACATTTACATTTTCTTTTCTCTGTGTAGGAAAGCATGTATAAATTATCTTAGCTGACTACAAAATGTACTGGCCTGTTCCAAGCACAATGAAGTCAAAACTTTATGGTACACGAGAAGATATGGACTGCACGATAAATTTCATAAAGGCCACTGGCCTCCTGACATAAATTTTTGACAGAAGGATCGAAGAAGAAGAAGTCTACAAAATGTCACAGCAGAAATGCCATAATCACAGACTTTGTTTAATAATTTCCTTGTTAAAATATGGGGGGAAAATCAAACAAAATGAACAACAGAACAGGTCAGCTTGTCAAAAAAACAAGTCATTTATGACCTGGACAATGATATAACTACATAAAACCTACATAAAATGGCTTATAAAAAGGCTGAAGCCCACTACTGGTGGAAATATCAACCCATGTCGTAAAACAAGGGCTGTTTAACACAAGTTCTCACTACAGTGTTGAGCTAAGGACTGACATCAAAGCATTCTGGACATTCCCATAAGCGCTCTGTCCTCATCTTCAGCAGCCAGTGATGAATTGCTATTCTGATGGTGCCTGTAGTAGATTAATTATATGCTCAGCCTACTTTTCTTCTGAATGTAGTATGTCAACCAGATCCCCTAGTCCCTCCCAGGGTACCATTCACTCCAGACCATAATGATTGATTCATTCATGTGCATTGTTCACGAAGCAGATGCAATAATCTATACAGACGGATCCGTTATACGCCAAAGAAGAAGCGCATGGGCATTTACAGCACGTTCAGCGGGCAGAACAGTCAAAGAAGCCAACGGCGCCTTCTCCATGACAACCAGCAGCATGACGATGGAGGTGATGGCAGTGACGCAAGCGCTTGCCTGGCTTGAAACACAAAAATACACCCGCGTGTGTATACTCAGTGATTCAATGAGTATGATCCGGAGGGTTCAGGCAGGTTCAGTGCGAAGACAATGGCTTGAATCATTACAGAAGTCCACTGTGCGTGGAGTCACCTTTATTTTTGTTCCGGGATACGCAGGCGTCGATGGAAATGAAAGAGCTGACAGGTTGGCTGGATCCGCTATCACTACCGACGGTCAGCCTATGGATCATGCTGATATTATCAATGCCCTCAGAGAAATGGGAAGGATAGAGGACTTTGGTGGCAGTGAATCCACATCACTCGCCAGAATGGCAGACTTGGGAATTAAGATCGGCACAGCAAAAAACGAGATGCATACCAGACACGCCAGAAGACTTGTTAATCAACATAGAACTGGTACTATTAGCCATCGGACGTTGGGGTTCATACTGAGGGGAGGATCTGAGCACCTATGGACATGTCCGGAGTGCAATGAGGATAACCCAACTAACTAACTAACTAACTAACTAACTAACTAACTAACTAACTAACTAACTAACTAACTGTTCACCTGCTCCTGAGGGGCTTTGACCACATCTAGCTTGTCATGCATAAATTCCCCACCCATTGGGGCATAACTAGCCAGCCTGTCTGCCTGTTCATTTATTACCACTCCTGCACACCTGGAGAAAATATCCAAAGAACGCTAACTACCCAGGACCTCTGAAGTGATGCTTGTCACTCTACATGGAGGATGCCCGTCCCGACCTTTCTTTACATGCTTTGTGAGTTGGTTACAACATGACATGTATACAGCTGGATCTCAGCCAGCGGAAAACTGCTGTGACTGCCTCCACCTCCTGTAACACTGCTCCCTAACAAGCATGTTGTACGAGGCAACTAAGGGTATGGTTGGGTTTGTGTTTGGCTACCTCATTTCACAAAAACCAACCAATCATTTGAGTCCTTTTTATTTATTTTTTAACTAACAGGCAATATTCAGCCAACAAAGATGAGGGAGGCTCTTCTAACAGAAGAATAAAAACACAGAGCAGAGAAAGGTGAAAGGGGTCTGCATTGCTGTTGCACCTCTTTCTACCTAGGAAAATCTCCAGAACTGGCACTGAAATGTCAGGCATATGAATGATGTGGAATGGGCAGCAGAAAAGTAACAGATATGAAACTTTATTTAATTAGTAATTTAGAATTAGACGAAACTAGAGGGAATTAGAGAGTTAAAAAAACAGGAGGAGGACATGGGGTGAGCTGCACGTGACAGCAAAGATTTGGCTGAGTTTGTTGAGGGCCTATGCTCCATGGAAGGATAGAAGAAGAAGACATCATGATTTATCTGCCTACCTTTGAACTTTACCTCCAGAATAACAATGTCATGTCTTTCCCTGTTTCCAAAATCTTTTAATTTTCTTGTTTATTTCTGTCATTTGCTCTCTTTTCATGGCCAGCTTTCGTAAGGTTTACGAATGCTGTCTAGAAAACAACAAGCCATAGTTATTATGAAAAGGAACGGATTGCGTGACATCCATTTAACTTGGCAGCTAAATATAGGGTTATGTCTTGGGAATATGTGAGCAATGATGTTGCTCTACTAGTCAGAGCGATAGTTAAAAGCTGTTTAGTAGGCATGTACTATGTGCTTGTCACATTCAAAATAGCTGAATGAGTAAAGCAAAGAATTTACATCAAATTTTGCACTTCAACATTCTTCTCTGAAAACTATTCAGATATTTCAGAAGATCTTTAATGATGCAATGAGTGCATCACAAATAAATGTGTGGCACAAACGCTTCAAAGATGATCAAGATTGTAATCCCATTTCTGGAAGGCCTGATAATGCAGAATACCTTCAAAAGATTCTCCACCATCTTTGGAGCATCCACCTCACATTTTATTTGTGATGTACTCATTGCATCATCCAAAAAAGCTTTCTGAATCACCAAAATAGTTTCCGTGAGTAATGCTGAAGCATAACACAAAATGTGATGCTGTTTCTTTGGTCTCTTCATTGAGTCATTTTAAATGCGATGAACACATAAAGCAAGTGCTCACTGAATGGTGTTCAATAGTCGTACTGACTGGTTTAGCGGCGTCATCAGTGTTCACATATGCGCATTATGCACGACGTGGCTTTCCAATTGGCTACCAAATTTCACTGATATCATGCAAACCATTCCCTTTCATATTAACTATGGCTTGTTCTCTTCCAGAACCCGATGCATACATGTGTTCGTCTTGTGTCCATAAAATACATATGTCATTATAAGGACTCAACTCAGTTTTCTAACTGTTCACTTATTTGTCAACACTTCTGCACTATTTAGTAATGTTGCATATTTATAACACTGACTATTCTTATTTGTCATGTCTTATTGATCTCTTTAGATAATAATATCAGTCTGTGTTGGTAACTAGTGTCGCTGCACTCAAACAAGTTGACCAAACCATTTTGATCTTCTTCGTCTTAGAAGTAGAATAGAGCATTTATGGGTTACTACCCTTGTGCCATGATGCTGATCCATCGTTTAAACCTAAACCTAAATTTGGATCTTCTGCTTCTGTGTTCATCTGACACAAAGTGTTCTGGCAACTTTACACACACACAATTTATTCAAAGAAACATTTACTCGCTCAAGTCCAGAACTGTTAACTTTTCCATGTCACTGATTCCATCAGGAACTGTCTTCAGGTCATTATTTGCCAAATAGAGCTCCATCAATGAAGATGCTAGACAAGACTTTGGAAACTCAACGCGTGGCAGAGGTGACTGATTCCTGGGGAAATAAAGAAATAAGAATTAAATTATGATCAACAAAACTACGACATATTAAACATGTGGGTTGTGGGGAAAACAAGAACAGATCTACTGTCTTCACCAACAAGCATGTCATAAGAGTCAACTAATTGGAGGCTTTCTTCGAAATCACAGTGCATCTGCCTGAGAGGTGAGGAACCAACAATCTGCATACAAATAAGCTAGATCTGTAAAACGGATGTGAATGCAACACTCAGGTTCTGGAACAAGACTAAATTTGGAGTTGGATGAACAACAGAACTTTCCACTGGTGTTTACAACTGGTGAAGGCAAAGAAGACAAAGCAACAGAAGTTCTTTTTTTTCTACAGTCATTATTATTACTATTTGCCACGCTGTGAGCATAAGCTGTCAATTTTGCTATCACATATGATCACCAGAAACAGGGATTAGATCAGTTTTCATGTCTCTATATATGGCGAAGCCAACCAATTAAAAGGATGTAGCTTCTATTTTATAAAAATCATACTGGAGGGAAAAGCTGAAGGCAAATGAGTAAGAAGTAGAAAGTGATAATTAATAGTGGAAAAATTAGGTCTGGAGAATTGAAGATTGTGTTCATCTATGCATAATCATATCAACACACGAAGCTGCAAGGAGATACATTTCCTTACATCCAAAGATAGATCAGAACTAAAAGAAATAAAGAGAGAGAGAGAGAGAGAGAGAGAGAGAGAGAGAGAGAGAGAGAGAGAGAGAGAAAGAGAGAGAGGACAGAGAGAGTGTGAGATAGTCCATGTGTGTGAAAGGGAGAGAGCATGTGTGTAAATATGTGTGTAAGGGAAAAGTGCAAGTGTGTGTGTGTGTAAATGTGTGTAAATGTGTGTGTGTGTGTGTGCATGTGTGTATGTATGTAAGAGACAGAGAGAGAGAGGCAGCGGGGGGGGGGGGGGGGGGGGGGGAATTATATAAAATGCAGCAGCAATCAGTTCATAAAATAAATAAAACTGATAAGTAACTTACAATGAAATGATTCTCTGAAGAGGTGTCTTCACCTTATCTAGACCTAGCTGATTATTATTTAAGTTGAAGGAAACAAGAGGACAACACCACAGGTCTGGCTGTGGCATCTGCTGGATTTTGTTGTATGACACATCTAGAAATGTAAGGGTACCTGTAAAAGTGATGAAATTACTGATACTGCCATAAACACGTTGTTTGAAAAACCCCAGACTAACTGACTGACTCCTTCACTGAGTGATTAATCAACATCACAGCAACTAACTGGTTATACACTTAGATATAATGTAAAGTTAACAAATTAAAGTTAAAATAACTGGATCGACTTCTTGCACTGGATTATTCCAGAAAACTCAGTCTCTTACAGCATAATGCTGAGAACATCTCACAAAGCAAAAACTCTGTAGCTTCAGTAATGATCCCCTGTAAAGTTAGTTGCATATCCTTTACAGGACGCTGCAGAACCAACCCCAGCATTTTTTTGCTGTTGTGGTTTTTCTAGGAACATTTATGTCCAGTAGTTTGCCACTGCTTTCTGGACGGTTGGTTTCTCGATACCACTGCCGAAATCAACGCAAGGCACAAGGCCCGCAGCTGGGATCGAACCCGGCACCCTGGCATTACGAAGGTATCTCCATGAAAATCGGACTAATGGAATAAATCTAAGACCATTACTGTGTGAAGCAAAATGGTTCAACTATTTGCCAAGCAGCCATCTAGATATTTAGTCATCCACAGCAAATTTTGTATGATGTAGATCAGGGGTGTTCAACTGACAATTTATGGGCTAAATCTGGCCTGCAGAGGTCTAGCAAGTGGTTCATAGATCATTGCTAGTTGTATTGTACAAATGATCTTTTTTTGCTGGGGCTAAGGCCTCTGGCCCGTAACGATCCCCATTTTTACAATTTTGGCCCTTGTGTAAACTTGACTGAACAGCCCTGGTGTAGATGCTGAAAATTACATGAGCTAATGGCTGTAAACAAGTTATGATCTTCCTCTCAGTGACCCAAAAGGCTGCATTTATGATGTCAATCCAAACTTAATCAAATCCAAAATATCCCATTCAATTATATATATATATTATAAAACTCTCTAGTACTTTTCAGAGGACAGATGCAGAGTTAAATTCAGTAAAACATTATGACATTAATACTCTAGATCAGCTGTTCCCAAGTTGAGCACTTTTGAGAATGAATTTCTTAGGTCTACCATACCTTATATCGTAGAAGTAAATGGTGTTTGAAGTCAGGTTTCAGAGCAGTGGAAGATGAGGTGGTTAGTAAGGGAATTTAAAGTAAAGAGATATCTAAACAATGGCAGCTCACAGAAGCCAGCTTTAGGCCTCAGAGATAAGGTATCTGAGAAAGGTGGACCTTGAAATCCATGCCTTCCAAACTCGAGTGGATTGGTGATATTCGCAATGGTTTGGACATATGTGCACAATGGGAGAGAGTTAGCCACCACAGTAGGCTTGAGAGGCCAAGAATCAAAGAACCAAACCACTGGAACGACCCAGAGTTAGCTGGAAAGACAACATTTGACAGTCCTTGACTGACACAGAACTTGAATGGAACAAAGCCAAAAATAAAACTGCTGATAGAGAAGTCTGGCGATCTCTCTGGAAAACCTCTACATCCCAAGGTAGAAAAGGAGCCACTAAGTAAGTTGTAAATGCAGCCAAGTTTGAGTTTAAGTTGGGTGGGTATTTATTTTTTCTTTTTTGGGTTCACTCTGAATATATTCATTACCCACTGAAAAGCATCAAATACATTCTCTTAAAACTTAATGTTATTTTAATCCAAACAAAGCTGTAAGAGGGAAGCAGTATCTACCTTTTCTATGCACTCTAGCCTATACATATGTTTCCTCTTAAAAGAATAAATTTTTGCATTTGCATGAAAAACTGCAACAGTTTTTCTTTGTATTGATAGATTCATTTTGTTAATTTAGCTAAACATGTCAGCCAAATATGCTAGTTTGCAGTTAGTCTTCACCATTTAAAACTATTGCTAATGAAGCATTATGGTATGAACTTCACCAGTTCCAGCTACATGATAATATTCTAGGTAGGAAACTTTGAGTACATTTTCATTTTTTAATTCAGCAAATATACATTAGAAATTTTACTGAAGAAGAGCTGGAAGAACTAACAAAGTTGTACAATAACAGTATAGCTAATGCTAGTATCAACGAGGAGTGGGTACACAGCTATCTGATACCTCTGCCAAAGCCTGGTAAAGACCAGACACAAATTCAGGGGTATCGGATAATAGACCAGACACAAATTCAGGGGTATCGGATAATAGACCAAACACAAATTCAGGGGTATCGGATAATCACCATGTAGAATACTATAGGTAAGCTGTTGGAGAAGATAACTGCCAGAAAAATATCGTGCCAGCTAGAGATGCAGTATATTTTTCCATCTACCCTTGGAAGATACCGCCCAGAGAAACCTGGACCAATGCAGCAGTTTTCGCCCATGACATGTATGAAGGTTTTTACGCAGGCACTGAAATGTGTGCAGCGGCTACTGATCATGAGGATGCGTACAAAAAGGTACCATTAGACTTTTTAATGTGTCAACTTCTGGAGCTAAAAATATGTTTATTCCTTCTCAGTTGGATCTCTGCAGATGTCGCAGTTGGACTTCTAAACCTACAACCATACATACTGGCCTGCCACAGGGATCACCATTTTCTCCCGTACTGTTCAACATTTACACGGTGAGAATCACAAAAGAGCATATCACAGGACAGGGGAAGGCGCTGTCATACGCTGATGATGTGTGAGTGTATCGACAGGGTAGAGACAGAGAGCAAGTTGCTTGAGAACTACAGACAGAACTCAGCAGCATAAGCAGTTGGTGTAGTGAAGCCTGCGTATTGGTCAATCCAACGAAGGCAGCAGTGACGTGGTTCTCTTTGGATAACCATACTGTCAACACCCCAACGCCAGCTGTAGGCCTATGCTCAGAGACTGTGGAAAGAACACAGGCAATGAAGTACCTAGGGATACGATTTGATTGCAGCTTGCCCTATACTGGACACATAGACCAGGTGATAATAAAAGCCAAGTGGGGCTTGGCTGCGGTGAGTCATGGCTGCAGCAATCTGTGAGCAGCGTCATTTATGTCTTTTGTATCAGGGTCTGGTCCTTTCTGTATTTGAGTATGCGATGGCAATCCTAACTCTCAGCCATGAGCAGATATAGAGGATGGAAAGGATACAAAATGAGGCCTCGTGTATTATTTTTAGATGTACAAGAGATACAACTTGCAGGGCGATGCGCTACCTTCTCGATTTTCCAACCATGGAGGAAAAAATTCAAATTTGCCGAGCAGGTGCTTACCTCAGAGTCAACAAAGACACATGACACCCGCTGCATGGTGAAATCAAGAAGAAAAAAGGCAACAGGTTAAAAAGAGGATAATCGTGGATGGGCCAGGCCAAAGGCATTATTCAGCAGGTGTGTTCACTTGGAGACATAGAACCTGGTGAGCAATGGGTACAAGTACCAACAGAGTGCGGCACTATCCTTTCTGTTTGCATCCGTCTAGACAGAAAATGCAGACATGAAAGTCCAGCCGCTGTTGAGTCAGGAGTGCAGGCTTTGATTTTTGAGAATTCTTTAAAAGGGGATACTGTTATTTACACAGATGGGTCAGTAATTAGCCATGTGAGAAGCTCCTGGGCTTTTATGGCTCAGGCTGGAGTTAGAACTGTGAAGCAAGATTCTGCTGCTGTTGTACTCACAAGTAGTCTGACTATGGAGGTCATGGCAGTGACCAAATCAATAACATGGCTGGAGACACAGACCTTTTCCTACGCATGCTTTTTCACTGACTTAACCCTTTCGCTGCTACGTTCCCAGAAATAGTTGTCCTCCCTGTGCTAAGCAATGTGGAAAAAAAAAGTCTCTGCTGTGCGCAATACTTTTCTATCCTCTAAACGCAAAAGATGCGTCCGCGGTGAGGGCTATGTTTTGTACACCTAAAAAATTTTACCCTGGGGAGTTGTGTGGTTGGTCCGAGTGGTGACAAGTCAGAGGCACGATGGTGCCCCGCAAACTTGACTAACGGGGCTATCACCCTTCGGGGGGGGGGGGGTTAATGGGAGGAACTGTTCCCAGTCCGTATCCCAAAATTTGATTGACGAACCTACCACGGCTGCCACTTTAATCATATTTACTTGTAGTCACCATGTTATTACATACCAAAATAATTTTTAAAAAATATTCATAATAATACTCAAGTCATCCGTTGCTGAAAAGTAGCAGGAACTCAAAGGAAAATTTACAATTAATAAAAAAAATAAAAAAAACTACGGGGGTTGAACACACGACCCTCCAATTCTAAGGCGAAAGTGATACCAATTACACTATGCTACCGCTTGACGCATTGTGCTGTGTAAATGATCATAATGAATGATGTGCGCAGACTATCAATAATGTGTCTAAGTTTGTAGTCTATCGCCGCCTGCATGAGCACTGTTGTCTAAGAAATGTTTGAGATTCTCAACAATAGTAAAAATATGTCCCTCGACATTATTTTACGGGAGTTTTTAGCAAACAGTCTTTGCTCAAGTACTCTATTTTGAGTTTCTTTGTTCTAAACATTAGCAGACAGACAGAAAAAAAAAATTAGTTCGTCCGAATCTGTGTCTGTCCATCGGGAAAGACAAGAAATTTTAGTGCCTTAACTGTTTGAATTTACAGTAGCAGAAATACAGATAGAGCTGGAGTCATCAAAATCATGCACTACTGGTTTCAAATCATCGGTTCATCAAGATAACTGATCAATTTATTGCCGTTTTGATGGCGCTTCATTGTCGCTGCTCTCTGATTCCGACGATGAGGACGTCGGACAGGCAAACAGCTTTTTTTGGACACGCCGGTTTCAGCAGTCGATACTGATGGCCTAGTCAAATCTTCTTGTTCACTGTCAGAAGTACACATTTCAAAGTCATCGTCGCTATCACTTTTGACAGAAACTCCATCAATTCTTCATCAACTTTAACAAGTTTTCTTGCCATTTTGTACTAAGTGTAGAATAATCCAAAAGCACAAATATATATCAGGGCACAAAATGCACAGATCACCGACCACGCTGTCACGGTAAACAAAGCAACAGGATAACGCAAAATGCAGTAAACACGCCTTAAACACACCTAAAAGTACGTGCCAGTGCTTTTAATCATATGTAAATAGGTCAGTTTAATCTAAATATAGCTAATGTATATTGCCCTTCAGCCAATAAAATACGAGGTAACAGAAATCTGTAAGAAAAGTCTAAAAACGGCTTAGGACGTCCATAGCACTGGGGGTCAAGAAAAAAAATAACGTCCAAAGACGGGCGTAGCAGCGTACGGGAAATCGGGAAAAGACGTCCATAGCAGCGAAAGGGTTAATGAGTAAGCTCAGGAAGATAGAGAAAGGCTGGATCCGAAGGTAGTGGGTGAAGTCTCTAAAGTGGTCTGGGCTGACACATATTAGTTTCATATTTGTGCCAGGGCATGCAGGCATGCAAGGAAAAGAGCAAGCTGATTGGCCTGCAGGTAAAGCTACTGTGGAGGGTGGACGAGCCATGGACCATGCTGATATTCTGAATGCACTATAAGAAGTAAGACGTTTGCTTGAAACAAGTGATGACTGTGAATCTGCAACAATGATCAGACTGCAAGAACATGTTAAAAGGGGTGTGGCCAGAAAAGAGCACTATGCAGGAAGCCAGAGAAGAATAAGAAACCAACACAAAACTGGTGTCGTGCGCCGCTACACGCTGCGGGATTTACTAAGGCAGGGATGCGAGTACTTATGGACTGAATGATTCGATGTGCAATGAGGATAATCTGTTAACTAACTAACTGACTATTTAACCAATGTTATCATAGTTTTCTGTGAAGCAAAAACTTTTGTTGCACTTCCTCTTGACAAAAATCAGACAGTTTTATCTTCAGTTTATCTTTCAATTCAGGATGGTATCTCTTGAAATGACGCAGCAGTTAAGCAGGAGATGTGGAAACGTTGGTCAATAAATTTCCGCAAATGGCATATGAGAGGCAATCCATCATTTGTTTCTGTTTTCTCATATTCTGTCTTCATATCTGCATTTTTCACTGGGAGATCTTTCCCCAACTGTCCCTCTTCTGTCATGATTTGCAAACAATGACTGGCAATTTTGGAGCTAATTGCAACAGATTCCAGTTTTTTTTTTCTCTTAATCAATTTTTGTTTATTTTTCTGCAACAATCGTAGAGCCCCATATAAGTGCAGGTGAAGACCTTACAGATCAACGGAGTTTCGGTTAGGTATTTTTAGTATTTTCCATTACTAGTTTATACTTAAGAATAATTGTGGTGAACGAGAGGAAAACTACAAGGAAGACATAGAAGATGGTGGAGAGATAATATACAGTCAGACCTAATAACACTTAGGGCTACCAACTGGAAAGAGAAGGCCAATCACAGAGATGAAATGCAGGTGCGTGATTGTGCTGAAGAAGAACTTATACCTTAACACAAATGTAAAACAAGTTCACACGTACGCATCTTAACAATGCTTTCTGTCAGCTCAATGATCTGATTACTGGCAAGACAAAGTTTTCTCAACGTCTGCTTCCAGTACTGGTCAGCACTTGGTGCAAATGATACCAGTTCATTGTGGGAAAGGTCAAGCATTTTCTGAGGATAAAAAAAAAATAAAATATTGTTTGCAAATGTCAACCTCAATGCATCCCAGATTCATAACTCAAATTTTATTGCACTGCAACATCAGACTCTAAGACATAGTAGCTTTCACAAACATCAAAATGGGGCAACCATTTTATTTTGGCCACATTCTGAGAAGAAAATAAACTAATATTTTTAACAACTGGAAAGATCATATTAAAGAAAAATTAGAAATAACACAAAGAGAGAAGATTACTGATAGACTTCTGTCATGGTATGAAGAATGTCAGTAGATGAACTAATATTAGAATGATGCAATCAGCCAAACCAAGACAGCTGGCAAGCCACTTGATGATGACAGTGATGATGTATAACAAGTAGGTTTACAGACAGATGTATTTAGATTTAGATCTTTCCTTATATATGCACAATGTATGTATAAATAACAACAGAATACACCAGTTATAACCTAGATATTTACGGTTGAACAGGAGAGTTTAGTTTCATAACCAAAATATCTTGGGCTCGTTTCAGCTGCAGGCAGTTTGGCAGTAGACTACTTTGCACTGACTTCAACAATGGGATGAGCACTGATGGTTCAGTGGCAAATTCTAATGATTAAACATAAAATTGCCTTGTAAAAACCAGCATATTTGGGGTCAGTTTGTGGTGTCTGAAAAAAATATGCAACTTTTTTATCAGCAATGCTCTTCTGCCTGTCAACTGTCAATTTTGTTGAGATTCTGATAAATGGGATGGAGGAACGAACGAACGAACAAACAAACTTTATTTTTAAAGATTTACATATTGGGCACGCAGGCCCGTCTGACATTCGGCCCTTCTAAACACTCATTTCTCAGAGTACCAATGCCTGTTATCAATAATGCATGTTATGGATATATGTTATGGAGGAAGGGGAAATAGAAGGAGAACAAATGAGCTTAATTTCCAAAGGGTCATAAATTAGGCACAAAGGCCATCTTACATTTGGTCCTTTCAAACACTTATCTTTCACATAGAAAATGTATTTTATATATGAAGTATATTATGTTCATATATCAAAATTTGCTGTATGAATGCAAAGAGAGAAAGTAAGAGACCTCCATTTTGTCTTCCCATTAATTATGTTTCTATTCTAAAGAAATTGAGACTACTCCAAGATAAACTGTTGTCCACAACACTCTTTCAACTGAAAAAAAAAGGAGAAGATTTCCTTCTTGTCTTCTCATTAATTGGAAGCTGCCATAGTGTAGCCTACGAATATGAAGATCATGGGTTTGAATCTGAAAGGAGCCAGACTTTTTTTTAAAAGTTTTATCGGCTTCCAGGTCGACCCACTCTTGGAGGGTACCAGGTAATGTCCTATAAAGTATGGGTGGCCAGCGTGATGTCAACCCCATCACCCAATGACTGCCAACTGGTCTATACAATTGAGGTCTAGCCCTATATGCCCAATACACCTTGAGGCATGGAAAACAGTCCTTCGCACTAATTGTATTTTTCTTCTAACAAAATGAATTCCAAGATACACTGTTGTCCCCAAAATTCTACCAACTGGGGGGAAAAGTTAGCAAGCAATTCAAAAAAGTACATCTCCAAAATGGAGGTTGGCTGCTATGCAACAACTATTAACTACGGAAATATTACAGTTTCACTAACCCCAGAGCCACACAGCACAGAGCCGCACAGCACAGAGCCACACAGCACAGAGCCACACGGAAAGTAATACTGGTGCTTTGACAACTGTATAGTGTTACATTTTCCAGCAAGCAATATAAACAGATGCAGAGCAGACAACACTGGATATTCACCATAGGACATTGCCAAAGGGGGCAAGTGCTGAGTTCATTATGGCTGGCATTTAGAGAATTCAGCTCTGTGCAGGTGTGGATGCCAGGAGGCAATAAGGTCAGGAGGTTATGGGAGACATCTAAACTCTTAAGTCTTGTGCACTTCCAGCCTGTACTGTAAGCTGCATTTTCTGCACCTGCAATGGGGGAAAAAAAACAGTTAAACTCAAGGAAAAAAAAATGAAAAAAGATGCAATAATAAATGCAAGGTATGTTTTTAAAATGTACTGTTAAGTTTTGACTGACGATGTGCAACTCAGTGGCTTAGTGGTAAGCCAACACCTTTTACAATCTCTGTGGTAGCTGGTTTAGAAAAAGACCGTTTTCGGGAATTTCAGAGTGTGGTGGCACTACTGAAGTGATTAGGGAGTTAAACATTTAATTATCGATGACCGGGTCGTTCAATGACCCGCCGGTAGACGACTTTGTCACCTGTCGGGACAGTATTTGAGTCTTCTCCTTTGATAACATATACACTGCAGGAGTCCTTTTCAGGGCTCTTGGTGACGTGCAATGCTAAGCCATTTTTTATGGCGCACATAACCTAGTCACAATTATAACCTAAAGCTCCCCATTTAGTAATGCTGGTTGAACATTGTGATTTTTTTTTTCAACAAAGCACCTCAATACCTACCATCCATTTAATACTTTCAATCACAGCAACAAATTTTCTTTGTGGAGATGGCATATACCAATGTTATTCTTCCTAGTTATTTAGGACTAAAAATTTTGAAAACTGGGATCATCCTGGCTAAAGCCGCAGCATAAAAAGATCATTAATTCTATACACGTGGCAGAGATCCGTGGGTCACTTGCTAGGCTTCTGTGGGCCATTATATGAATAGCCCCGGCAAACACACTTACCAGCGATATTATAAAATGATCTTTGTTGCCCTGAGAAAACCCTTTTCCGACTTTAACAGTTTTTGATGACACTGCATCTCAGGCTTAACTAACACTCCTATTTAACAGCATTGCTACTGGTTGCAACTAGATAGGGTGCAGACATGCTGCGTATGATTACATTTACAGAAAAAAAAAATTTTCAGATAAAATTTAGGGTCAGAAATGGAATTCTTTTGGGCCACTAAGACATCACAATAAACGTATGACATGCAGAACTGGCCCTAACCCTAATCCCCCTTCATCCCACGAGAGAGTGAAGCCTACACCCACAACTGCATGCAGAGTATAATATACACTGCATACAGTCATGTGACCTAGGCTGCATGCAGTCGTGGGACGTAGGTTGCACTCTCTTGTGGGATGTTGGTTACACTCTCTCATGGGATGAAAAAAAAAGGGGGTGGGGTTTAGGGTTAGGGACAGTTCTGCATGTTTTGGGACTGTATCGCCAGCTGGTGACAAAGCTTAAAGTATTTATAATAAATGTAAAATGTTTTCTAATGAATGCAGTACAGTTATGATGAAGGATTAGCTATGAGGCAAAGTGATTGCTTCTAATGAAGTCTAAATCCAGTTTTGTTAGATTTCTTTTTCTTCTTCTTTGTGATCACCGGCTGTCAACTCCAGCTGAAAGTTCTAATCACTGGTCCCCTTCTGGACTTTAGTCTTGTTCTAGAACTCGAGTTTTGCAGATATGGCTTATTTGTTTGCAGACTGTTGGTACCTTGCCTCTCTGGCAGATGCATTCTGTTATCGAAGGACATATCTCTTACTGGCATACTCTTATGACATGCTTGTTAGGGAGGCAGTGGGTCTATCCCCCCCCCCCCCCCCCACAATTAGATCCCAGAATGAGCACTGGGAAAATCATTAGATTTTAAAATGAAATTTGTGTCCCCTGGATGGTGTGGACCAGATGCTCCTTTTTTGAACGGACCTGCTGTTTCCTAACAAGCTTCTCATGAAAGGCAACTAATTAGGGATGCCTTATTCTAAGTAGGATTACATTTGCCTAAGATGTGAGGAACCAACAGTCTGCATACAGATAAGCCAGATCAGTAAAATGGATGTACACAGGGAACTCACATCTGGAACAAGACCAAAGTCCAGAACTAGATAAATGATGAACAACTAGATCTTTCCACCAAAGTTAACAGCCAGTAAACACTTGATAAGAAGAACAGGATGAGGACTTAGCTCCAGTGGGGAATAACAAGACCAACAACAATTGGCAAGAGACTGTCTCTTGGGTAATGATGAGAGCGATATTCTGCAAAGAATTTGCAACGTGATTTAATAAATTACATCTTAAATACGGTGTGAGTCATGGGCAATGACAACAGCTCACAGAAGCCAGCTGCAGGCCTCGGAAATGAGATACCTGAGAAAGGTGGTCTAAGTGACAAGAAGGGACAAAGTCCGCAATCAGACAATACGTCAAGATCTTGATACCCAGCCCTTACTAACCCGAGTGGATCAGTCACAGTTACGATGGTTTGGACATGTGTGCAGAATGGGAGAAAATCGGCCACCATGGCAAGCATGGGAGGCTAAGAACCAGGGAACCAGACCTCCGGGACGACCCAGGGTGCGCTGGGAAGACAACATCCGACAGTCCCTGACTGACAGAGGACTGGAATGGAACAAAGCCAGAAAGAAAACTGCTGATAGAGACGTCTGGCGATCTCTCTGGCAAACCTCTACACCCCAAGGTAGAAGAGGAGCGACTAAGTAATTAAGTAAGTAAGTACATCTTAAATACTAAACTTCATACTACAGTGGAACCTCGCTTAACGAGCATAATTTGTGCCAGAATCATACTCGTTAAGCGAAACACTCATTATGTGAAATAATTTTTCTAATATAAATAATGTAAAATACGATAATGCGTTCCATATAGAAAAAAATACTCACAAAATGCTATGTATAACGTTTATTCAAAGAAAATTATATACATATTGTTAAGGAGAGTGAATCATCTTCATCTTTTCTTCCACCACGGAACCAACCCACCTGGAATCCGAATTCATTTGCAGAAGAAAAAAAAGTCGAAATAATTATCAAACACAGCTAATTACTTTTTTTTTTACTAGAAAGATGTCCAGAGACATTTGTTTTTGCCGACGCTTCAAAATTTGACGAAAATGCGACACAGCATTATCATTAAATAAATTTGCAACGCGCATAGCCACTTCCTTATTAGGGTGATGCTTCTCAATGTACTTTGCAACAGTTTGCCATGCTTTCAGCATTTCTTTTATTTCGCCAGAATATTTTTGCCTTTCTGTTACCTTCTACTCCTCCTCTGACAAACTTTCTTCCAAAACTTCTTGCTGTAAACACAATCAACTCCATAAGCTCTTCGGTGGTCAGCTCTTGGCTGTGCTCTTCCACAAGCTCTTCGATATCACTGCTATCCACCTACAATCCCATGACAGTGGCGAAAGACACAATCTCGACTACAGGTTCCACAGGTACTGTCTCGAACCCCTCAAAGTCACAAATCGACAACGCTCTCCGGCCAAAGCTTCTTCCAAGTAGAAGTTAGGGTTTTCTTGGTAACCCCTTCCCCCGCCTTGTCGATCATCTTGAGGCAGGCAACGATGTGGAAGTGATTTTTCCAAAACTCTTTGAGAGTGAGGTTGGTCCCTTCAGTCACCTGAAAATAGTGCTCCAAGAGTGCTTTAGTGTAGAGCTTTTTAAAGTTAGAAATAACTTGATGGTCCATGGGCTGGAGAAATTGAGTTGTGTTGGGAGGCAGAAACTTGATCTTGATGAACTTAAATTCTTCAGAGAGGTCATCTGGAGGATTCATGTACATATATCACAATATAACACAAGTTTGAGAAAATGTGTGATCACAAGCGACAATACGATGCTGCTGGAACAAGTGCTAAACACACACTGATGTAACATGCGCACAATTCGGGACTTCGCCTTTCCTCGCCACTCGTTATGCGAAACGTCGCTCGTTAAGCAAGTCATTTTTTTTACAATTTGTTTTGCTCGTTATGCAGATTACTCGTTATGAGAGGTGCTCGTTAAGCAAGGTGCTACTGTAGTTTTAACAATGAATAACATGATTACATTCTTCAGAACATAAGTTGGGCTGAATCTTACCATCTTTCTGACCTAGTGTAGTCAGCATATTGTAAGACAAGTTCAGCTGCTCAAGACAAGGAAGAGCAAATACATGTAAGGACAGTGATGTCAGTTCACAGTAGGAGATGTTTAATAATCTAATTCTGCGGACAGGAAAGAAAAAAGTATTTTTTTAGCAACATTAATCATCAGCTCACACAAATGAATAGGTGATATATTTTCCTCAATTATATTCTGTTCTCTTGATCGAGCTCTGTTTTTTATCCCCCATTTTTCACTTCAGACAGCAAATCTGTCCATCACTGCAAGTCTTTACCACCTTCTAGGCTGGTGCAGGTAGGAAGGTCACAAATCTGTGCAGCTGCCATTAAAATATGCTGTTTTATTTTTTCATTCACAGAAAACATTTATATCCCCTTATTACCAAGAATACAAGTGTGCATCCTTGTGTGGGTTCCGGGGCCCTACTATAGGAAAAACAAGAACAGACCCACTGCCTACCCAAAAGCAGGTCGTAAGAGTCGACTAATTGAGAGCTTCCTTCGAAGTTGAAGTGCATCTGCCTGAGAGGCAAGGAACCGACAGTCTGCATACAGATCTGACAAACGGATGCACACGAAACACTCAGGTTCTGGAACAGGACTGCAGTCCAGAAGTGGACGAACAACCTGAACTTTACGCCGGAGTTTACAGCCGGTGAACGAGGAGAAGAAGAAGAACAAGTGTGCAGGGGCTGACCAGCATGACAGTGGGCACTGTGTATCAAGAATATCATAGGCATAAAAACGCATAAGGTGACTTTCTGGCAAGCCATTATGAAACCAATGTTTTGCAAAGGACCAGTACATGATGACGATGATGACAATGAAGATGATGATGAGAGTATGGTTACTGGTATTGCTTCACTAGTGCTTTCATTTTTAGTTACCCCAAACACGGGAAATCCAGGGGAAATCAACAGCTGACGGGACAGTCGACTATTTCAGGAGGTGCAATTGTTTGGTCTTCTTGTGCTGGTTTTTGGTGTGGCATATTTCTGTGTGATGGTGCACAGTCTGCTTTTTTGTTCTGTCTGTTGGTGCACAATCGTCTGTTGTACAATACTGGTAATTTTTTTTTCAGTTCTCTTTGTCATGTGAGTATCTAGTGTAGTTGAATTCATATCTGCCTTACAATCAAAAGGTGCTGCGTTCAAACCCTACTTTGCACACTTTCAGCAACTGATCACCCAAGTATTAATTATTTTTTTAAAACAGAAGAGTAATAACATTGGTATACAATTAATTATGATTAGCAATATGTGTGTGTGTGTGTGTCTGAAACTCTGTGTGCAATCGAAGAAACTCTTTGTGCAGTCGGAGAAACTGTCAATTGGGGTACTGTGGGGGCCCTAAAAATGGCCATTCATTCTAGATGAATACCTATGGGTTCACCTAAAATGACAATCACAACAATTTTACACATTAATAGATCAAAATTTATATCCGTTATTTGAACAAATATCACAATGGAATAAGAAATGAATAATCTCTTGCAATCTTCTTATATACTTTCCTCCATGCCACTTTTTTTCTAAGCCATCTGATATATCATTAGAAATTCACCCTGCAACAATTAAGTGCACTAATATGAACTTCTAAAGAGCTGAATCCTTTGACTGAACTTCATTAAAAGCCATAAATTACAACATTTATTTTTCGATGTTCTTGCCTGAAATATCTGCAGTTTAAATGAGAAAATCGTTATTTTAGCCATGCATGTTTTATGACAATTGTAATGAACATCAAATACATACGTGCTCCAAAAGGAAGGCAGCTGGAAACAACCTAGAAAATCCCTATTTTACAACCTTCAAAATTATTTCACTGTCCTGTGACGTCATTGGGGTAACTAAAAATGAAAGTACCGTTCCATTCTATCAAAATGATCAAATCATTTCATATTCCAAAACAGAGAATGTTTCTTAGTGTTTTTAATCCACTGTTTTCCACAATCTGTTTGAAAGTATTGTTTCTCACTCAAACTGGAATTGTTAAACTAGTTGCTTTCCTCATACAGATTCATTTTAGATATGTGAGGTTTTGGTTGTGTCCAAATGTGATAACCTAGCACTGGTATGAATAAACTGCTTACAGTGTTTCTCTGAAAAAGACCTAACCTAAAAGTAAGTCCTAGCATGATCTTTCAGCTTGCTCCTAATATAAGCTCTACCCCCAAATATAAGCCCTAGTTAATACTGTCAGCCAGACTGACGGATTTTGTTTGTCCATGAAACACACAACAGGCATATCTAATTAACAGCTAATAAATAATTATAAATAAATATTTTAATATTATGACAGCATTGCTTAAAAAATATGATAAAATGAATTACAATTTAATGTTTCTAAAATACAGACACAAATAAAATAAAAATATGACATCCCATAAAAATAAGCCCTGAGACACTTTTTGGAATAAAAATTAATATAAGACCTGGTCTTATTTTGGCGAACTCAGGTATTCTGTTCATTTGCAAACGGGGTATCTATCAATGTTTAAAATCTCACCTTATAGCGCAATCAGTAATTTGTCTGAAATGCTGACTTACCCATTAGAAGCGAGTGAGCTGGAATCTAAAGCATCAGGAATTGTTCCAAGTGGGTTGTATGAAACATCTAAAGAGACAAGTTCTCTTAATGTCCACAGAACCTCATCAGGCAGCGACCTAAGTCGATTTCCCTTTAAATCAATCACAGTTTCAATCATCTTGTCATCATCTTCCTCAACAAAGCTTTCAGAATCAGAGTCTTGAGATGTCTGCTGGTTCATTATCAGACCTGTCCTTTCATTTGAAGTAAACCAGCAGGCCAGGATGTACTCCAGCTTATAATTTGCCATGCAAAACTGGAAAAAGGACAGTTTATTTAGTATCAAATCACTTATTAAATGCTTAATCATTCACCAAAAACATTAAATAGATCATATGCAGAGTAGGGTGGCTATCTATTTACATATTCCTTGGAGCATTCATTACCATCAAGTGAACTGCCCTCTGGCATAAGCAATCATGATTTTTCCTAATCTTGTGATTTCCAGCAGGAGGCATCAATTCATTTCCTGACACCTTTCTATGTTATGATTAAAGGTTGTTAAGGAGCATCTCTCTCACCTACCTCTTTCTTTCCATAAATCTGTCCCCAAAAATGCAAATGTTCTCTTCTTATTATGTTTACCATTGTTTTCTTCTGGTGTTTATGAGGCTGTATTCATTCTTCACTTCCATCAAAAAATATACTGATCCCTCATTTTGGCTTTCTAAGCAATTTTAGGATTATTGTATAGAATAATAACTCTTTGGCTTTAAACGACTTAGAGCATTCGAATATTAACAAAACAAAACAGAAAATTATACTACAAGTTAGCCCAAGTACATACAAATATAGCATTACTCTGAGATTATGTTGCTGAACTTCTGAAGACCTGAGCCCACACTATCCTAAGATACTATTAAGCCAAGTCAATGAAGAGTTCACAGCAAATTTACTGTTCCCATGGGAGTTCAGTGGTAAGGTAGCCATGCTGTTTGCCTAGCCATGAAGATACAGGATAATGTGTGTAGAATATGCACTACTGTCAACCTTCAACACAAATACAACACTTGATGATTATTTTTCTGTTTGGCTCCTTTCTAAAATACGGGCTTGATAAGGAAAAAGTAGGATGACCATATTATCGGGACAGTATTGTTTTTAGATAGGCCAGACTGTCAGATTGATACTTCTTCTTCTTTTGTCAAAATCTGCTTGTGCCGCTAGGCGTCGCAGTCTATCAGATGATCGGCAACCGAGCCAGGGCGCGCTCAGTCGCTTCATATGCCGTGATGTTATGAAGTCTCAAGTTGTCCGTGACTCCTTCAATCCATCTTCTTCTTGGTCTTCCCCTGCCTCTTGTTGTTTCGATTTTCATGTTGTATGCTCTTGATGCTGGCATCGTTGGTTCCATTCTCATTAGGTGACCAAACCATTTCATTCTTTGCTTCTTAATAAATTTAACGATGGGTATGGTTCCAATAGTTCTTGTAATCACATCGTTTCTCACTCGATCTCTTCTGGTTTTATTCGCAGCCATTCTCAAACATCTCATTTCACAGGTGGTTAGTCTTCTCTCATGTTCTTTTGTTAATGTCCAAGTCAGATTGATACTAAGGAAACAAATGTCCATTGTCCCAACTGACGCTGAGTATCGGAGGGACGGTGTTAGTCTGCCTAAAAACTGATACTGTACTGATGAAAATGTGACTTTTGATTACAAAAAAAAGAAAAAAAAAAAAAAAAAAAAAAAAAAAAAAAAAAAGAAAAAAAAATAAAAAAAAAAAAAAACAAAAAAAAAAAAACAAGAAAAAAATAAAAAAAAAAAGAAGAAAAAAAAAAAAAAAAACAAAGAAAAAAAATAAAAAAACAGAAAAAAAAAAAAAGAAAAAAAAAAAAAAAAAGAAAAAAAGAGCAAAAAAAAAAAAAAAAAAAAAAACAGGAAAAGGTTAAAAAAAAAAAAAAAAAAAAAAAAAAAAAAAAAAAAAAAAAAAAAAAAAAAAAAAAAAAAAAAAAAAAAAAAAAAGAAAAAAAAAAAAAAAAAAAATAAAAAAAAAACAGGATGCCGAAAACTATACTGGGTAAAATATGGTGTTAAATTATAACAGTATCCATCATCATGATCTTCAACTTCTGCCATTAAGTGGCATGGGGAGGAATAGCTGGTGATCCAATGTTCAGTTGGTGGCATAGGGAGGAATAGCTGGTGATCCAATGTTCAGTTAGTGGCATGGGAAAGTCATTCCATGTGAATGTACGATGTCATTAATGTCACCAATCCTTGCTCTGTTACACCTTCCTCATGTTCTCATTCACATGGGAAAGTCATTCCATGTGAATGTACGATGTCATTAATGTCACCAATCCTTGCTCTGTTACACCTTCCTCATGTTCTCATTCACATGGGAAAGTCATTCCATGTGAATGTACGATGTCATTAATGTCACCAATCCTTGCTCTGTTACACCTTCCTCATGTTCTCATTCACATGGGAAAGTCATTCCATGTGAATGTACGATGTCATTATTGTCACCAATCCTTGCTCTGTTACACCTTCCTCATGTTCTCATTCACGATTTTGATTCTCTTTTTAAATACATCACCAGTGTTAGCTACTGCTACTGCTAAACAATCTTCTATTCTCGTAACATCCTGCAAAGCCTACATGTACTTACATCTCGTGTGTGTTTCATATCTGACATGAATAATGTCCTGACCAGCTGGGTTGTGAATTCTGGGAAATGATGGCATATATCTTTTGTGATAACAGCATCATACTCTTTGATTAGGCAAATGGCAACATCCAAATGCTCTCCTGTTTAGACAGAAGTGAGATTTTCAAAATTTCAGGTGATTCACGTGCATAAAATATGAGGTTAACATTTTCATGGAAAGCATCTGAGATGCTTATTATTACTAGGTTATAAAATACTTAAAACCCTGTGACATGGCCATCAGGAAGTAGTCTCATACATCATCTATAAGAGTTAAGTTGAGATGAGTCAAGAACTGGGAGTTGTTAGTCTAAAAACACTTGGAGACATACTCAGAAGGAGATCAGAGTACTTATGGTCATGTCCAATGTGTGATGAAGATGATCTCTAAAATGAACAATTAACAATGAAAGGAAAACTGTCTTCCGTAATAAATACTCGACTTTTTAAACAAAGTTCATCCCCATGTGGGGCGCAATTTTTCCTTATTTTGAACCCCCACCCCCTGGCTTTTGCAGGGGGGGGGGGGGGGGGAGGCAATATAGCCTGATGGTTGAATGCAGTTTCTGGGACCTCTCCAGGTTGATCCTCATCCTCGTGGTGGTACTTTGTGTCACCGGGTGTTTATCGCTTGTGTGATGTCCTGGTGGGGTAAAATTTACTTACTTACTTAATAATACCCAAGTAGCCCCCAACCTTACCTTGCCATGCTCCACAAAGTAGGTACGTTTGGTCAGTCCATCAGGACTTAGGTGAAAGTAATAGTTTCTGAGCTTAGAGAGGGAAGGGAGAGTTTTGCAGTTCCATCCCCTTATTGGCTTGAGAGAAAAACTACACACCAACATCAATCCAATTAATGGAAGCCTGCATCAAGGCTCAAACACAATGCACTCTAATGCACTGGACTTGAACAAAAACTCAAATCTTCCAGACTTAAAAATAAACCATCAGTTGAGTTAAAAACTGATAACACCTTACTATGAGCATTTACATAAATGCTCCATCCCTATCTTCAGCAGTCAGAAAATAGTTAACCAAACAATCTCCCATGTTACTGTTTACATACTTCTTCTACATTCACTCTTGAAACTATTGCTGGAATGTTGTGGTTTACAGCTAGACTGGGAAATCTCTGCTTTTGGCCCAATACATCCATTTTCAACAAACCCCTATTAAGTCAACTGTTATACAATAGGTGTGTCAGCAGGTGGTGGATCTATTCTTTTTTTTTTTTTCTCTCCCAAAACGGGGCCCTGGGATCCAATAGTGACTGATTATAACAATGCACAGATATGTATCTTCAGAAGACAGAAGGAATACAGTCACGACAGAAATGAAATATTTACGTAGTGTGCTAGGTTAACTAGGAAAGATCGACTTAGGAACAATGATATTTGGAGAAGAGTTGGCACAGAACCAATACTGAACTTTATAGGTAGACAACAAACCAAATGGTCTGGCCATGTAAAAAGACTGGCATCAGACAGGGCACCACAGAGAGCAATGTTATACAGATCCAGCGGTAAGAGAGCCAGAGGTCAACCACCCAGAAAATGGACCTTAGAAATATCAGAGACCATGAAAAATTCTTTATACAAAGTGAATAGAAGGGCCCGTTCCAGAGATTTCTTTCTGCCCTGATGCAGCAAGACATTCCAGGAGTTGAGAAAAGAAGAAGATGACAGAAATGTTTGCCATAATAAAATTTAAAGTAACAAGAACTTTACCCTGACAGGCAGCAAACAGCGGATACATCTGCTCACATCTGGACAGGTCTGTGGTAAAAGCAATGGTTTCATTGACATCTACTCCAGGCAAACACCATTTCTTCATCAAGTCCACATGGCCTCCACAGCAAGCAGCGTACATAAGGCAGTAGCGGACAGAGGTGTCTGATGTCAGACCTCGAGAGACAACACAGGATATTAGACAAGACTGTGATATTTCTTTTTGCATACTTCTATTTTGCAAGACTATTTTATTTGTTTTATCCATCATCTTCATTGTCTCTTCATATATTTTTCATATCTTCACCATCATCATTTCTTCATCATTAGCTCTTTCAATCTAAATAAGTTGTAAAATTAACTCCTCCTATTTCAAGGGCTTGAGCTTAAAGTAGTAAATACTTCAGTTTGAGGAGGTTCAACAAAGATACTATATGAGACATAAGCAGTGAAACTAACAATTTGGTTACTTCTTCTTCTTCAGCAGATCTCTCTGGGCATTTTCTTTCCATCTTCTTTTTGGTCTTCCTCGTGGTCTTCGAACATTAATCTCCCTTGTGTATACAGTGTTTACCTCTCTGTCACCTGAGATTCTCTCAATATGCCCCAGCTATTTCAACCTATCAACAATTTGGATACAGAGAAAATAGAACATGTTGTGACCACTGGAAAGATCTGTGGAAGGAGGGATAGAGGAAAACAATGAGAGAAGATGCTTGGCATGGAGGTGTGCCGGCACATGAATTGATACATGCTACAGGAGATCGCAGATTATGGAGAGGCATGATCGCCCACGCCAGTCTGCAAGGCACCTGATGATGATGATGAGTTCTTTTAACTTCAAAAACAGTCAGCTGATAAAATCTATTAAAATGTCTCTATAAGTGTACTTGGCAGACTCCTAATTTTGTAATAGTTTATTGTATATGGTAAATAGAGGATGTCAGTAAGATGGCTACCTGGTTCTTTTTGCAACAGCACATCCACAACATCAATGTTTCCGTGTAATGTTGCCAGATAAAACTCAGAATCTTCTTTCCATACACTTTTCTTTAAGCTTGCACCCTGATCTAGAAGCCATTTTACGATATCCATGTGTCCTTCCTGGCAAGCATACTGCAGACCAGTTTTCTAAAACAATTATAAAGAATAGTGAAATAAAAAATATTCAATATTTTTTCACATTTACATTCACAAATAAAAATTTACAGTAAAAAATACTTTTCAGGTATTATAACTGCTGAGGAGAAAAATATAATTTTGGGGGTAAAATAAGTGAAGAAGATGTAGATACCATTTTATATAATGGTTTACCTACTTAGTTTTCTGTAATGTCTTTCCCTACATTTATGAAGCATGCTGGTGTTTGTTAAAACTTCTTTATATTTTAAGACTACAGTAATGTCTTTCCCTACATTTATGAAGCATGCTGGTGTTTGTTAAAACTTCTTTATATTTTAAGACTACAGTAATGTCTTTCCCAACATTTATGAAGCATGCTGGTGTTTGTTAAAACTTCTTTATATTTTAAGACTACAGTAATGTCTTTCCCTACATTTATGAAGCATGCTGGTGTTTGTTAAAACTTCTTTATCTTTTAAGACTACAGTAATGTCTTTCCCTACATTTATGAAGCATGCTGGTGTTTGTTAAAACTTCTTTATATTTTAAGACTTCAGTAATGTCTTTCCCTACATTTATGAAGCATGCTGGTGTTTGTTAAAACTTCTTTATATTTTAAGACTACAGTAATGTCTTTCCCTTCATTTATGAAGCATGCTGGTGTTTGTTAAAACTTCTTTATATTTTAAGACTACAGTAATGTCTTTCCCTACATTTATGAAGCATGCTGGTGTTTGTTAAAACTTCTTTATATTTTAAGACTTCAGTAATGTCTTTCCCTACATTTATGAAGCATGCTGGTGTTTGTTAAAACTTCTTTATATTTTAAGACTTCAGTAATGTCTTTCCCTACATTTATGAAGCATGCTGGTGTTTGTTAAAACTTCTTTATATTTTAAGACTACAGTAATGTCTTTCCTTACATGAAGCATACTGGTGTTTGTTAAAACTTCTTTATATTTCAAGAATACAGTATGAGAGCTTTCAGTCAAATTTGCATAATATAAAAAGAAGTTGTTTTTTTTTAATTTATGTTCTGTAATTTCTAACAGCTTCTTCTTTTTTTCTTCATGTTATCACCCTGTGGAGTATAAACCCTCATCCATTTCCTGCCAAACTCTCCCAAACTTTGCTATTTCCTGCCTCTTTCACTATGTTTTCCTTATATTATTCCTCTCTGCCTCTAATTTTCTTCTCCAGGTGTGTCCCCTCAATTTCTTTTGCTCTGTGGGTTTCAGATTATAAACTTTCTAGTTACAGTATTAACAGGTTATCTCTGAGAATATTCTGTACAGCACAGCATATTTTCCTCACCGCTCCATTTTCTGCTTTTTTGAGGGAAGAATCAGCTTTTTTTTTATTTATACAGGTTATTTCTCTCTTTTTTCTACAGACTTGTTCATAAACTGGTTTCCCCTGATCTAATATACCTGGAATATGTATTATCAATTTTTTTTTGTATCTAAATCAGTGTATAATTTTGACCATGCTTGGACTTTCGTGTTTAAACAGCTTAGCCACTTTTATGTTGTTGTATTTTAAGCTGTATTATTGCACATTTATTGTCGTTTAAGTCAATAAATGCAAGTATTTGGGGACATTCATAAAATCAGATGGACAATGTGTGACAGAAATAAAGAGCAGAACTGGCTAAGCAAAGGCAGCATTTCAGAAGATGAAAAGTATCTTATGTAATAAATCACTCTCATTAAACATCAGAAAACGAGAACTTCAATGTTATACTGAGGCTGTTCTTTGTATGGCAGTGAATCTTGGAATGTGAGCAAACAAATTAAGAAGAGTTTGGAGGCAATTGAAATGTGGCTCTTGAGGAGAACGTTGCGAATACCTTGGATTGCCAGAATAACTAACAAAGATTGCCTGGAAATGGCTAATAAAAGTAGAACATTATATACAACAATGAGAAGGAGACAAAAAAAGTTGTTTGGTCATGCGATGAGAAAAGGAGCACTGGAAAATATTGTGATGACTAGAAAGATCACTGCTAGAAGATGCAGAGGCAGACTAAGAGAAATGATGGATGACTTAAGACAGTGGCATGGAGGAACATCATCAGTGGCATTGATAAAGAACACCAAAGACCCAGATCTGATAGAGTCATGGATGGAGCAAAATAATGTGTACAAGCTCGAAAAGTACACTGAATTGGTGGGCAGTCTAAAAAGTGATGAGGTGTACACAGTAAAACGCTTCCCCGTTGAGGTAGGCACAAAAGTGCTTATCTCCACATCCACACAGAAAGTACCAAAGCACCTGGGCGTTCGAGGCAAAGTGTGAAAATGGTCACTAAAACAACTGGGTGAGGCTGCTGAAAGGGCTTCAAGTTGGCTGTGGATGCAAGGAAACATCGTGGGGAAGAGACCTCAGTAGACTGGACTGAGCCCTTAGTGGAAAAGAACTTATCATTCCTGAAAAGCCAAAGTGTCCGATTAAAGTCTGCCCCTGTGTCTCTCTGCCAATTGCCAAAGTATAACATCTGTCCGAAGACCCAACCGTAGGCATGTCACTCTGGTCATGAAGGTAGTTTGCTAATTTGCTACCGCAGTGACAAAATATAACACCAAACCTCATTATACCTGTTGCAAAGCCACCAATTTGTCTAGTCAGTACGTCCGATAAAGTGCAGCAAGGAATGTCTGAGACCTGGCGTCAGGAACCAGGTTGGCCCACCCTCCAAGACTGTCTAGGTTAATGGGGCGAAATAACTGTCATGTCAACAAGGGACCCTCTTACTGATGATGGGTAAACTCCTGCTGTGCATGCTGCCCTGTGCAGTTCTTCTTCATCATCATCAGGTGCCTTGCCAACTGGTGTGGGCGATCATGCCTCTCCATAATCTGCGATCTCCTGCAGCATGTATCAGTTCATGTGCCGACACACCTCCATGCCATGCAACAAGACTGTCAAGCATCTTCTCTCGTTGTCTTCCTCTATCTCTCCTTCCACATATCTTTCCACTGGTCACAACATGTTCTATTTTCCCTCTTTTCATTACATGGCCGAAAAATGATGACTGTCTCCTTCTGATGTCTGTGATAAGTTGTCTTCGGGCTCCCGCCTCTTTCAAAACCTCTTGGTTGCTCTTTTTGGCTGTCCAAGGTATTCTAAGCATTCTTCTGTAAAACCACATCTCTGAGGCCTCCATAAATTGTTTGGCCTGCCTACCGATTGTCCAGGATTCACAGCCATATATTAAAACTGGATGTATGTAGCAAGCAAGAATTCTTTTTCTAACTCTCAATGACAAGGATATATTGCACAAGATGTTTTTCAATTTATAAAATGCAGTTTTTGCTTGTCCTATTCTATTTCTTATCTCAGTTATGCATCTTCCATCTGATGTTTTCCATGTGCCCAGATACTTAAATATCTGTACTTGTCCTAAAATAACACCATCAACTTTTATTACACACTTAGGAATAATTCGTTTCTTTCTTACTTCTGTCTTCCCATTATTCAAACTGAGGCCCATTCTTCCACTTTCTAACACCAGAATGTCTATCATTTCCTGTAGTTCTTTCTGACTTGTTGCTATCTTCTTACTTGTTCTTATTTATTGTATTTTCATGATTATTTGTATCTTGCTATCAAGATCTATAAGAAGAAGTTGCCAGCCTCATGCTAACACTGATCAGTAACTTCTTAAAACAACACAATCTGATTAGCACAGGCAGAAGTTACTAATAAGTATACAGATAATAGGTAAATGTTAAGAAATAATTTAAACCTCCTTATAGTGTACGCTAATTTTATGGTGCAATATGATTATCACAATCTTTGCAAAAGGTACACAAATATATTAAATTTAATCTTAACTCCTACTGTAATGAGTGGAGAAACCTTATAACGACAAAAAATATTTCCCAAGAGGAAAGATTAAGAGGTCAGAGGCCACTTAGGAATGGTTAATCACAAGGAGAGAAACTCCATGAAAAGTGTGCATGAGCATGTTGAGGGATTTTCACAAAGTAAGTGAACTGTGGTCAAAGGAGATAAAGTGAAGCAAGAAAACATCATTTCTGTATCTATTTCAATACAAGATGTTACAATTGATACATTATCTAAGCAATATTAAATAACTAAAAGTAAGTGAAGGGAAAACTATAAACATCTTAGAATTAAAAAGCAAAAATCTCAATTACTACCTAGATGGGTTAAACAGGATATCACTTTTTGTTTATTTCTGTACTATGGTACAGAATAATGCTACAAACTACAAAAAATACAAGTCTACTTATGACAGAAATCAATGTACTGAAGTTAACAATAACATACCCCCAAATATTCAGTATCAATGTCGATCAAATGAAAACCATAAATTCTTTGAAGAATATCAGGAAAGCCCAGCTGACAAACACGAGGTAGAATCCACTGATTGGATTCTAGTGTCCCTCTTATCTCTGACAGCTCCTGCTCATTATTATAGATACATAGATCTTCAAGAAGTTTCTGGTCTGCATTTTCTAAAGCTTGAGTAAACTGACGTGCACGTGATGATATTCTCCCTGAAATAAATAGTATAAACTGAATTTAAATGCCAGAAAACGTGAGTCATCAATTTATTTTTAAACTGTAAAGCCATTATATGCCTGCCTGCTGTCCTGAAGATCTGAATTCAAATCCGTGTCAAAGTGGAATTTTTTTTTTAAACTGACCTCAGCTTCTAGACTGACCCAGCCTAAAAGTGCAACCTGGAAATGGCATGTGAGTAAAGAAAACTGGTATGATGTTACCCACATCATGCATTATGTTTTAACTTGTCTACAAAAATGTGAATTTAGCATTTTGTGCCTGTAAACCAATAGTGAGAACAAGGTCATTTACCTTTTACCTTTTTCTTATTTATTAAGGCAGTGAGTGCTAATAAAAAAAAAAAAGCTCAACTATGGGATGTAATGTACTATAACATCTTTGAAATATGTCTTTTAGTGGTTCTCTTAGGCTGTCTATTAGTGTTAAGTGTTCCTCAATGTTGTCATGTTTAAAAGGAAATCATTAAAGAACAGGAATGGCAGATATATTTTCAACTCTTCAGCCTTTGTAGATGGTAAAGACCCTTTGGAGGTGCAGGAACAATGCAGAATAGCATATACATCATCAAGGTCCAGAAAGAATGATTTAAATTGGAATGAATGCTCAGAGGAAAGACAAGACAACACAGAATCAGACTACAAATGACACCATATTTTTATAGAACTCTGAGATGGCTGCTAAAGGAGTGTTTAGAAGAAACGTTCCAAGTGCTGCGATGTTGGTTTTTTTAATTCGTATAAAGTTAATTTGGAAATGTCTAGTGGAAGCTAGACATCTTTACTCTTAGAATAATTGTTGAAGATTCTACAGAATTCCAGTCGAAATTATTGATCAACTTTGTCGACTTTCAAAAAGCCTTCGACAGTATCCATCGTCCAACACTCTGGAAATTGCTTAACATCTATGGTTTCCCCATCAAATATATCAACATCATAAAATCTTTTTATAATGAAACACGATGCTGTGTAAGAACTGATTCCGGCAATTCTGACTGGTTCCCGGTGGAAACAGGAGTGAAGCAAGGCTGTGTCCTATCGCCGATGCTTTTTGGTATAGCAATCGACTGGGTCATGCGCAAGTGCATAAATAACGCAAATTTAGGCATTACATGGTTGACAAAATTCTGGAAGACCTAGACTTCGCTGACGACATAGCACTCCTGAGTTCAGAACACACAGACGCCCAAGAAAAAATCAATCGACTCCAGAATTTCTCAGAACAAATTGGACTCCAAATTAACACCGCAAAAACAAAAATTCTAGACCTTACCAACAGTTCAGTTGATATCACGCTGAACAACAACAGCCTTGAAAAAGTCAACAGTTTCACTTATCTAGGGAGCAAGATGTCATCTACAGGAGATACCGCACCAGAAATATCATTTAGAATAGCACTGGCATCTAGTGCCTTCAATAAACTGTCTAACATCTGGAAATCAAAGACACTTAGCAAACACACAAAACTCAAGATCTTCAATTCTTGTGTGATTCCAGTACTAACCTATGGATGCGAGAGTTGGAAATCAACGAAAACTCTAGACACAAAATTAGACAGTTTTGAAAATAAATGCCTTAGAAGAATACTAAATTTCAAATGGTCAGATTTCCGAACCAATACACAAATAAGGCAAGAATCCAGGCAAGAGTATGTGTCTAATTTTATACGAAAACGCCACTGGAACTATGTCGGCCACGTCCTTAGAATGGATAAATCAAGACTTCCTTACCAAGCCCTCATTTGGACACCACAGGGGAAAAGATCTCGTGGAAGACCAAGGGAAACCCTACGTAGAACTATCATCAGGGAAGGCTCGCTCATGGGCCACTCAAACATCCAAGACCTACAACGGATTGCAACGGACCGCCGTGCATGGAGAGTCACGACCTCTGCCCTATGTGCCGCACTCGACACAAGAGGAAAGACTAACTAACTAAGTGGAAGCTGGATATTTTTCTGAACATTTTAATTGTACATGAAAAAATACTAAACCTCAGCTTCCCTAGCTTATTGTAAAAATAATAATAATATAACATATATAATAATAATAATAGAATATAATGATATAAAATTCATAAAAATATTATCTTTAAATATTCAGTTTCAACAAATACTTAATCTCAAATGATTAAAAAAAAAAAAGCACTGAGAAAACAAAGTACAAATAGGCAAAATTAACAAAAACAGGATATTTTATCAGTCTTTATTTCATCTTCTTCTTCGGTGTTCAGAGCATGTGAGGTTCAGTGTTAGCACCTGCCTCCACATATATTTGTGACTGGTCTTCCTTCTATGGCTGGTGACTCCAAGTGTTTGTAGACCTGCTTGGATATTATCACTCCATTGTCTTCTCAGTCTATCTCCTGGTCTACTTCCATTCAACTCCCTAGCGTACACACCTTTTCCTATCACTCACCATTCTCTCTATCTAACGGCTCTCATGATGCCAATGATTAGTGGTGCTTTAAACAGATTCATAATTTCACTGCTGCTTCTCACTCTCCATTCCCAGTTGTTTGCATCTTTGATGGGTTAAAAGATTTTAAGACAGACACTATGGACTTCCATTTTTGGGGTTGAAGTGGGGGGGCAGACACCATTCCTTTTTTTGTAGAACCTATTTCATTGATCACAATATGTTATAGTGGTCTTTGTTTTAAATGCTGACTCTCAGATGATGACATCAAATATTATAAAACAGTTTTAAATAGTAAAATAGTAAAAAAATAGAGGAAGGTCTTGGATGGCGCAAGCTGAAGAAACAATTGGACATGTGTGCAGGCTTGATAAATTTGAGCGAGGAGAGGAGTGGGTCAAGGTGTCACTTTAGATCGTGAGTGCAGAGACTGGCCAGCTGGTGTTGCAGCATCAGAAGTTCAACAAATGATTCATGACAACTCCCGCGCAAGTGATGTGATTATCTCTCCTCGTCTAGGGGCATACAAAGTGCATGGGGTTTTTATTTTGAGTTTTTGAACAACGGATCAACATCATGGCATACGGGTAGTAACCCATAAGTGCTCCGTTCTTCTTCCAACTCAAATCTAAGTCCAAAGAAGCTCAGCACAGTGCACAGGCTCTGTAGCACAGGCAAGGATCCTGAAATACTTTGGGTAGATTTTGAACTCAAAATTTTGCCTAGGCAGCACCGTTAGGCTACTCTTTTGGATTTCCAACTGTCAAGGGATTTTTTACGTCAGCAGCAATGCACACGGGCGTCCGATCTCCGATCTCACTACCCAGAGACCAGGGGAAATTACTAGAAGTCCAAGTCCACATGAAAAGATCCTAGCCCTTACCGGGGATTGAAAGTGCATAGGGGGTTCATAGCAAAGGCGAATGGATGTTGCTTAGTGCAGCAAAGCCTTGCATATGATATCACAATGTCTAGTTTCAGAATGGAGGTGAAGGCAGTCTCTGCTGCCTTCCGCTGGCTTCAGAATCAGCTGTACACACATGCCATCATTGTAACTGACTCACAGAGCATGTTGAGAAAGGTGAAGACAGGCATGCTTCGTACAGAGTGGTAAGCATCACTTCAGAGGTCCCAGGCAGTTTGCATCCTTTGAATTGTTTTTTCCAGGTCTTGCTGGTGTGTTGGAAAATTAGCCGGCAGATAGATTGGCTGGCTCAGTACCATTTGATGGTGAATTGATGTATGACAAGCTTGATATTGTGACGGCCCTTTGGGAATGAATGAACAGTGTGGAGGCCCAGATAGATCATTACAGTCTGAGGAGAATGCTGCTGCGAGGCGTTACCAGGGAATCTGGCTGATGCTCAACACTCTGGAGGAGGATGAGACAGATATACAATCAGATGGTTACTGGTGCCATCAGAATTGGAACTATTCTCTTGCTGCTGAAGATGGGGACGGAGCACTTAAGGGAGTGCCCCGAGAGTTGCGATGTTGATTCTTAATTTCAAATAGTTAAATCAGGCTCTGAGATGGATTAGAAGAGGATAGAGTCTCAGATCTGCCTCTATAACTATAGGCATACTCACAGTCTATGACTGCCTCTGTCACCATGCTAGTACTGTAAGTATTGATAGATAAATGTAGTTGTAATGTATCAGCAAAAATCTGCCTTAGTAGAATTCTCATCTGAACTCTTACAGGATTTGACAGTCACATGGTATATGACATTCTTTCCTGTCTTACCATCTATCAACTGATGTACTTCGATTGATATTCTCCTACAGAACTAGTCACTGCATTTCTCTCATTCTGCATATCTCTTTCCAGTTGACGACTCCAGTGTTTGTAGACCTCATCTCTCCACCATCTTCTCAGTCTACGTCATGTTCTACTCCTCCTACTCAACTCTCTCGTGTACACAGCTTTTGCCTCTCTATCATCAGACATTCTTTTGATACATATAAATCTATGTTTATGTATGTATAAGTCTGTTTACATAAATAAGTGTGTACGTAGGTTGAGTCTGTATGCATATGTTTACTACCTGTGGGTGCATAAGTTTGTATGTGTAAGTATGAGCATGCGTATGTATATAAATGCATATTATATATATTTTAATGTACTTATTTGCCATCCATGCAACTGTATTTTTTACCCAGCACTAACATTGTATTTCGCTAAAGGAATACAACATGCTTTGTAGATATAAACACACATGATGTTTAAAGGACGGGTGTTTCGAATGGCTGAATGTATCAGCGTGTATAATGCCTACGTGACCAATTTGTAACCCTTAAAAATAAAGTTTTGTTTCTTTGTTTGTTCAAATCAGTCATGTGCCATCCGTGACCCCCACTTGTTTTAATCTGCATATATTTGGTGTGAATTTGGAAGCAACAGAGATGTGGTTTCTGAGACAAATATTTCAAATACCTTAGAAGGCCAGAGTAACTAACAACAATTGTTTGAAAGAAGATAATGAAAGTAGATCTCTATATACAACGATAAGAAGGAGACAAACACTGCTCTTTGGCCATGTAATGAAAAGAGAGGCACTGAAAAACATAGTGGCAACTGGAAAAATGGGTACAGGCAGACCAAGAGAGATGATGCTGGATTGGCTGAAATGATGGCATGGAGGAATATCAACAAGAGAGCTGTTCCAGGCAACAAGGGATCCTGATCTGTGGAGATGCATGAGCGCCTATGCCAACTGGCAGGGCATATGATGTTGATGATATTTGGTGTTAAGTAAAAGTCTAAGTACCAGATGTTTATCACTATTGGACATCATCACACAGTCTTTTAGACAAGCTAGACATTTAAAGACAATAAAAATAAAACAACAACAGAGTTAACAGCTGAAGCAATAATAAAAATTTAGATTGAAAGAAATAATCATATGCATAATGATGATGGCCATAAGGAGGAAGTACAAAGAAAAACTGAGCATTATCTATAGAACCTACAAACCTTCCATATGATGTCTTTGTTTGTGCCACTTGAGCTCTAGTGTGGATCCAAAACACTAAAGACGGCTTTTTCATATCATGTTTGCAGTGTCAAGAAAATCAGCCACTTCCTGCTTGAAAAACAAATATTAAACAGTTTTAAGTGATTATTTTTAAATTAGCCATTCAACAGAAGAATGAAGGACACAATATTAACTCCGTTAATGCCCAACAACTCACCACATATCTATAGATAACTTCTTAAATTACATGCTTTATTTAACTCTTTGTTTCTCATCAAATGTTATACTAAACCACCTTTCTGACTACTACTCTTTTTGATGTCTAATATAGTTAATATTCAACCACTTTAGACTACTTTTATTAGTTTCAAAAACTGCTTAAAACAAGTTAATTCTGTAAGTTCCAAGAAGTCATAAAATTAATTTCTTCTGTCATAAGTGTCTGTCCTTAAAAGAAGTAAATATTCAGGTCTGAAGGATGTCAACATAGACATTTTAAGACAGAAGTAATTAAACTAACAAGCTGGATACCAAGAGTCTCCTGTCTGAGATAGAGAAGACAGCAAGAAAATTAGTTTATCATGCAATGGTTCAGAAATGCATAGTGCTTTGTTTGGTACAGAAAGAGTTAAAGTAATAACTATCTACAATTAAAAGACTTGATTATACTGAGTCACAGAAATTTATTGCAATTGGGAGTGCTAATGATATCAACAAAATCACAGGTTAACTCTTTAAGGCCCAAACAACGGTGTGAGCGTAGTTTGAGAAGTTCCGTTCTGCCCAAACAATGGTGTCATCGTTAATCATGTATCTCTTACATTTTGCTTCGCATGCGCGTTCGTACTAGTTTCTAATGTTTGGAGGTACGAATAACCTATTCAGGGAAAGTCACTCTGCCGAAATCCTTTTAGTTTCACTTCTTGGACTAAACCACACGTGGATAATTTGAGAGAAAAAAACATCAACATTTTTTTAACAGTTTATTTTCTAAGTTCGTTTTTGAGTGCACTGAATACCAATGTTCTAACCACAAGAACAGGTCGCAGAATGCGTCTTTCTGCGGCCGAAGCTCTGAAATTGTTTCAGTCAGATGTTTTTAATTGTGATAATGATAATAAAAATTTTGATTTTTCGGAAAGTGATTCAGACAGTGAATTTTCACCAGTGAAGCTGAGCGATCAGCTGTTCGGAATCTAGCGATTCTGACGAGTTTATTACACAGACAATGTCCCATACTACCGTATTTATGGTGTAAGAGAAGGAAAGTGCTCTAAACAAAGAGATAGTACTATACTATGGCTAAGCTACATTGAAATCATCGCAGCTACAGTCTGTAAATAACTGTACAAAGTAAATAGTAAATAGTGTGTGTGTTATGGCTCATTTTTCTGCCATTTTTTCTCTGAAATTTTGCTTAGCACTCGGTGGGAACTAAGAGCCCCTGAGTGATAAACTAACCCAGAACGTTATCATAACTTTAGAATATGTTAGGAAATTGAACAAACTTTGAAGTTTTGTTCTCAAATTTGGATATTTACTATTCTTGTGGCTGCAAAACCATGGTAAGTGAAGAATTTTTGTGTGAAATGTTGTCCTTGTGAAATTAACACCTGCTGAATTCTTCTTTTCCACTAACTATAACCAAATTAAACAAACACTTATCATCAGATTCAGAATGTACACTCATTTCTCGTTTAAAAAATATATACTGTTTTAGGGATTAGAAGTATATTACAATCTCTACAGCCTTTCTTGTACACCCATCCCTCTGCCATTTTTGTAAAGGTAAATTAATGTGGGCCAAGTCTGCCAAAATTCATGGGCCTGAAAGAGTTAATACTTTTCCAGTGATCAAAATTATTATGCCTTAAATAAAACCCAATGCACTGCTATTTTTCTCTAGTATGCTTTGACTAAATATAAGAAGTACAATTAGATATTTACACTGACTAGTATGTGTGGGGAATAACCAATCAAACATGATGCATCAACTGTGCCAAAATCAGGGGGAAAAGAGGAGGTTGGGGGAGGGGGGGGGGAATCACCCTCCAAAATAAAAGATTATTATATTTATTTGTCATTCTGCACATTATTATTATTATTTTGCACTTCATGATCCTTGAGCTCCCCCCCCCCCCCCCTTTCTAAACATTTATAAAGGGGCTAAGACCCCCCCCCCCCCCCCCCCAATGTTTTTTTTTTTTTTGGCACCTCTGTGATGCACAGCTTAGGATAAAAATAGTTTTAATTCCACTACACAACTTAACAGGAAAGTGAATGTGGTTTTGTGGGTGTGAATGTAAACAAATGATCCTGGTTTATGAGTCAGTTTGTTTTAGTGTATTATTTTTTGCTATTTCAAGAATTTATAACATAGTTCACAATTCTTTATTTTAATCTGTAGTGACTATTCTTTATTTTAATCTGTAGTAATTGAAATGGCCCATTATTTACATCTGTTTGAAAAGATAGATGTTCTGTCTTTTCTTAGCGTTCACAAGCTGTTAACTCTGGTGAAAAGTTCTATGTTTCATCCACTTCATGACTTTGGTCTTGTTCTAGAGCTTGAAGTGCACATCCGTTTTAAAGATCTGGCATATTTGTATGCAGACTATTGGTTCCTCACCTCTCAAGCAGATGCACTCCAAATTCAGTGGGTCCATTCTCTTTTCCCCAAAAATATGGTCCTGGAACCCACAGTGAGAGCTTTAACTCATTCGGTACCAAGCAGCTAGCCATACACATTACTTGGTCATTCTAAAGATAATACAATGCTTTTGCTGCCTTCTATCACAGACAGATGTTATATTAACCAGAGGCGGGCCTAATCAATTCACAGGTGTAAGTGTTAGCAGGTAACGAATACACTAGTGACAGTATCATGGAATGTTTTCATCCTTGTCGCTTGGTTGTTGCGCATGCAGTGAAACTTTGTCTCGCCATGTTCCAGACGTAAAATGAGTGGCATATTTGCAAATAAATGGTAAACAGTAAAAATTAAATAATAAAATAGTTTTTTTGCTTGGCAATGAAAAGTGTAAGCGGCAATCACAGCCATCACATGCACGCCTTTCCACTGTTACTAACACCTTTGTATATCAATTATTAGTTTTAAACACATCTTTCCCAAGTTCAACTCAGTTAGATGTAAGTATTTATTGCCTTGATCTCTTTCAATCCAAAGCAATGCTCAATGTGTGAATGAATTTACCCCTTGATTTCCCTCTATAGAATGATGAATCTTACTTTTACTATGTATATAGAACAAAGAGAAATCTATCTCCCCAACTGGTCACTACCACTACACATACTGCTGTTTTGAAGGTGAAGCATTCATGGTATTAGAAAGGGTTAAGACTTCCAGTTTAAAATGGAGGACTAGGCATGGCAGATTGTTAAGCTTCTAAGTTATTTTTGCTTCTGACAGTACTTTGCTAATATCTTTTCCACACACGGATAGTAGTCAACGGTTTCGCTGCCTGAGCTACTGAGTTCAGTGCTTGGTGCAGCCCTGTGAGCTGTGTTTTTCATGTGGACTACCTTTCATTTATGCAAACCGTTGAGTCGCGTTCTTAAATATGGCTGGTAGCTGGTTTAAGTGTGGGCTGGTAAAATACCTTATGTATGTATTAATCCTATGTGTGTACAGCCAACTTACTGTGCCCGATCGATTACTTCCACCAACAATAAAACTGCATTTCTGGTGGTGACTGTTGGTTTTGGTGCCTCTGGCAACTGCCATATGCATTTACTGCATGCACATATTTCTGGACTGTGCCGGAACTAATGGTTTTTTTCACAAGTTTTTTTTCAAATTTGACAATGGGTGAAATTTCATTTGATTTTCACTGGCACAGGATTGGAGCAAGTATGGAGTGACTGCAGTAAAGTTGAAACCTTGACGAACTCAAAGAGTCCCTGGGGGTTTAGCAACAGAGGCCCAAGGGGTAGTCAAAAGAGATGTAAAATCGGTGCATCTTGTGTTCATTGGGCTTCTAGGTAGGAACCTATGAACGTTTGATGCATTCCTTGGGACTTAAAGAGCTAAGACTAAGACTTAGAAGGTGCTAAAGTAGCAATTGCTTGGGACCGAAATAGTTAACTTGTTTGTATCTGTTTCAAATAAGCAGATGGGACCGAATAACATAAAGCAGACAGACATATTAGGGTAATGTAATGATTACTTTTACTAAGTAACTAGCAGGAGTAATTTACACAATGAAATCCTGCATAACTCATCTGGGTTATAACTGTCATTTATTTGTGTACATTTCAATACAAGAATACTGGATATTTATGCTGATGTTGTTTAAGTCTTTCCTGTAGTACTGTAGTTCTCTATAGCATCTAGCTTTATTTATATTGTCCTAAACAGCTTATTGTGCTGTCAATGAATAACTGAATAACAAAACTAGATTTCATGAATGAATGACTGCATTTACTTAATAATAGTCGAAACAAAAGTTGCCTTACTTTTTAAACACTTTATTTAAAAACTTCTTCAGAATCCTTGAACAGCTGAATGAAAGTTTGCTGGAGAGCCGTTTTTAAAGTTTACTACACTGATCTCAATTCAAATTTAAAGTTTAGTTAGTAAACATACAATAATGCAAGTGATAAAAACAATTAAATAAATGTAATATAATTGAAACCGTGTCTTACCCTACCCCTAAACGACGCATCCCTTATGTCTAGGAAAGTATGTAAGCTTTCAAACGCCTATCTAATCTATAGGTCGCAACAACTTTCATCAAGGAAGTCAAATTCTATTGATAAGTTTTCAGAAAAACCATTTTCTGGAAAATGTAACTACTCAGAACTACAAGTATAGACGAAATCATAGTAAATCATTGAAAGTACTTGCAAATTACACCCAGACGGCTTTAGTTTATAAAGTACTTCAAGTTAAAACTGTCTGATAACGGCTACAAGTGATATCACTAATAAATAGTATTATAATAGTATAAACTATAAACAATGTTTGGGCCGGTTTAATAATTGTTTGTTTTGTTGAATAAGTTTTATTTTTAAGTTAGTCGTAGAAGGAGCATTTGATAAGCTGTCGTTAAGGTAAACTGTCATGGCCGGTAAAGTTGCCAAAAGTACAAGAACTATCGACTGAATCAAGTAGAAGACATGAAAAATAGCCTCCATAATGGCAATGGAAAAGCAATACGTCGTACGGGACACCCATACGCGATCTATTACTGCTGTGGGATATAATCCAGTACGGCGGGAGATACTTTTAGGTTTCGAAGGTACGTTTTTTTTTTTTTAAATTACCAAGCACTTTCAACTTTCGGTTCCTGCCTCAGAGTCTGAGTCAACGCATGACACAACACCTGCTGCATAGTCACTATGATAGTGGAAAAATAAAAGAATGAAATGCATCAGGTTAAAAATAGGAAAATCGTGATCGGGCCGAGGACATAATTCAGCAGGTGTGTTCACTTGAGGACACAGAACCTGGCAAGCTCCAACAGAGCTGTACGACGTTTTCTGTTTGCATCTGATCTGACTATATAGAAAATACAGAAAACAAAATCTGGCTGCTGTGAAGGCAGTCGTTCAGGCCTTATGTTTCAAGAATTCTCTAGAGGGGGTGCTGTAATTTACCCACATAGGTCCATTGTTCGCCACATAAGAAGCTCTTAGGCGTTTACAGCTCAGGTTTGAGGGAGAAATATAAAGAAGATTTTGTGCTTTCGCCTTGACTATAAGTAGTCTGACTGTGGAGGTCATGGCAGTGACTAAAGTGAAAACAAGCCTGGAGACACAGGCTTACACTCATGCATGCTTTCTCGGTGACTTAACTCTTTGAGTCCCAGAGGGTTTAACATCACAGGCCCAAGGGGTAGTCAAAAGAGACTAAAATCAGCGCATCATGTGTTCATTGGGCTTGAAGGCAGTAACCTATAAACGTATGATGCGTTCCTTGAGACTCAAAGAGTTCATGAGTAGGCTTATAAAGATAGAAATGGGCTGGGTCCAAAGACAATGGTTGGTGTCTCTGGCAGTCAGGGCTGACAAAGATCAGCTTCAAGGCAAGCAAACATGCAAAGAAATGAGCAAGCTAATAAGCTTGCAGATATGGAGGTGTGGTTACTGTGGAGAGCAGATGAACCATGGACCAGGTTGATATGAGAAGTAAGATTTTTGTGAGAACCAAGTGATAATTGGGAATCTGCAACAGTGACTAGACTGTAAGAACAACAGAATTGGTGTTGTCAGTTACTACACACTGTGTGATTTACTGAAGAGGAAGTCCAGGCACTTACGGACTTCTTCTTCTTCTTCACTTCCTTTTTACCGCTGTGGGTGTCGAGGGAGATATAAGGTTCTGTTTCTAGCTCTTCTGGCTGCCTCGACCATAGGCACATCGTGCTGTTGTAGAGTTTCTCTGATGTTATCCTTCCATCTTGTTCTTGGTCTACCCTGTGCTCTACGTCCTTCTTCTCTTTCCATGTATGCTTTGTATGGTATGGTGTCACAAGGCATTCTCTCTAAGTGGGCAAACCATTTCACTTGCTGTCTTTGTATGTAATCCAGAATTGGTTCTACGCCGACTTGTTCTCTTATGATCTCATTCCTGATCTTATCTTTTATGGTCACTCCTACAGCCCTTCTCAGACATCTCATTTCCGTGGTTACTAATTTTTTTTTATGGTTTGTTGTGAGTGACCATGTCTGGCACTGGTAGCACAGAGTTGGAATAAATATGCTTTGAATAAGATGTCTCTTTGTGCTGATTGGGATTGTACGGACTGAATGTTTCAAATTGAAGTGAGGATAATCTGTTAAATAACTAACTAACGATTTCTGATGCTGGTTTTCATCCATGGAATGATATTACTTGTTACATATTATCCGTATCAACATCCTAACAAATCAGTCCTACCCATTCATGCTCCATCCTTGATGCAGCAGTCATCTTTGTTTGAAATGATAACAGACTGACTAACATCCTTATTGCTCTAGCAAACCACAACAGTGAACATTGCATTGCTGTATGAAAGAATCTTCTGATTTGTGATCACCGGCAGTAAACTGCGGTGGAAAGTTTTTGTTGTTCCCCACTTCAGGACTTTAGTCTTCTTCCAGAACTTGAGTTGTATGTGCACATCCATTTTACTTCTTTTCTTTGTTTTTGTTTACCAGAAAGTCCTCATTGTTTGTCCATTTGGACTTTGGCTTTATGACAGGACCTGAGTTTTTACATCCATTTTACTGGCATATTTGTGTGCAGTTGGTTGTTTCTTGTCACTCAGGCAGATGGACTCCGACTTAAAAAAAAAGCTGTCAATTAGTCAATTCTTACGACATGCTTTTTGGAGTGGCAGTGGGTCTATTCTTGTTTCTGCAATTTATGGGGCACTGGAACCTATACCGGGTATTAATTTTACAAATCTGGCTTTTTTATGTGCAGAATGGTCTTTCCTCACTTTCCAGGCAGATGCACCCTGTTTTATAAAAAAATTGTTATGTTATCACAATCGGCGTCACTGCATACTGGGCATTCCCATGCGTGCTTAGTCCTCCGATGCAGCAGCCACTCCACGGTACTTCTACTAATTGTTCCCATGAGATGTTGGTTATAATGTCCCCTTTCTCTGCCTCGAAGGGGGCATAGATATGTTTCACCATGCTTTACTCACATGTCACACAATCCTGTTAGTGTCAGAGATTTGGGCTCTTCTTTAAATAACGGTCGCTAGCTGGAAGGCGACGGTCGCTTAGTCGGAGTTCACTTCCTTGGCTGAAGTGCAAATATGGAGTGGTAAAGAGGGAACGAAATAAATGATGTAGTTACCTGTCATCCTAGGGTTAGGCTTAGGGCTTTGGTTAGGATTTGGGGTAGGGTTAGGGTTAGGGTTAGGGTTTGGGGTAGGGTTAGGGTTAGGGGTAGGGTTTGGGGTAGGGTTAGGGTTAGGGGTAGGGTTAGAGTTTGGGGTAGGGTTAGGGGTAGGGTCAGGGTGACACATCATGGAAACGACGGAAGCTGATCGCTCATTACGACATACAGATCCACAGGTCTCACATCTATGGTCACTAAGTCGTCCGTCGGAAGAACGCGGTCGCTTATGTGAGTCGCAGCGCGTGGTCTACGAGAGTCTTGCATCGCAAGATCGCGGTCGCTACTGTCAGTCGCAGCGCATGGTCTAGCTCTAACAGGCATGTCGACCTCACTTTCTTTTTTTATTCATGACTTGTCCGCTCCGTATTTGCACTGCAGCCAAGGGAGTGAACTCCGACTAAGCGGCCGTCGCCTTCCAGCTAGCGACCGTTATTTAAAGGAGAGCCGAGATTTGTCATTATCCACTAACCCAGTCCATACAGCAATGATGATATCTTCTCTCCAGCTTCTTCCCACATTTGTTGGGTCTATTTTTTTTTCTTCTCTCCATAATGAGGCCCTGGAACACAGAATATGTAATAATGAAATTCTTTGTCTGAAAAGTTTTGAGAATATTTGTTTCTAAAAATACCTGTATTTTTCAAACTGTAGAGTTTAAAAAAAGGAGTGAGGCAGGCAAATGTTTCTTTATTTGCTGTAACAATGTAGCAGGATACACTAAATGGGTATAAATAGTTAATACCCGGAAAGGCTAACCCAGTCAACAAATGCCTGCAAAATTCGGATGTATCCGCTGAAAGGTGCAAATATCGCAGCCATGCTGTAAACGCAGAAGAAGAAGAAGACAGTTAATACAGAAATAATAATACTCCCATGTCCTACAGAAGTAAAGTTAAGTACAGAAAATAAAGAGTTGTGTTGTGTGTGTGTGTGTGTTTTTTTTTTATAATTTGTAAATTTTGTATATTATTATTTGCTTGAGTTCTCTTATATCAAAGGAACTTCCTTTGCACCAGTAAGGTAGTGACATTCATAAGCAGTGTGGAGTACCTATGTTTCCCCCAGCTAGGATAGCTGAAATTATGTGAGTTGTGGATTCAACTTAACCACAGTTAATAGACAGTTGTTGGTCAAGGTCTCAAACTGTCTCTTACTGACCAGTAATATAACTTTCAAAAAAAGGAAAGCAAATGGCATTCTTAAATGATACCTAGAAAAGCATGTTTCAGCAGCTGACACAACTTCAGACAGGGAGAAGACAAAGAGATAAATACTTAAATGACTTGTATACATGGCTTGGTTGGGACAAGAGCGCAAGCCTGATCTGAGACACTGATGATTATGTTAAACTTTGGGTCATGACCGCCCATGCATCTCAACCTGGCACTTAATGATGATATTATATTTTCAGTGGAACTTCTAACCTATATACAAAATCAGCTACACTCAAAAGTAACTGCTAGTGTACCAGGGCTAATGCAGGTTAATAACCATGCCTTTTTTGTCTTTTGTGTTTCAGTTAGAAGGATTAATTATTTGCTTTCCTCATGTGGGTTCTGGTGCCCCATTGTGGGGAAAACAAGAATAGACCCACTACCTGCCCAAAAGCATGTCGCAAGATTCGACTAAATGTAAACTTCCTTCGAAGTCAGAGTACATCTGCCTGGGAGGCAAGGAACCAACAGTCTGCAAGCAGATGAGTCAGTGCACGCAACACTCAGTTTCAGGAACAGGACTAGAGTCCAGCAGTAGACAACCAGAGTTTAAAGCCGGTTATCGCGAAGAAAAAGAAAAAGAATTGTTTTGTTGATTAAATTCAGTTGTTACCATAGTATGCATCTGACGAGATACAGCAAAATATGCCTGGCAATAAATTGTGTAATCTATTGTTTGTACTTTATTTGTTCAAATTTATAGTGGGGAAACATTGCTTTAATTACCTAAGACAATGTTTTGAACCATTATATGTTCAAGATGGTGTCATCAAATCTTGGGAAGCAGAAAGTGGCAGGTTGATTCAGACATTTTATGAGCACAAGGGCTGGGTCACAGACTTCATCTTTTGGTAAAACTTTTTATTTATGATTTTTTTTGGTAGATGGTGGTAGTTCACTTTCTATAAGTTAGTTGCGTATCCTTTACAGGACGTTGCAAAACCAACCCCAACAGCCCTTGTTTTGTGGTTTTTCTAGGCAAATTCATGTCCAGTAGTTTGCCATTGCTTTCTGGACGGTCGGCTTTCTTGATGTCACTGTTGAAACCAACGCAAGGCGCATTGCCCGCCTCTGTGATCGATCCCGGCATTACGAAGCGCTCGCATCGACTTAGCCACAGAGCCAACTCAGTTTCTAAACATGTAGCAAAAATTCTTTAAAAACTTAAGGTGAAGTAGTATCTTCATCCCTACTTTATGCTATTGTCAGCGCAGAACATGGACATGAGTAGGGCACTAGAAACAAACAAACAAAAATAACTATGTGTTAAATATGGTGTCTCAGTAAGGGTGACTAGCAACACAAGAAGTGATAGAGGTATAAATAACAGCATTAGAGAGAATGTTGGATGAATTTTATTGACAAAGAAAGAATAAAATGGTTTGGCCATCTAGTGAGAATGCACTCAGACCAAAAAGCATATGAGATTTTTAAAAAAATTGTTAACAGTAAAACAAGTCAGAGGAAAGCGAAGGGTAGTTGAAACCCGTTTAAAAAATTAACATATCCATCACCAAAATACAAGACAAATACGGAAAACTGGGCTACAACCTGGTACCAGTGAAGACGATAAAAATTGGAAGAAAAAGGTCAAATAGGGGGACAAACTGATTGTTTTGAGGCTCTGGCCATGTTCAGAGTGTCAGTGCAAATTTCATTTACATGACAAGAGGTCATCTTTCCATATGTGATAACTTTATTGGTCCAATATTTCATCAATTAGATGCTCGTCTGCTGACCTAAAGGTCTTCGGTTTGAATCTCTGCACCAGGCAGGTATTGTTGGGTCTTCGGTTTGAATCTCTGCACCAGGCAGGTATTGTTGGGATGGGGGGTGCTCTGACTTTCACATCAACCCAATCTAATACAGGTACCAGGAAGTGGCCTGGGAAATAATGACAGCTGATGAGGGTTGACCACATCACCCATCAAGTTCGACTTGGTCTATAAAACTCTGAATGCAGCATAATAGGCTTGATGTGCCAGTGGCATAAAAAATGCCCTTTACTTTTTAGATTCACTTTTGAAACCATAAATATGTTTCCACCGCTGAACATAAGGAAATATATTTCAAATTTTGTTAGATCAGCCTTATTTCATCATCATCAAGTGCCTTGTCAGCTGGCATAGGCATTTGTGCATCTGCACAGATCTCGGTCTTTGATTTTTTGGATTAATTACACTGATGGAATTCCTCCATGTCACTGTCTTAAGCCCTCCACCATCATTTCTCTTGGTTTGCATCTGCTTCCTCTACTAGTGATTTTTCCAGTCGTCATAATATTTTCCATTGCTTCTTTTCTCATCACATTACCAAAGAACTTACTTACATGATGACAATTGGCATACACAAAGCACAGCTGATGCTGCTCTGCCGAATACTGTTAGTTACAAGCAGCATTATTCACTGCATGTCTGCTCATAATATTGATAGATCATGTGCCAGCTAGCAACTGAGGCTGAAAAACAGAAGGTAACACATTCAACATATTTATGCTTTTGTCTGTCTACAACACATTATGGCAAGCTTGGAAATACATCATCTTCTAACATTGGCAAAATCAAGCATTGCAAAATATATTTAGTTGAAACTGATATTAAAACTTTAACTCTATACATTTAACAAAGTTCATTGTCACAGTTTTAAATTCATTACTTTTTCTCCCTCTGCATTGGTGCTTGAAAGATCTGTTGGCAGATTGTGTTGTTGCTAACAGCCAGGCTGTGATATCTGTGTCTTTCATCTCAACACATCTTAATTTGTCATATTTTTCTTCCTGTTAAGGGGGCAGTGGATCTGTTCAGAATGGGACCATGGAACCCACACAAGGAATATTTCCATTATAGAAAATAGGTCATTAAATACAAATTATAGAAAATACATGTCATGACCTCACTTCAAAACTCCTTGCAAAGACCTGTAATGATTTAGCCATAGAGCACTTAATCCACTTAAAGCTAAAATCTATGCTGACAATGTGTTTTCAGCTTGCTAGAATTTTGTCATGAGCTGGCAGGATTTAGCTACTTGCGCATGTCAAAATTAAGGCTGAACACTTGATCTTGGTCTACTTTCTCTGATGATAATTACTGATAACCCTTTATAAAGATGTGTAGCTATTACTACTTACATGTATTCTAAAATCTAATGACTAAGTATGACACATAATCTAAACCTGTAACATTGATGTGCTACTAGATCTGAATATTGATAACATGGCTAGTAAATAGTGTCATATCTTGGAAAATTATATTTTTTGGTCACATAAAGTATGTGTTTCTAAAAAACACTTACAGAAGGCATGATTCTTGGAAGACGAGTTGTGAGATAGCCAACATAATAGTGGGTATGCTGGTAAAATTGCCATCACTGCCAGTATTTACCATTTGTGTAGTGTAAATGCCGGGGAAAGGGGGTGGGGGTGTCTTGGAGCCTGAGACGCCATGGTATGTTGCATGGCATAGGTAGTGCAGTTGCCAATAATTGTTAGAATTTCATTTTTCTGTTGACAAAACAAAAGGCCATAAACTTACTGAAGATTCAAACCTGGGTCTCCTGCATGATAGCCCAGCATTCTTAACTATTGAGATTTTTAATTTACAGGGTATTAAAAACTTTATAGGCATGAAAATGCATGAGGCAGGAGAGCTGGAAAAGGGTCAAGAGTCTTTTCTGTGCACACAAGGACAGCTAAGGACACACTATCTGATGATGATAATGTCATAATAAGTAATAAGAGGCATGCTAATAACTGGAGAATTCATTATTATATGGTGTCTTTATTCTTTCCTGTTGTTTCTGTAAAATCACCCAGTGCTTCCCTTATTTATTTTCTAACATGCTGTCAGAGCTTGTTGAAGAAAACTGGCTTCTACAGTGAGTTCTTCCACTGTCTGCAGCCAGATTTGAAAGTAATACTCTCATGAAAGTGTGGTGAATACCTCCATGGGCAATCCTCCTGGGACTGAAAGACTTGAATATCAATGTGTGGAATAATAAGTCACATTTCAACTGCATACAATGTAGAACGCGTTAGGCTAGTTCTCCGTTCCATTATTTTTTAAAATCTGCTATTACTGCCTGTATACCACTTTTGCAGTGCAGGGAGATCTTTGAGCCAGAGGGTTTAGGGTTGCATGGCAAGTGCTGTCTCCGTGACTGTGCATGTTAGGAGTTTCTTTTTACCTCCCGACGGAAGAAAATCCACAACCTTACTGGGGAATTGAACCCGTTTCTCCTGCATGAGACCCGGCATCCTTAAATGTTCAGCCAATCACTTCCATTCCATTACATCTTGTGCAATGCAATCCAGCACCTTTGGCCTCTTCCAAGAAAAGCTAAACATGAAAAAAAAATGTTACATGAAATATGAAAAAAGCAACTTAAATATTGTTCCCACATGACACAATCATGGTACTATCATACAAAGTATTCTCAATGGACAGTCAAGAGCAGACAAAGAAGAGTTAGGCAGCAATACAAGTAAACATAACCGTGGGCTGGATGGACAGAGTGTAGAGAGAAGAAAGAGTGTGAGACAGAGAGAACACTGAAGATCACTTACATCCAGCCTTTACTAGGAAATTAACAGTTGATTGCTTGATTTCTAATATTATTAGTGCAAGCGCATTCAGTTTACAGTCGGAGTATCTGTTTGTTAGAAGAAATTTTCATGTTATTTTTTTTACCAATGCCATGTCTTGTTTTGAGTATTATGATTTTCTTTGACCATCAGTTTTCCTCCTAAACATTTATCTTTAGGACTGATGCAAAAGTGATGTTTTCTTCAGCAAATGATGCTCAAATTGTTGCCTGGAGTTCAGGAAGTGTAGCGGATACTATAAATGTGAGATTATTGCTTAAGGGATTTTCCATGTGCATGCTGTTTACGTAATAATACATGTTTGTACATAATAATACATATTTAATTAATAGAGAATAATAGAGACGGGCTGACTAAAACACTGGTAAAAGGAACAAGCTAATAAGCTTGTAGGTAAAGCATCTATGGATGGCTAACAAGTAATGGACCAAGCTGATATACTGAAAGCTCTACGAGATGTAAGATGTTGGTGAGAACTAAGTGATGACTGTGTATCTGCAACCATGTCCGGCTGCAAGAACAAGTTTTTTTTACACAAAAGGGGGGTGGGTGGGGGTTGCAGGCAAGAGCACTGTGCAAGAAGCCAAAGAACAAGAGTAAACCATCACAGAACTGGTGATGTCAGCCACTAGACACTGTGGGATGTACTGAAGAGGGGATCCGAGCACTTGTGCAGTGAATGATTCGTTGTGCAATGAGAAGAATCTGTTGAACTAACATATTTAATTTTAGATTATATCTGAAAACTGAATGCATATTATTGCTCACAATATTACAAGATAAAAGTGAGAAACAAATAAAATGTTAATCCTAGAGATGACACTTCTGAATATTTATGAAGCTACTGAGACTTCTTGTATTCAGGTTAAAGCAGTATTAACTCTTTCTGAATAGGATGTACTTTCCTCAGCTGTGTAGTTCTTATCATGTTGTTACATTAACCCACTTTATCATCTTATCGTAATATCTGTCACTGCATTTTTTATTGTAATTTTTTTAGACATAACTCTTATGTAAGAAATCATTGGACATAGAAAGGTATTTAGCAGTAATTGTCCGTGATGCAAAGAGTTAACCGTAGCAACCAATGGCAGTTCTTACTACCTTAGTGTTTTATGAACCCTTTTTTTTTCTAGATTATTTATTGAAGCTTAGTAACATTGTCTTGAAAACTAGTAATCAGTGAAAATTAAATAAATTGTTAAATGTGTAACAGAAAATACTTGTCTCAAACTGATGACTTATGTCACCATATGTTTTAGCCATAAAGATAGATAGATGCTCACTTTTTACAAAACAATTACTTGATCAGCATTACCTGACAAGTGGGGTGAAGAGTGCACCACAGTGTCTATCTTTTATGAGACATTCAGATTATTTCAGGATATTTGTTGTGGCCCTTCAGCTCTGCTGCCAGCTCCCAAAATTAGAACTGAAATTCCCCCGTGTGGGTTCCGGGGCCCCATCGTGGGGAAATCAAGAATAGACCCACTGCCTCCCCAAAAGCATGTTGTAAGAGTCGACTAATTTGGGAGCTTCCTTTGAAGTCGGAGTGCATCTGCCGGAGAGTCAAGGAACCAACAGTCTGTATTCAGGAGAATGAGATCTGTAAAACTGATGCACACGCAACACTCAGGTTCTGGAGCAGGACTGCAGTTCAGTAGTGGATGAGCAACCAGAACCTTCCGCCAGAGTTTACAGCTGGTGAACGCAAAGAAGACGAAGAAGAAGAACTGAAAATACATATCTTGGTTTTAAAACTGCAAAATTTCGAGTTGCATATTTTGTTTTAATCAGTGGAGTTAGGTGATATCTGCAGCAATGACCATGAAGGGCTCATAATGATCAAGAAGAAGAAGATAAATTGTTCAGGCTTTTAAAAACTGCTGCTGCCTTGACACTGTGTTTCATTTCTTTCTTTCTTTATGCTTCCTTGGCAGTCAAAATTGCTACCTGTTATTTCTGTTTTCTGTCTTCAGCCTGATATTGTTTATTACTGCATTACTCCTTTACTTTGTAGTTAGTTTTAGCTTCATTAACCCATTTTTCATCTTGTAAATACAGGTTACGAAATTATGTTTCTTTCTTTACTTGTCTTTTGCTTATTTTTAGTCACATTTTTTATGTTATTTGTTTTACATAACATATTATATTTCTTTCTGTGTGTAGTCTTTCATGTTAACTGATAGATTTCATTAATTTTTTGCAATATACGGTAATGTTATTGCCAAAGATTTATTAACCAAACAACTAACACTCTTTTGGTACCAGAGAGTATTAATTTCTGAATGTTTCCATCCCAGTGTGGGACGCAATTTTTCATTATTTTAAAGCCCTAATCCAGCCTAGTGGTTGTGCGGGGTTTCTGGGACTTGTGCCCAGGTGATCCTCATCCAAATGGTGGCACTTTGTGTCACTGGGTGGTGGTTGCTCGTTGTATGGTCCTGGTGGGGTTGAACGACTTACACACTATTAATTCAGCTCTTTCTGTGCAAGTACTTTTTATTTTAAATGAGCTTAGATAAATTTACAACATTCAGATAACAGCAATATAGGACAAAGATTTGAAAGGAACAAATATGCTATAGAGGTTCAATGCAATACTTTTGTTTTTTTCTTGATAAGATGGGGCCTGTAATCATCACAATTTTCTATTTTAAAAAAGTAGGAGTGGGGAGTATTCACCACAAAGTGTCTATTACTGCTGCACTGAAACAATGATGACTACAAGAAATGTGTTCGGGACTGTAGGTACTGTATACAATTGTGTACCATAGGGAGAAAAAAACTGGTTTAATAACAAACTATCATAGCAGGATTTGAGAAAAACATTGGATGTAAGGGGTTTTCAGTGAGCGAATAATGCTTTGCTTGGTATATAATGAGTTAAAATATTGAACTTATTTCAGGTTGTACTACCAGTATACTGTATGGCAATACATCTTCGTCGACAACAGCTGATGTGTGGGTCTAATGGTGGTGTCAGAGTTTACGCTCTTGACAAAGGTCAGTTGTGGTGTTAAGATGTAAAAGATCTATTCCTGTGCCTCTAAACATATTGGGTATATGGTGCCGACCCTACATTTTTGTACACCAACTGACACTCAAGAGATTAAATGCTGGATATCACAATGGCAACTTTTACTTCCCAGAACATTTCATTATACTGGGGGCCCAAGTCAGGTTTAAAAATCTGCCCTGACCACTGTGCTGGCCGGCATGCTGTCCAGTACCCTGACCAGGCTCTCAAGGTCTGTCATAGTTGGTTGTATGATGCCAGCCTCATATTTTTATAGACTGGTTAGCGCTCAGGTGATGTGGGTTTTCTTTCTGGCCACTATTGCTTCCCATATATTTTCTTCATAACCATTTAAGGCTGAGTCAACCTGGGAGTCTCAGCTACATGTTTTTCAAATCTTTTGTAAAATTCCCCAGCAGTCGGAAGTTTTAAAACAAGGGGCAGGTCAGATGCTGCCAAGGCAATTTTACAAACCTGTAAAGCTACTCACAAAAATTTTTGGTAGTCTAAATAGCAGTGCTGAAGTTCAGCCAATGGGAAAAGGACTCAAAACAAATTACTGTGCAGAGGCGTCTTACATTCCTGAATATTACCCTCATTGTATAGCATGCATAATTCTGATATACACACACATTTAGAACCTCACTGGTGCTGTGAAGTTCATGCACACGTCTTAAATTCTCTCTTTGTGTGTGATTTGTTGGAAGAGACTGGAACACTCATGGAATTATTCATATGCAATGAAAGTGAAGCTTTACAAACCAAAATTCTGCTTTATAGTGGTTAGAATCCAGGTAACCAGATTGAGAGACTGGTATCCTAGATGCTTAGCCACCCAGTCATTATCTGAGAAAGCAAATATTTTAAAATCTCCAATCCTAAGTAAAGCATAGTGTGCTTTGGTAAGTGCCCTTTTTTGCCAAAATGTTGGTCCATTTTCAATCTCCAACAGAGGTCAAATTTTTTTCTGATAACTTTCTAAGAAGAATATGTGAAGATCTAAATGTTTGTTTACAAGAACTGTGGATGATAAAAATTTTTTGCTATTTAAATGTATGATTTGTTTTACTGTTTTGTTATATTGTTGAGGGATTTTAAATGATACAAATTAAGACAGCTTGGACTCCTAGACCTTCAGGTTGTTGTTAAAATACTATTGTTTTTTTTTTTTTGTTTTTTTTTTCCCTAATAATTCCCCCCCCCCCCCCCCCATATATCATAATCTAGCTTTATATTTTCTGAAGAATAACAGTTTCATCATGTTTAGCTCACTCTTTACCACACCTTAGCATAATGTTTATTGTCTACTTTATGCATGTTGTAATTTTCTGTATCCCCATTGTATTATGGCATCTGGCTTCCCACATGCTTCCACCATTTCCCCAGTGCTTTTCAATGTATTCACAAGCAGGGTAGCAGCAATAGGACAGTGTGTATAGGGAGAATCTTGACTTGTGCTGATGACATCTTAGTCTCCACACAGGGGAGAAATAGAATAGAAATATCTTAAGAACTGCAGTTCGATGTATATAAGGTAGGTGAGTGGTGTAAGGAAACAGGCTCGGTCAACAACCAAGATAAGGCCACGACATTGTGGTGTTCTTTAAATAATAGAATTGTTAGATGTGTTGCTGGATATCACAATAAATGGCAGTAACATAGAGAGGAATAATTCACTAAAATGTCTAGGAATTACTTTTGACAGGAATCTGTCTTTCAAATACCAATTGGAAGAGGTAGTTTAAAAAACGTAAAAGACCCTTTTCCATGCCTTTAGGCGTATAGGGCATTTAGGGCTAGACCTATATTTTTATAGACCAATCGGCACGTGATGGGTGATGTAGGTAGTTTTAAAGATAGGGAAAGGACTCAGGGCTTCGAAGATGATGGCATCAGTGGACGTGGAACAGAAAATTCTCTTTACACTCAACCAGCAATTGATTATTTTGGTGATCGTGTATGGTTTGGGACTGCTAACATTATCTCATACCCAAACAGAGAAGGTGGAATGCATACACAATGAAGCTGTGCGAGTCATTTCTGGGTGTACACAAAACATTACCATCTGCATATGAGAGACAAGGTTTTACAGGTGAAAATGTAACTTAAAGTAGCAATGGACAGGGAACACCTTCTGCATGAGGCCATAGGGGAAAGAAAGGGACAACACTGAAAAGAGGTGGCTCTTTGATGGCACAGGCAGAAGTCACAATCAGAACTGTTTGTGCTACTGACAAGATAGCATGTGTTGAAGAATAGGTTACAGTCTCGCCAAGCAAAACAGACTTGCACAGAGTGATAGTTAGCTTGGACCGGGGGTGCCGGGAATGGATAGCTGGTGAAACAGAGTCAGCGGTGCAAGAGCTAATCCATGAAAGTTCATGCTCAAGTGACATAATAATGTATACAGATGGGTCTATAGCAAGAGGTAGGACGAGCGGTGGGGTTTTATTGCAAAGGTGAATGGACACTGCTTGAAAACAGAAAGTCTTGCATACAGCATCACTACATGCAGAATGTGAATAGAGGTGAAGGCAGTAACATCAGCTTTATGTTGGATTGAGAGCAGCACAGGCTGACAAATTGTGATTTTAACATACTCACAGGACATGCTTTGGTAAATTGAAACTGGTGTCCTGTGCAAAGGCTTGTACCACTTAATAAGACCAAGATCAGGAGCATAATGGCTTGTACCATTAAATAAGGCCCAGATCAAGAGCATATCATTGATTTTTACCTCCAGGATATTAAGGTTTGAATGATAACAAGCAGGCTAATAGATTAGCTGCTGCCACTCCACTTGGGGTGAGCTACTTTATGATAAAGCCGATGTGGTGAAGGCTCTATGGAATCAAATGGAATAGTGCAAAAGTACAGATAGGGAATCCATATACTTAAAGACTAATTAAAGAGGGGGAGTGGGTAAAGGTTCTGGAAGATATTCAACACTAAACGGGAAACAGAGGTGGACTTTCAGTCAGGTTGCATCTGGTAGGATTAGCATGAGAACTCTTCATTGGTTACTGAAGAAGGAGACAGAGCATGTGTGGAAATGTCCTGAGTGCATTGATGTCAATTCTTGATTGATTGATTCATTCATTCATTCTAAATGCTACTTTAACTTCTTGTATCCTATAAAGAGGAGCAGCTGGCTGAGTGGTTAGGAATGCTTGGGTCTCATTTGAGAGACCCAGGTTCTAATATTTGGTTAGGCAGTGGATTTTTGTCTACTGGGGTAAAAATAAAATCCCAACTTGCACAATCTGTGTCATCTGCACTAGTCATGCAGACCTATATCTTATGGCACAAGACACCCACCAGACCCACCATACCCACCATACCCACCATACCCCCTGACCAACTCTGCTCTCAAATGTGGCACACACAGGCAGAAAAGGCAGGCTCTAAAAAAAAAAGATACAATAGTGTTTGGTGCTACAGACACTGTTTGGGATAAGTAAAGGTAAGTAAAGAACCCTGTTCCAGGCCTTCAGGTGTATTAGACATAAAGGGCTAGACCTATATTTTATAGACCAATCAGCACTTGGTGGGTGATATCCTCAGCATCACGCTGGTCAGCTTTACTTCCCAGGACTGCACCTGATACCCACTCAAGTCATTTTACTGTTTGGGAGACACCGAGTTAAAGTAACAAATGCCTGGAAGAGAAAGACACTGAGTTTTGATCATAAAGTTTTGTGTCTTCTTTCAGAAAAGGAGTGTGGCCATTACATCAAAAGCTGTATTCTGCAATTTTCCAGAGAGCACACTGATATTGTGAGATGTATCTTGTGTCATGAATCAAGGGTATATACAGCTGGGTATATAGTTTTCTTAGAATACTCTTTTAACCAGTTAAGACTATACATAAATAAATAAATATCTAGCTTTAAGAAACACCGTCAAGTAGGTTCATGAACATTGTAAGATGCATTTGGGGGGAATGGAAGGGGGGGGGGGGGGGTAGATTATTCAGCAGGGACAGACAATTAGCACAATTTTTCAGACATAGCTAACACTTAATTTCTAAAAGAAAACAATGTGCAACGATGACCTTGTGCTCCTTAAGAATATTTAGGTTATTCAATAAGAGAGTAGTTTAGCTTTAGAGGTCTCTGACTCTTTAGAAAAATAAATATATATATATATATGTATATATACACAGACACACACACATTAACATTTTGTGAATTGTTATTTAGGTACGATCAGCGTCTTGTGATTTATGAATCCTCATCTTACTCCAGAAATCACAGTCTGACTACAGTATTCAAGTAAGTAATTTTGTTTGATGTTTTTGGGAAAGATAATTTCCAAATGTGCAGTACTATTTTTCACATACATTTCTATGGTTGTATAATATTGTTAATAATCAGGGCTTTTTTGTTCCTGGCCAAAAATGTGCTGGTATTTACTTTAAATATTTGAAAATGCATTTATCGACATTTTAAAATTATTTTTTGAAATACAAAGATATATGAAAGGAGTAATCAATAAACAGGAACGAGCTAAAGTATTAAATTGAAAACATTCCCCCAGGCCTAAAAAACACACATGTATCAGGCAGGTGGCTCATGGGATGGTCTTAACCACTGAGGCTTATGTGATAATTCGATGTCATCTTGGCTTTTAAAAAGCTATTTAGCACAAAGGAAAACCCATCTAAATGCTTTTGTTAGTTAATGTATTCATATCCTGACCTCCTAAACGTTTGCACAGGCAAAAGTTTCATTAACTTTACATCCTTTAAACAGGTCATGATAGGTCAACTCAATAAAGTTTTTGACTCCTCAATGTGAAAGGGCGAATTCTTTCACCCTTCGCACTTATTGCAAATTTTTCTAATCATTTCATTCTGTAGTAATTTATCTTGTACCACCACTCTCTTAAAATTCCAGGTATGTCTTCATTGATGGATCTTTGCAGGTCTATTTGGTAATTGCTTTTATGTTTACCCCCTAATACTCTCCTTAGTGACAAGTCTGTAGATTATTTGCTTTTGTGTTACTTCACGCAGTTTTCTTTCTTTTGTTGTAAACAATAAATGAATAAAGAATTCACATCACTGCACCCAGAGAATTCGCACACAGGCTTTGTCCCTTTCCTTTGTTGCAAATGATGAGTTCATATACTAATGGTGCTAGTTGCAGCCTAACTAAAAATCTGTCTGTCCTTTCTCTTGTGCATCAAAAACCATCCAGACTCTGCTCACACTCTACTGAATTAGTCTCTTGAGTATTCTGTTAAAATTTTAAAGAATGTTAACTCTTTCAATCCTAGAATATCATAGCTGATGCCTGACTGAAGCAGTAATGATGACAGCAAAAGCATAGGTATACTGCACCCAAAGGGTCCAGATACACACATATTGAGGGTGACTTGTGTTGTTGGGCTAATTTTGTTTGCCGGACAAATATACGAAACATCTTTATTGGTGCAATATGCAGTACACTTGGTGCATTATTTGGGACTGAAATAGATAAAGGCAAGAGGATTTACTTTATTGCTGTGAAATGTTATCCCACATGATCCACATCTCTTTGCATAGTAGCAGGTCATCTGCAAGAATGTTGGATCTTACACAAACACTGTAGCTCCAGCAGCAACCCCCAGAGATCTCAAAAACAGCTGTACTGATGAAATGAAAAGTTTGAAATCTAACCACTAATCTTATGAGAGCTCTACAAATGGCTAAACCACTTCACCATGGGACTCCTGACTGTAATATTATCCACATCTTGAAACTGTTAGTCATCATCATCATCATCATCATCAAGTGCCTTGCCAACTGGGGTGGATGATCATGCATCTCCACACACTCTTATCTGCAACTGCATATATCAGTTCATGTGTTGACACCACTCCATGCCCAAACAAAAGGATGTTAACAATCATCTCCCATTGTCTTCCTGTCTCTTTTTCTACAGATCTTTCGAATGGTCGCAACAAGTTCCATATTTCTTCTCATAACGATACCAAAAAAATGATGACTGTCTCTTTCTGATGTTTGTGATAAGTTATCTTTGAGTTCTCACCTCTTTCAAAACAATACCGTTAACCGAATAGTACAAATATTTTATAACCTTTATTTACATTTCCTCAAGTCTGTTTTTTTTTTTTAATTACTTTTACTTCTTTTTAATCTGTCCCTTAGTGGTATTTAGATGAGAATGCCACAGGCCTATATGAAGTCTGTGGGGGCGATGCCTGTCTTTCACTGATCCATACAGATTGGTTTCCATTGAAATGCTAACTGGCATGCCAGGTTTTGCGGTTGTTCAACTGAATGAGAGTGCAGACTATCTTGCTGACACTGCAGTTGCTATGAATGGTCCAGTACTGGACAGAAGTGATGTTATCAATGCCATGCGCTGCACTTACCATACCGAGGAGCACGCCAAAGGACATGACTCTGTATCCCTGTCTAGACTGATGGACATGGGGGTGCAGCCTGGAGCTGCAAGAAATGAACATTTCACTAAGGGGACAAGACGTTTAATTAACCAACACAGAACAGGCATCATCAGTCGTTTTACACTTGTGGAGCTTTTAAGGATGAGAACGGAGCACCTATGGATCTGTCCAGAGTGATGAGATGATAATCCTTTCTAATCACTAATCACTGGCAAAACCTAGGATCTCTCTACTGCGTGTACATGTTCAGTATTCTATATTTAAAAAAAATATATATATAATGTTTTTTTATTTTGATCTTTGCCACCACTCTTTCTAGTGCACACTTTTATAATAAGAAAGTGGTGTCATGCAGCGACATTAAAAAAACAAAACTTTGTGATCAAAGAATAATGCAAAGAACAACTGTTTTACCTTAGTAAAGTTGAAGAAGGTTAACTGTATTTGCTTGTTAATTTCAGAAATGTTATTCATGACGCAGGAATTGCATGTATGGTGTTAGCTAAGCACAATGAAAACAACATTTGGTAATATTGCTTTTGTATCTTTTTTTTTCTGAAACTATTATTGTCAGTTTTTAGCTTTCTACTTTTTGTTAAGTGTTTCATTTTTTTTTTCTTCTTAAAGCTGTACATAATTTAATATTATAAATGACAGTTTATGAATACGTTTTATCAGACATTCATCAACAGTCAGCATGTCCTTTACTTATATATCGTCTCCTCCTGGGATGCATTTTTTATTTTTATTTTGAAGCCTCACACCGGATTTTGCCTGGGGCCCTAAATATAGCTGAACAATAAATATGGCCTATCAGACGAACGGAGTTTCCAGGACCTCTCCACGGGTGATCCTCATCTGCATGGTGGCACTTTGTGTCACCGGGTGTTTATCGCTTGTGTGATGTCCTAGTGGGGTACAACTTTACCTACCTACCTATGTCCTTTACAGAATGTCACTGTCTTCACAGCATGCCTAAAAGTCTCTCTTTTTTTAGCCAATTATCAAGCCCTATGTGCTTTCATAGCCAGTGCATCTTCAGTGTCCTGTATCCACATTTACAGAGGTTGGCCTCTTTTCTGGAAACTGCACCCTCCATCAATGTTCTCTCCAGACCACCATGCGCTTGACATGTCCTAAATTTCTCAGATTTCAGAAGAGGATGCTGTTTACGAGCCAGATCTCTTTGATGTTCAGCTCCTGTGTTCTTCTTCAAAGACTAAGTGAGAGTCTCCGACTCACATCCATATATTGTCACAGGAAAGATGCATTATCTCAAAATTTTCACTTTAACTTGCTTGCAGGTGCTATGCCATAGGTTCTTCATGCCAAAAAAAAAAAGTCTTTTTTCTTTCTTTTTTTATCAGAAATGACAGTAATGCATTTATGTGACAAAACAAGCCTCATGTCATTCAGATGACAAAGAAGGCAGCTAGCCATTCAGCTGAGAGAGACTGAGCTTAATGGGATGAGACCTAGTGCAATGAAATTTTTCTTCTTAACTATAACTTCAAGTGAAATTAACACACTTTGAAAAGTTTCAAAACCAGTTATGGCCTGAGCAGTATTTACTCTTCTTACCAAAAATTGTTGTGAGTCGTGGACCATCTCCCAGTCCTTAAGAAACAGAATAGGGGTTTTTGAGCTGAAATGCTATAGAAAGATTCTCAGAATATCTTGGATAAAAAAGAGGAGAAATACTGACATCTTGAAAGATCTGAACATCAAGGAAGATTGGCTGGTAAACAGCATCCTGTCTCGGAAGCTGAAATATTTTGGTCATATTAAGCGCCATGACAGATTGGAAAAAAATAATAGCAGAAGGCATGGTGCCAGGAAGGAGGGGCAGGGGCCGACCAACACGCAGATGGGCAGAGGATATAAGTGACTTCTTGAGTATGAATGTACTTGAGGGGGGAGAGCTTGCGAGAGACTGAGTTTCTTTCAGGCAGTCTGTAATGAGAGTGAGTTCTGCAAAGGACCTGCCACATGATGATGATGACCCAAAATGTATGAATACTTTGACATGTCCTTAGCTCCTAATCATTAGTCATTTATGCTTGTGAAGCTTTTGAAGAGGAGATCGGAGCACCTGTGGATCTTTTCAGAGTGGATTGATGGTAAGTAAAGTAAAAGTAAAGATCCCTTTACACGCCCTTAGGCGCATCGGGCACATGGGAAGAGCTCCCATATTTTCACAGACCAATCGGCACTCGGTGGGTAATGTAGTCAGCATTACGCCGGCCGTCTTTACTTTCCCAGGACAGCCCATCCTGGTACCCATTTGAGGCTGGGTCGACCTACGACGTCCAATACCACGATAAAAATCCACGCAGCCCACGCAGGTTTCGATCGCGGTACGTTGGATTACGAGTCGGACTCGCAACGCCTTAGTCACGGATATTGATGGTAGTCCTCACTAATCACTAATAATCTTTATTTATTAATTGCATCTACCACACTCTTCTGTTATATCTGTCTATTCTATCCCATTCGTTACACCTCCTGCCATATAGCTGTTATTTTAACTGATAAAGACTCAAGGATTGTTACCAAGTACACAGTCTTAGTCTTAGAAGGAGTTTAAGTAACAACTATTTGAAAATAAAAGAGTTAAGGGAAATGTCCCCTATAGAGTGTAACTTTCACTGCCACACATTTCATGTTTAATTATTTCAAAAACAGAAATCTGGATACCACCAGATGTTATTTGCAAGCATTGTTTTGTTTTATTTTCAGGCTTTTAACTGGGTCGTTTGACAAAACTTTGAAGATTTGGTCCCTTGACGGGAAACTGATTCACAAATTGGATGTTTTCCTGGATACTGTCAGTGGAATTAGCTATATTCCCAGAATTCGAACAGTTTGGGCAGCTGCTGGAACATATTATGCTTACATGTTTGATCCAAAGTCAGGTGACAATGTAAGTTTGTGTTTTTGTGTGTTTGTGTGTGGGTTTTTTTAAGGGTTTTTGTGTGTGTGTGTGTGCCATTTTCAGGTTCCAGTAAGCAAAATGTTATTTCCTTTTTCTTTATTTACAATTTCAGAAAGCTTGTTTGTCAGATGTTATCTTGTAAAGTTCAAGAAGATGTAGTGACAGACAAAGAAATAAATATCACAAGGAGGGTGCAACTATTTTACTAGAGGATCACATAAATAATATAGAATAGTCTAAAAGTGTTTAATAGAAAAATGGCACCTGCATAAACGATAAATAGCACTAGACAATTAAATTCATGGGTAGAGACGACTGTCTTGAAAAGTTAGGGTTTCAGTCAGAGATATTTAAATAAAAATATGCACGACAAGAGAAGCGTTCATTCATAGAACTAGGAAATTTTTATAAAACAACCTTGTGCTACGCCTTCATGCATATTAGGCCCTTAGGGCTAGACCTATATTTTATAGACCAGTCAGCACTTGGTGAATGATGTCAACATAACGCCAGCTGCCTTTACTTCCTAGGACTTTGCCTGCTACCTATTTGAGGCTGGGCCGACCTAAGAGCCAAGGTTTTTAATTTTTAATTTTTATTTTAAAGTTTGGATTTTAACTCACGACCTTTGGATCCGCAAGGGAGCTTCTAGCCCTTAAACCACAGTTCTCCCAAATGTGTATAAGTCAAATGAACTTAGAAATAAAAGTGTAACGTCACAACAATAGCTCTTTGCAGACAGGAAACCTGTAGAACAGCCTAACCAATTTACAAATAGACTAGAAACATTTGTTAATTGGTTCCTAAGCAGAACATAAAGACTAAATTGGAGTACAAAATCCCCTACCAAAAAAACAGTAAATTCTAGTAACCGGAGTTGAGGACAATAGGCTACGGCAAGATAAAGCACACATTGAAAATAAAATGTTTACAGTACACCTAAAAAGTACTTTTGGGGAAACCTACAGGGCAAAATACATAAAAGAATACCCTAAAATAGAGACAGAGGTTAATAAAAGGAATTGGAAATTATGCAGAATATTGCCAATGGGAAGCTGGGATTGGTTGAGGATCTCTGCAGAACTAGGGTATAAAAGACAGAGAAGCATTAGGACATTTAGAAAAGGTGTGTCATTAACAGTCTCTGCATTTTCATATACATTTGCTTTTCAAATATGTAAATCTTTTATTTCCATGCATATGGTGCCGGCTGCATATTTTATAAACTAGTTGAGCCTCAGTCTATAATGTGGTCAGTATAAGAATGGTCACCTTTACTTCCCAGGTCATTTGTTGATACCCATTGTAGGCTGAGTTGATCTCAGAAAAGAGGTCAGTTTTTAGAAATTCCTCTTGACTGAGTTTGATTCAGTGACACTGGGCAGCATGTGCAAATGTTGTTTAATGTGTAATTGTTTTTTTTTTTAGGTGTCAGATTTTATTGGAACATTTTCTGAACAAGAAGAAGAAAAGTATCATCTTCAAATCATAAAGTTTTTCCCTGAAATTAACCAAGTTATTGGTAAGTAATCCAACTTCAGTAACAATATTGTATCTTTATCTTAGATAAATCAAATTTAAGGTGTGTTATGTTTAGAATCAAGCATAGCTTTCAGTATCCCTGTTTTCCATAGTGTTTGTTGATACTGAAATCCAGTGGTAGCATAGAGACTAGATACTTGCCTGTCGGCCTGAAGGTCTTGGGTTTGAATCTGCATCGAGGTAGATTTTATTTATTTTTTTTTCAAAATTGACATTGGCTTCCAGGTCGACGCAGCCTAAATGGATACCAGATTATTTCATGGGAAGCAAAGGTGGCTTCATGATACTGACAGTGTCACTCAATGAGGGCTGAATAGTTTATAAAAATTTGAGTCTAGCATCCTTTGCCCTATGTGCTGCTGGTGTAAAAAATGGTCATTTTATCACTTTTATTTCAGATATCTGTATTTGTCACTTAGCTTTTGTGAGTGCCTGTTTGTTTATATGAATTTGTTTCTCATTGTTTGGATCCTATATTTTCTATGTTTCTGTGATTTTAACTTAACAGCATTAGTTCTTATGTAATTTATGTTAGTTTGGTAGAAAACAGGTTAAAAATAAATAAAAAATGATAACACACAATGTATGAAACAATTAGCATTTCAGAATACATGACCAAGCCACACAGATTATCTCTTTTTTTTTGGCTCTATTTCCATAAAGTTTACTATCGGGAAGTTTACCATCATGATCAAATTTGCCATCAAGTTTTCCTTTTTGTTTCTTCTATTAAGATGCCTGGGAATACTTGACCCTTAATGTCTAATTTTTATTACAAGGTTTATTTTTTCAGAATGGTATCTTTCATTTTTATGTCCATTTATGGTATTCTTTGACTTTATGTTAATTTTCTTCTTCTTATTGTCCATGCTGTATGGTGTTGGTAGTCATGTCTGTCCACAGCCTTCTGTATTGGTTTGGTACAGACATTACTTTTCTTTACAAAGTACTCACTGTAGGTTAGAGTTTCTTTCTGGGTGAGCAGTGCCTCTGCTGGCTGGCTTGTCCTAGCCATTGTGCCTAAAGAGGCATCCTCTGCCTAGCACAGTTAAAGTGGTGACCAGTACTGGAAACCTTTCAGCTGCCCACTGCTTTTATCCATCAGCTGCCTGCATGGTTTCTCATAACTCTTACATCTGTGGTTGATAGGGTTTGTCCACCCCACTACCCAGTGATTTCTTCAGAAAATTCTTGTTTACTCATATTAGATGCTTCTAAGCCTGTCTGCTTAAAATTCATGTTTGGCATACATAAAATAGTTTATCAAGGAGGATTGGCTAATAAACAACATCCTGTCTTGGAAGCTGAAATATTTTGGTCATATCAAACACCACAACGAAAAAATTGGAAATTTGGAAAAAATTATAGCAGAAGGCATGGTGCCAGGAAGGAGGGGCAGGGGTCGATCAACACGAAGATGGGCACAGGATATAAGTGACTCCTTGAATTTGAAAGTACATGGGCGGGAGAGCTGGCGAGAGACTGAGTTTCTTTCAGGCAGATTTTGATGAGAGCGACGTTCTGCAAAGGACCTGCTACATGATGATAACGATAATAGTGTATGTTCTGCATCACAGTTGTCGGGGTTTAAAAAGCAGGTGGCGAGGTCAGGGCACCTGTGAATAAAAATCATTTGACTCACCCTGACACAGATACTGCATTCTGCTTGCCCATACTCTCTCCAACTCCCTGAGCTTCGTGTTTACTGACTTTAATTAGTTGAAACACTAAAAGCACATCAGCACTTCAGTTCAACACCAGATGAAACGGATAACATGTCTCCCTCATGTTCTCACAGTTCACACAACAAAGTCCCCAGTACATACAAAAGAATACCCTGTCACTCTTTGTTTCATTATCCTACCATTAAAACATCAATAAAAATAAAACAAATAGTTTTCTGGCTCTAAGTCCTAATGCTTACATCTGGATTAAATCCACTATACTATTCCTATCAAGGCCAAAACAAATCATGTCTATCTTCCTCTGGGTTTCTTCCCCGAATGACCATAAGTGAATCATTTGTATGGGCTAATTTGCATATTGTTTATCACATGCTGTTTATGGTTTATGTGCCAGCTTCATTGTCACTTCTGTGTCTTGAACCTCAACCCTAAAATGAGCCATGACACTAAAATTATTCTTTAGATTGCAATTAACAGCTATTTTTCACCTTGTAAAGGACAATCGTGGAGGATCAAATGGGGATAAAATGGGTATCAGCAATAACAGTCTTTGAATGAACGAGTAAAGAGAAAACTAAATTTGTTTTCTTTTCCATGTAGGAGGAAAATAAAAATGAATAATGACTGATTTGGTACAGTATGAGCCAATGAAATATTGTTATTCAGTTATCTTTGTTACTTACAACAGCCTCCAGCAACCGCAGCCATCTGTTAGTGTGGAAATACAACCCATCTGGCTGTGTGACAACACTTCACTGCAAATCACAAGTGGAGAGCTTATGCTACAGTAAGATAGTTCTTTTAGATCACCATTAATTGTAGAGAAATGCCTCGAGGTAATCATTCTGTTTATATCCTCTTCTTGTCATTGATTATCTGTATTGATCTCTGCCAGTCTGCTGCTGTTCTTCCCATGGTATCTCATTCTAGTTTACATTCCAGTATTTTCCTTTCTACTGTTCTTATCCAGGTTTCCTTATGTTCTCCGTGTCTTTTTTTTCCCCATCTACTGTTCACTGACATAGGTGTGCACAGAATAGTCGAAAACAGTTATAAGACTGTTTCTATTCCATGTGGCATATTAGATCTATTGGCTTTCACCATCCATATTTTTATTAATCAGCAATTACTTGTAATGTGTTCATTATTACATCAGCTATCTTTAACATTTAAAAAATATTATCTGGTTCTCATCTAATGTGTTCCATTCTAACCCAAGGGCCACGTGGTCTGTAAATACAATCAACCTGTAGGGAGATTTTACCTCAAAACCACCAGGCCAAGTGCAAGTGCACTAGCCACTGCTCTGTTATGACTCCTTAAACAAAATATAGGAATATGTAATGTTATTAACAAGGTTTGCAATTTTATTTTTTTTATTTTGTAAAATTATTTTAAAATAAATAAAAAAACTCAGCACACACATTCATTAGATTAAAAAATATAAAATAAGTAAGATTTTGTTTGTAACACATTAACAAGTATATATATATATATATATATATATATATATATATATATATATATATATATATATATATATCTATATATACATACATACATACATACATACATACATACATACATATATATATATATAATATATATATATATATATATATATATATATATATATATATATATATATATACTTTCTCCCATCATAATAAATCCATGAAATGTGTTGATTCTGTTGAATATAACCCATTTTTTTCTTTCTTTTTTTTTTGCGTATATAATACACATTTGTAAGATGGCCTCCATTTATGTTAGCTCAAAATTAAGAAATAAATATTTTAAACACATTCTGTGCATGACTCCCAATTTTAAACTTCAAAAAATTAGGAAAACATGTAATCTTTTACAAAGAAAAATTAGATACTTGGTTTTTCCAGTTTTTTTTTAAAGTTTTCTTTTTTTTTATAGTTTTATTTTAAATATCAGTATAACATCAGTCATTTCTTATTTCCTACTTCAGCATCAAAAATACCAGTTCTCATCTTCAGTGGGGACCAAGATGGGGCCATTGTAAAGTGGGAAAGAATGCAGTCCAATCATTTCATGTACAGGTATGCCAACTCTGTCCATTATGATTCATTTGTGCACTATAGAAATTTGTTTTGGAAATTTGCCACGATCAGAATTAAGTGTCGATAGATCTTACCTTATCAGGTCAGGCAGTATATATAAATTGTGTTTGCATATAGGATATATGATGCCAGACTCATGTTTTTATGCGCCAGTTGGCACTTATGTGTGATGCAGTAAATATTCCAGGTCACTTTTACATCTCAAAAGGATTCCAAGAAGCCATTTTTACCCTAGATTGACCCCAGAGTACAAATTAATCTAAAAAATCTTTCCCCATGAGAAATTCAATATATATATATACTCCCTGACCATTATGTAAACATTTCCAGTCACAAATACCAACCTTTCTCGGTTAATTAACGCTTTAGCATATCAGCATAAAGTGCCGTCCTTCTGTCCTCTTATTCATTTCAAGCCAAAGAAACTTATAATAATTATCTGTCTCTCTCTCTCTCAGTATAATTCAACGTTGTTCTGTACATTTTTGCTTGTTGTGTGTCCTTTTTTAATGGATCCTATCTTGACATGACACATTATAATTTTTCAATAAATATTTGTCTTTCAGTATTACTTTCTTGAATGATGTATCATTTAAAATCTATCTAGCAAGGAAACATTCACACCTACGGACTTGAAAATGAAAAAGAAAATACATGTAGGAAGTAAAGCTCGCCAACTGTTGTTGGAACAACAGCAAATCCTCCAAGAATTGAAACATCAAAAGGCACAGCCTGGAGGAAATGCCAAGACAGCAAAAAGCCATTATTCCTTCAGCAAATCTGCAACGGTTCCGGTGAGTGGCATGAATCTGGTGACTTTTTTTTTTAGTTGGTTAACATACATGATGAATTACAGACTGGTAGAAGATGTCAAGGTCAGCCTCTATGACGATATAAAGATATGTAAGCTGGACATGAATGATACAGGTATTAAGCTAGATTCATGGGAACAGCATGGCATGGGCCCTGCTGCATGGAAGGGGGGGGGGGGGAATCAGAGAGGGAATAAGGATAAAGGAGAAGTTGACTGCAGGTAGGTTCAGTGCTGAGCTACTGAGAAAAAGCACACTAAATACATGCAGTGGCAATAATGGTTCTGAAATCCCATGCTCTGACTGTGGAAGACTTGTCTTAGCATAATCAGGTTTTACTAGTCACATTTGCCATCACCATGGGCTGTGATTCCCATGCTTCTCTATACCAAGCATTTAATTGTATGAACTGTTGTTAGTATTGTCTTTTATTTTTTTTATTTTTTTGGGGGGTAATGTAGAAGATGGAAAAATCTAATAATAAGTAAAGCAAAAGATCCTTTTCATTCCAGTGTTGGATCATACATTTGATATTAAATCCGTATTTTTTTAATAGACCAGTCACACTCAGTGGGTCAACATCATGTAGTCTACATCATGTCAGCCACCTTTTTCTTTGGAGGACATTTCTTGGAACTTATCTTAAGATAGGTCGACCTGGGAGCCAATGTCAATTTGAAAAAAAAAATGTGACTTGATGAAGATTACTTTGATTTGTATCTACTGAAAATATTTCAAATGTAATTACAGTTGTAATGAATCATGCAAATATAAAAATTTCAAATAGTATTTGTTTTTCCACTTTTGTTTGAATATTGTTACTTGCTTACAATGGTATAATTTAAAATTTTGACAATTGAACATAGTACACAGATTATAATCACCTCGACATTAAAAAAATTTAATTTTCAATAATGTGGACACAGTCAATAATTGCACGTGTATTACCTGGTATATTTTGCAGACGCTTTTCAGGTACCTTACTGCAAATTCATATCAACATTTGAGGGGAAGTCAATAAGTAAGTTACACATGGTTATGGGATGGCAGGATAATGTAGTTGGTGGCTTCTAAAGGTGTCATTAGGTGACAGCAACATCGAACTTTATGTCTCTGTTCGTTAGGTGGCGCTAGGTGTTGCATGCACATTCGCAACACAGAAACAAAATGGCGACTGTACTTACAGAGTGTACCCTCAACAACAGCGTGCTGTTGTGCATGTTTTGGGGGGGAGCAAAAAGGCTGTCTGAAAAGCACATTCATGAGGAAATACTTCCTGTTTATGCTGACAAATGTTTATCCCGTAAAATGGTGCATAGCTGGGTAAAAAGTTTCTTGAGGGCATGCTACAATTGTTGATGAAGTCTGATCTGGTCATCTGCTGAGATTGCAACAGACACATCCGTGCAGCTGGTTGAAGAGATGATTAGAGGTGACTCTATAGCATCTGCAATAGGGTGCTCATATGGCTCAGCATAGAACATAATCCAACATCGATTGAAATTTAAGAAAGTGTGCTCAAGGTGAGTACCCAGACAATTGATGGATGAACACAAAATGAACAGATTAGTCCTGTCCTTGCAGCATCTTTATCGATGTGCAGATGAAGGAGAAGACATGCTGAACAGGATTATTACTGGGGATGAATCATGGATGCATCACTACCAGTCCGAATCAAAGTTTGCTTCAATGCAGTGGAAACATCCTTCTTCCCCTTTACAAGGTGACACCATCAGCAATGGTTTTCTTTTTAAACAACCATTTGTGACCTACTTATTGACTTCCCCTCTTATAATGAAGGACAAAAATGGCTGTTCATTTTATTCCTCTTTTGTACTTCATTAAATGATGATGTAACTCTGTAGACATGCACCAAATGAGTTACAGCATATTATGCCAAGCAATAAATTGTGCCATGTGTTGTTTATCTCCTCATTATTTTTAATTCATTCATTCATTCAGTAGCATGTCCCTCGCGGAACCTCGCTGCCATAACAACCCTCCGGAAAACCTTCCTATCCTGAGCAAGATGTCCTGCGTCTGATACACCCATCTGGAGATCATCTGCCACATCCTGCACCCATCTTCTCCTTGGCCTTCCTCTTCCTCTCTTCCCAGGCATATACCCCTCCATTATTGTTCTCTCTAGACTTCCATGACGTTTCAAGTGACCAAAATATTTCAATTTTCTTTGTTTTATTGTCTTTACTAGCCAACCCTCTTCAATATTCAGCTCTTGAAGTATGGATGCATTTGTTCTTTTCTTTACCCAAGATATTCTTAGAACCTGTCTGTAACATTTATATTCAAATGCATTTATGCGCTGTTCCGCTTGTTTAGTAAGTGTCCAGGTCTCACAGGCGTATGTTGCAATGGGAAAGATGCATGCTCTTAAAAATCTGACCTTTGTAATTTTATTTTTAATTACAGTTATTTAAAAAAATATAGTGTTTTAAATTTTCATTTTATTCATTAACGTTTCTTCCTAGAACTCCTCTCATCTGCACCCCAACACAGCCATTTTGAAGATGATATTCGTTGAGAGCATGGATCTTTTGCTGGCAGCATCAGAAGATAACAATATTTGTAAGTTGCCTTGCTGCGTCATCTTTTTTATTTGTAAAAAAGAAAATTAATTAAATTTCCAATACAACAACTCGGGAATTGGATAATTAGCCCTTTGTGTTTTGGGAATTGGGCCTTGTTGTCATGAAAGTCAGTATTTATAAAAGTTAGGACCTCAGAATTTGCCGTTAGTTAAAGTGGTATCTGGCAGCCGGGTCAAGAATAGGTCATGCTGAGTTTTTTTTTTTTTTACAGCCCAGAGAGATGTTGCCCAGTCAGTACTCTGCCCCATTCATGTGTACTGATTACTTCCCTTTATTTTGTATGCAATTATATATTGTTTTGGTCCATAAATGGAATTATTATGATGTTTATGTGTGACCTGTGTAAAATGTTTTTATTTTGTTAAAGGAATTTTCTTCAGAAAACCTTACATTCCCAAAAAATATGGATCTTTAGTGTTGTTTTTTTTTTTAGGTTGCTGGGACAAAAGAATTAAGCCATGGTCTAGGGTTTTTGAACTCTTCACTAGGAAGCCACAGTAGCCTAGTGGCTTTATGCTGGTCTGCCAGCATGAAGGTCTTGGGTTCAAATCTGGCTCGAAGCTGATTTTTGTTTTTTCAAATTGATCATTTATCCCAGGTAGGCCCAGCCTAAAATCAATGCCCGGTAATGCCATGGAAAGTACAGATGGTCAGTGTGATGTGACCATATCATCCACCAAGTGCTGTTGATCTAACCAAAAAAAATTATGTCTAGCATAGTGGTTCTCAACCTTCCTAATGCTGCAATCCTGTAATACAGTTTCTTATACTGTGGTGACACCCAACCATAAAATTATTTTCATTGCTACTTCATAACTTCAGTGAAAATGTGTTTTCTGATGGTCTTAGGTGACCCCTGTGAAAGGGTCATTCGACCGCCAAAAAAAAAGGTTGAGAACCACTGGTCTAGCATCTTATGCCTGATTAAAAAAGGGTATTCTAACTCTTCACTCTCAGACAGCACTATCTACTATGGGCTAATTTTTAACCTTTTTTCAAAATGTAAGTAGTATTTTTTCTGTTGTTGGCACAGACGTCTGGGGATTTGATGATACTGCAGTTGAGGTCCTGCAGAATATGAACCCTCAAGAGGATGATCTCCTGACTGAGAAATATGCTGTGCTGTTAGATCCAGATTCAGGATTACTGCATAAGCAAAAAAAACTGACAGTGGTAAGTCTCTCTCTCTCTCTTTCTCTCTCTCTCTCTTTCTCTCTCTCTCTCTCTCTCTCTCTCTCTCTCTCTCTCTCTCTCTCTCTCTCTCTCTCTCTCTCTCTCTCTCTCTCTCTCTCTCTCTCTCTCTCTCTCTCTCTCTCTCTCTCTCTCTCTCTCTCTCTCTCTCTCTCTTCCTGAAGTGATGTTTGCCTTCCCCCTCCCCTCCAAGATCAGATTTCCCTCTCAGGAAGTAACTTTGATTTACCTTGCAACTGATTTCAAATGTGGAATGACAGCAGAGCAGTGTCATCAATAAATTTCAGATCATTTTAACGTATTGGTGCATGCAGATTAATATAACAATGAAAATAATAAAATAACACATGCTCGGAAAATAAAAGAACTAGACATCCAACTTTTAATTATGTTATTTTTTTTTTTTTTATAAAAATGGATTACAAAAAAAATCAGAAGCTGTATAAATTACTCGGTATCTTCAGTTTTGTTGCTAAGCTGATTTTTTTTCTATGATTTTTCATGTAAACCGTCTTGTACATGTTTTTTCAGTATCTGAACTTTAAGCAGACTGGCTCGTATACTGTTTTGTTTAACCAAAACTGAAATGTATTAGATCTAATGAATGTTATAATGACTTGGAGGGAATAGTAATGGAGGGTTAAGCTAGTTAATGTCCTTTACAGGACTTTGCAGAACCAGCCTACCATACTGTAATAGACACTTTATGAGACCGTCACCTTTTTAGACCCACTTTGGTGAGTACCGTGTTCTTTTTATTTTTCTAGAAAAAAAAAGCCTGATGATGATGATGATAAATACCTTGTAGTGAATATGTTTTTATCTACTTCTTATGTGTGTTTAGAGGCCCCAGTTTTGAGGGGCAAAGAATAGACTCACTGGTGCTTAAAAAATATGAGTTATGAGTATCTTCACAGCACTCCAGACACATCAATAGGCACTCAGATTCTCCTCTCAACATATTTATCAGCGTCAGGTGGTTAATAGTACAAGTCCTATGCTGATTAACAAGACTTTGTGTGTGTCCGGTGTGCTTCTCATGCTTGGCTGTGCCAATCTTTACTCCCAATTCTCAAACTCTTAGCCTTTAAAAAAATTAAATTTAACCCCCCAAAAATTTGTTATAAAAGGTGACAAACTAAGGGTTTGCTGAAGTCAGATGTGTTGTGTTGAAAGGTGCAGTTATCTCACCTAACTGTAAGCCACAACACAATGTGCCAGCTGACTTTTTAAGAATTAAAAGGTTAAAGTCAAAAAAGTTTTATCGCAGGTGACGTGGTCTCTCTCTGCAGAATAGCTAGATGCATGCCGCCGAGAGCAAAGCACAGGGCCTGAACTCCGGCTCTGACAATGATCCCAAGGGTAAAGATTTCACTCTTGAACTGAAAGACGCAGCTGTGAAATAAAGCCACTACAGTTTTCAGAGTAAAAGACAAATGACTTGACCATATCACTGCAGTGGCACCCCTTTTAAGGGTGTGCAGAAGAAGACAAAATGTGTCTGTATATTTATCATTATTTTATACTTCAGTCCTTCATTAATGGTCTAGCCCTACATGCCCAGTACTCCTAAAGGTGTGGAAAATGTTTCTTTACTTTACTTTAATTTACCTTACATTAACCTGGTGTCAGATTTATATAATTACAATCCTTTCCTTCACTCAGGATACAGATTCTGTAACCAACAGAGTTGCAGGCTTCATTCTAAAGTACGTACTCTCCGAGCATCTCAGCTGTGTAACAAGCCTAGTTTTAGTAAGCCGTGACCATGGTGTGGATGGAACTTTTGTTGTAAGAACTTGATTATTTTATTTGTTTTCTTGATTATGTAATATTTACATCATATTCTATTGTACTTATGTTGAAACTTTAGCTATTGTTTGACTCTTTATATCCTAAGCAACACATAGCCTATCTTCTGTCTGATATTGTAGCAAAGTCCCTTTAGATGCATGGTGTTTTATTGTATGGTTTACATTTGGAATAAACATCCTAGAGAAGCCTGACCAGATATTGTAATATGTTGCATCTTTAATGCTGCCACATTGGGAGTTTATTAATCCATTCTTTTTTCATTGTGATTACAAATCACATAGGCATTTATAACAAAATCTTCTGGTAGTAATTACTTACTTAAAAACCCTCTCATATATCTATAAATTGCTCACACTTAAAAAGTTCATTTGAGTTACATGTTATTTGTAATTCCTTTCACATTTCAGTTAAGTGCTGGCTGGGATAGGAGAGTATGTCTCTGGGATCTGGAGGCTGGACAGTGAGTAAAATAAAAAGCGTGCTGTACATATTTTGTACTGTTAGACTGTACAGTTTCCAAAAACGAGGGAATGAATATATAGAAATATTATAATAAGAATACAAATGCACTTACAGTTTTCAAAGTGCTAAAAAAATTTTGCAAATCAAAAGAAAATTAAATCTAGCTCCAAGTTTACAGCACTGCTGTATGGACTGGAGAACAATTAGCATAACAACAAGAAGCCAAAAATTCATTAACTGGTATATACAAAATAAATGGACAAATGATATGACAGAATTACCCATCTGGAGCTTATTGGGAAAACTAAAAAAATTCCAGCTATTCAAAATATGAGGTAAAGATACTGGTACTGGTTTAGACACACTAGGAGCAAACCGGTTGTTAGTAAAACTAGAAGCCTTTTTTTTTTCAATTTACATTGCAAAAGCCATTGAGAGAGACATAAAAACATAAGGAAAAGAAAATAAGAAATAAAAAGTGAATAATATGAGGAGTTTATGGGAGGAGCTGCAGAAAATGGGAAATTATAGAAGTGGTCAGCATAAGTTTACTGAGGGCTTATCCTCTATTGCGAAATAAAAAGCAGAAAAAGGAAGACTTTGAGAAGAAAAATATTATGTTATTTTGTGTTTATTAGCATAGCAAGCCACAACAATGACAAAAATGGTAAACTATAAGAGAAAAATATAATTCAATAATCAGTAATGTACCAGCAAGTCTTAAAATTTATCTTTTAATTATAATTTTGTTTTATAATCATCTAAAGACATGATTCAGAGCCTACTTCTGTTCAACAGACTGAAAGATACTTGCAAGATTGATCCTAATTCAAGCACTTTTGTAAATGAACTCGCCTCAGATGAAATTATAACAGATATGGACTTTAGTCCTGAAAAGTAAGTGAAACTATATCTTATAAACTTTGTTGAATATCTGATTATATATTTTGATAGGTGTGTGGGTGTATGTGGGTTTGGATAGTAAGTAGTGATCAACATAATTTATAATGAACTCCCTCAGTCCTAGGCAGTTATTTCTTAAACTCGTACTATTTTAAAAAGTGGTACTTGAAAGTAAGTTAAAAAAAGTAAAGGTCCCTTTTCCACACCTTTAGGCATATAGGGCTAGACCTATATTTTTTAAAGACAAATCGGCACAAGATGGGTGATGTGGTCAGTATTCATTGTTAGAATCTAAATGATTTACACAAGTAACATGAGGAACAACAAAAAAGTTAAACTGATGATTCGGATACAGTGAGTTAAAGTAGTCATTTATAGAAGATAGCAAGAACAGCTATTTTCTTTGGAATGACCAAGAAATGTGTGTTGAATTCATACCCATAAAGTTAAATATTATTTGATTCCACCCTTTGATTTTGAATGTTTGGCGGATAGATGTACAGCAGACCGTGATGAGAGCGACGTTCTGCAAAGGACCTGCTACATAATGATGATGATGATTAGATGTAAAGCAACTCGACAATGTGGTTTATGCATTTCAGCAAGATAAGGATTTATTTTGTGCTTCATTATATGCTGATTTAACTCTGTAGTAATTCACCTGATGAAATACAGTGAAATATGCCAGGCAATAAATTGTACAATGTAATGTTTTTGTCCACATTGTTTACTATTTAATTCACAAAAAGTATAGGTTACGTTTTATTATAAAATGCTGAAACTTATATTTTCTTGTGATTTGTGTGTATTGAATCTTGAAAAAACATTGCTACTATCATTTGATACTGCACAGTATGGAATTTGCCTACTCCTGCGCTGACAAGATGGTATATATCCGCAAGTTTTCAACCACTGGCTCCAAAATGACACTGGCCAATACACTGCAAGGTCATGAGGCTGAAGTCACTTGTGTACGATGGAACCACATCTGTCATAAGTGGGTAACTGGGTCAGATGATGGTACTATCAGAATTTGGGTAATTTTGTTTATAATTGTAAACATCAACATTATATAAAGGGAGTGTCTATTAAAAACAGTATAAAATGTAAACATTTAACATTTATGATAAGTAAATATTTTGGTAAACTCTTCCAAATATTTATTTAATAATGTTTAAATTATAAGACCTGAATATGTAGAAACATATTGAAAAATGTAATCTAGTGATACATATTCATGCCCCTATGTTTTAATTTATTAGTGAATCACTGGCAAACCAAACTTATTGATATCCCTGTTTGCCAGTTTGTAATTTTGCAATATTTGCCAGTTTGTAATTTTGCAATTTGGTTTGGCTCTTTGGCTTGCATACAGTAGCTGGATGATGGTCTGGCTGCACCTGTAGTAGATGCAGGTCCCTACCAGACAAGGCAGTTCTTGAACTTCTCTTAACATCGTTTATGTTGAAAAATTTGTGTATAGCATGACTTTTCTTTTGCAAAATACTGTAGGGTGCAATTTTCTTTCTGTGAGAGCAGTGCCTATACTAGGCTGGTTGTCCTAGCCATCGTGTCTATAGAGACATTGTCTGCCTAGCACAGTTATAGTGGTGATGAGTGCTAAAAACTTTTTAGCTGCTCACTACATTTATCCGTCACCTGCTTGCCATGACTTCAGGTCACCCTGATCGGGTGGCTAAGCAGCTACACTACCCCTGACGATGAGTTATCCTGGAGGCTGTGGGGGCGGGGTGGGGGAGGGTGCCTAAATCTCCTATTGGTAGGGTTTACCCTACCCTGCTACCTGGATATGGACAGTTGGTAGATTAGTGAAAAATGTATTACAGAAAACAAATCTTCAGCTTACTGAAGATTCAAACCTGGATCTCTCAAATGAGTGCCCAGCATTCTTAACCACTCGGCCAGACACTCCTTGATAGATATATGTGGGGAGGGGATAACTGACTGTGCCCCCCCCCCCCTTTTTTTTTTCTGCAGGATACATTATTTGTAGTTACTATACTTGGAAATGGGATAGTGCAGTGTCTAGCACACTAACCTGATACTATTGTTATTTCAGCTGTAACATATGCCAGTGAAGCATAACCACTAAAAGATATGGAATGAAAGTAAATGCATTCAAAAACAAATGCCTGAGAAAAATTATGAACATAAAATGGGATGAATTGAAGACGGGTTAAGAAATAAAAGAAATGACTGGGCAATCAGTAGTGTAAACAGGGATAAGACAAAGAAAATAGTGCTATATTGGATACATTCCAAGAAAAGATGAACAGAGAATCACCACACAGGCACTGAAATGGGAACTAGAGGGATTGAAGAAATAAGAACATACAAAAGAAACCTCAAAGTTAATGCTGATGAAAGAAGCCAAAGGTGCTGACTGGATTCCATCCCTGATATTGAAGTAATTGCTGAGGATAGAACAGAATGGAGAAGTAGACTGTCAGGCCTATGTGGTATATAATGGCACAATAGGACGGTGAATGAATTATTTAACTTATGTGCGCCCATGGCAGTTCAGCCTAAAATGGATACCAAGAAATTTTCTGAGATGTAAAGGCAGCTATCATGATACTGACATTTCACATCAATACAAATATTGGGTTAGCACCAGGTCTTTTTTTTCCTAGAAAATTAAAATGGTTCCACAAAGTTTCTGTAACATGGTGCTGAAAAAAAATGATGCCTAAAAAGGTGCCGGTACTGTGTACCATTACGTACCACCAGAAGAAAAAACCTGGTTAGCTTCGTGCGCCCAGTAGACTTTAAGGGTAGATGTGGAGTTTTTACTATTTACACAGAATAACAGTTGCGCCATTAAATTATACATTAACAGCGGGGTTCCCCTTTCATGCTTGCCTGCTGGATCAAAGATCTTGGTTCTATATGAGTCTAACATCATATGCCCACTGTGCCCCTTGTTTCAAAGAAAGGTCCTTTACATACCTCCCTGTTCTGGTTTCAGTCCAGTCATGGAATGAATGAATGTGAACAGATCCTCTCAACTCAAGGTGGAGTGACCTGTCTCTGTATTGATAAAAATCATGGGAGCATTGTTGCAGGTGTTCAACATCAAATCAAGTAAGACTATATTTCCGGCAGTTGAGTTTCAACATTTTATTGAAATTGTTCACCCCATAATTACTTTATTTCTGTGCCAGTGAAAATCACACAGAATGCCCCTTTCTGTCCATGAATTGGTCGTCCCCATGTAGGATGCAATTTTTCGTTATTTGAAACCCCACTCTGGCTTCTGCCGGGGACCCTGAATATAGGCAGGGCATAGATATAGCCTAGCTATAGATATGGCCTAACTACCAAAAAGGGTTTCTGGGACCTCTCCACAGGTGATCCTCATCCACATGGTGGCACTTTGTGTCATTGGATGTTTATCGCTTGTGTGATGTCCTGGTGGGGTACAACTGCCTACCTATCTTTCTGTCCCATTTAAAAAGTGTTGAAAAAGAATTCTAGCAATATCCAGAAACATGCACATGCAGTAAGTCATAAGGCTGCTGCTAGAGGTTACAGAATCAAAAGTTTCCACCAGAATTGCAGTTTGTCTCAATGGAAGTAGTCATATTTTATTCTTTTAGTCCAGATGTTGTGAGGGCCCTTTGGGAGCTAGCGAATAGTGCAGAGGCACAGACAGATTATTACAGTCTGAGGAGAATGGTGCTGCAAGAAGTTGCCAGGGAATCTGACCTACGCTCAACACTGAAGGGAAAGGCAAGATGGATATACTATCAGACAGTACCACTAGGATTAGAACTCTTCACTTGCTGCTGAAGTTGGGGATGGGGTGCTTATGGGAGTGTTCCGATTGCTGAGATTTTGATTCTTAATTCAAAATTTAACATTCTTTCAGTCCTAAGTCAAACTTTACAAAACATGAAGCTTGCTACAAATAAATGTTGAGTTTTGTTTTGGGAAACATAGTAGTGCAGTAGCTAAAGAGGCTTGCCTCTTCGTTCATTAGTCATGAAACCTACAAGGCATAGATTTTTTTTAACTGAATAGGGCTTCGAGTTTGGCCCAGTCTAAAATGGGAAAATAGACATATTTGCGAAGTAACGGTTAATGTGCAGTTTGTGATAGCCGTATTTTATACAGCGTAAGAAGAATTTTTTTTTTGTTCAAATGTTCTCTTATTTTAGAATTGCAACTCAGTCAGCATTTCTAAGTTATCTGTTTCTGTAATATAAATGTTCATGATTTCTCATTCTTGCTGAAAGCGACTGACTCAAGCTACCACAGGATCATCCCACCTGCCGTCAATTCCATGTGAATCTCACTTTCTCGCCAAAACCTGGGGTTCAGAGCCCACCCATGAATGTCCAGAAACCCATGTGTGACAACTTTAATTGTCTCAAGTGTTTACACTTAGAACTCATCAACACGACATGAATGCCAGTGTCTGTCCTTGCTTCACAACCCCTGGCTTCATTCACTCCTCACATCACAAAAAGACTTCAGTACATAACAATTACCATTGCAAGAAAATTAGGAAACAGTAACATGCATTGCTTTTAGGATTTCCTGTTACTTTAAGAAGTACTGAAACTGTCAATCTTATTACATTTAGAAGTACTGGAACTGTAAATCTTATTACATTTAGAAGTACTGGAACTGTAAATCTTATTACATTTAGAAGTACTGAAACTGTAAATCTTATTACATTTAGAAGTACTGAAACTGTAAATCTTATTACATTTAGAAGTACTGGAACTGTAAATTTTATTACAGTTAGAAGTACTGGAACTGTAAATTTTATTACATTTAGAAGTACTGGAACTGTAAATCTTATTACTTTAGACACAGCAATTATTACTTACATCTGTAACAGGATATTTGATGCTGAGCACTATAGATTGGTACAGAGTAATGTTGGCCACCAAGATTCAGTTAGAAGCATTATTCACATTCCGGAAAGAAATCAGGTAAGTGGGTACATTGGTTGAGGAATAGAAAAAAAACTAGTCTAGGGCCTTTTTTCTCTGGCGGTATGCAATGTTGCGCAGCACCAGCACCTTTTCCTAGGCATATGCTTTTTTCATTGCCGTTAATTCTTAATTCATATATTCATTCATTCATTTATTAATACCTCACACTATGAAAGTTAGGGGTTTGGTTTAAAGTTGTCACTGAGGCTTTCAAGTTCATTCTGGTCTGTAGAAAGAGATAAGCCATTCGGTATAAAACCCAGTGCAAGACATTCGTTTTCTTACCTTTAAATGCCTTTATCTCGCTAAGTATGTAGACCTTTGATACAAGGCTTTTTTTTTTAAAGACTAGAAACTGCTGCCTGAATAAATAGTTTAGTTGTGAATCTACATCATCTTCACTCCCAGGTCAATCCTGTCTTAAATAGATACCAGGAAAAGTCCTAGGACGTGAAGGCATGAGCCTAGCCTGGTATTCTCTATGTGCCACTGGCATAAAAAGTTACCTTTACTTTACTTACTACATCATATACCTGTTTGTAAGCCTCATAATTATTAAAACAAGGTAAGAGTTATGCTGTTGTGAAAATTGATGGTTTAAAAAGTCAAGAATTATTGTGGCCTTTTTTTTCTAATAAACTTTATTTAACTTTCCTCAGTATGTTTCTTGTTCATGGGATGCAAGAAATATTGTGGCCTTATTTCAAAAAAAAAACGTTATTTAACTTTCCTCAGTCTGTATCTTGTTCATGTATGTTTTTTGTTCATAGGATGCAAGAATTATTGTGACTTTATTTCTAATAAACTTTATTTAACTTTCCTCAGTATGTTTTTTGTTCATGGGATGCAAGAATTATTGTGGCCTTGTTTCTAATAAACGTTATTTAACTTTCCTCAGTCTGTTTGTGTTCATGCGATGCTGGAATTATTGTGACTTTATTTCTAACTAACTTTATTTAACTTTCCTAAGTATGTTCATGGGATGCAAGAATTATTGTGACTTTATTTCTAATAAACTTTATTTAACTTTCTTATGTATGTTTCTTGTTCGCTCGTGGGATGCAAGAATTATTGTGACTTTATTTCTAATCAGTTTTATTAAACTTTTCTCAGTATATTTCTTGTTTATGTGATGCACAAATTATTGTGACTTTATTTCTAATAGATTTTATTTAACTTTCCTCTGTATGTTTCTTGTTCATGTGATGCAATAATTGTTTTGACTCTATTTCTAATAAACTACATTTAACTTTCCTCAGTATGTTTCTTGTTCATGGGATGCAACAGTCAGAATCTGGAATGCTTGGAAGTTGCCACGGCAAAAGAAACAAACATCTCATCATGTTACAGAAAAGAGAATATGATCTTATTTATATAACATAAACACATATTTCACTAAGAGACAGAAAGAATTGAACGTATCTCACAAGCAAGGAAGAGAAAATATGACAATAAAACAACACATGAATTGAGTTTTTTCTTATTAACAGAGGGAGTCACCGTGTTTTTGGTGGCTATAGATGCTCGGCTGTGGATCGGATGGTCGTTGGTTCGCGTCCCGATGAAGCCGGACTTTTTTTCAAAAATGACCTTGACTCCCAAGTTGACCCAGCCTTGAGTGGGTACCAGGTGCAGTCCTGGGAGGTAAAGGTGGCTGGCATGAGGCTGACCACATCACCCACCAAGTGACGATTCATCTATAAATATATAGGTCTAGCCCCGTTTTCCCAGTACGCCTAAAGGCATGAAAAAGCGACCTTTTTTTTTTGTTTTGTACAACTTTTTTAACAGAGCATACATATTAATGAATGTATGGCATGCCAGCCAAAGAAAACAATGTGTGCTGATCTGTTAACTGCAGATCTTGTATTTCTTTCACACTTCTGAAGTTCTCAGTCATTATTTAAATATTCTTCTAAAGACTTTTGGCTAACTGAAACACTGGTGCGAGCAAAACTTTATGGGCCGCTGAGTGAATTACAAAAGACTGAAGTTTATACTAGAGACAACACTGCAGATATAGATTGTCTGTTTCAAGCGTGCGCGCGCGCGCGCACAATCACACACGCATGCACGCACGCACGCATGCGTGCACACACACACACACACACACACACACACGAAGAAGAAGAAGAAGAAGAAGAAGAAGAAGAAGAAGAAGAAGAAGAAAAAGAAGAAGCTTCTAAAGATCTCGAATGTGGAGGCAGAGCCTCTACTGTTTAAGTGTTGATGGATATTTTGTGACAGGGCTCAACTTTAAGCTAAGTGATTTTATTTATTTTTGATAGTAATTGAATCATTCTCCATTTATGGTACCTGCTGATGAAGGCTTCCTAGCTGAAATATTCATTTTGTAGTTTATGACTGTGGTATTGTGAAGGTGACTAGTTTTATGTCTCATTTGGGTTAATATTTTTGTCAAATATCTATAAGATTGTTTGGACTGAGAATTACACAGTATTCGTGCCATAATATATACCTACATTATATGAATGCTTTGCTTCTTTGAACAGTATATTTTAACTGTACTGTCTTTAAGCTATATTTTGAGCCAAATATATTTGTATTTATTTATTCATATCTATTTATGCTTTTAACTTTACAAACATGTAGATCTTTATGACATATACCCTGTGATTTGAAAAATATTAAACATTATAGCTATGTGTTTTTAACTCTCTCTCTCTCTCTCTCTCTCTCTCTCTCTCTCTCTCTCTCTCTCTCTCTCTCTCTCTCTCTCTCTCTCTCTCTCTCTCTCTCTCTCTCTCTCTCTCTCTCTCTCTCTCTGTACATATATATACACACACTCATATATATATGTATGATTTACACCATATACAATTGGTCTCCAATTCTTTAGCTTTGAATAAAAGCTGTTTGAAAACTGAGTTGTTTGAAATCCAAAACCATTTTTCCCATAAGAATTAATGTCAAATGGGTTAATTTGTTTCTTAACCACAGTTAATTGTTTAAGAAGTTTTACTTGTTATTATACTCCATACATTCAAATTGAATATAAAATAAATGTAAATGTGTAGAATTGTTTTTTATATAGTTTTTAAAAACATAAACAATATTTAAAATTTCAAAGCAATGTTTACCTGTTGAACATTTGAACAAAGAAGACACAAACAATAT